TTCTGAGCTATACTACACGATACTACGACGATGGGTTTAAGATGGGGCCGGGTTCAACAGCCATTCTCAGGAAGAAGAATCACACCATCGCATCCATCATCCAAGATGAACCGAGTCAAGAAGAGCAGAGGGCGAGGGAGCCCATCCCAAAGGCCATGTGGCGGGTGGGGTTGTGTACGGGCTCACCCGCTGTAGCAGCATGATTATATGATAGCATCGAACATTGGCGTAACGGTTTTCATCGCGTTGGGAAAGGATCCGATTTAGACTCCACGGTAGGGTAGACTAGGGTGAACACTACGCTGCTCCCGAAACGAGCAGCTGCTCCAAGAACATGGCCCGGTGGGGTTCTCTGGATATCCTGATCTCTAGACACCGTGTACTGTGTAGAACACTGGGGGTGAGTTATCACGGTTCGAGAGGATCCCTCGGGGGAATTGCAGCAAACGGCCATAAGCCCATAAGGCCCATCTCCGGAAGGCCATCCTGAGCCTAACTTCCCTAACTTCCCACAAACGGATGGTCCGGTGCATGAGTTAAGTGGGGAGCCAATGTCGTTTGCCTGGAGATGATTTGATCGCTGGGTGCCCAGGAGATTAAATGACTCGCAGCTCCGTTTTAAGAACAGAACAGAATGTAAAATTTTTTTTTTTTCCTTTCCCATATTTTTCGTTCGAATTTCTCGTTCGTTTCTTGCTGGGTCACGCAGAGACACCTCGGCCTTGGATCATGCCATGGTATGATGGTATGGAGTTGGGTTTATATAAAAAAAATAGATTGATAATATAAGATTAATCAATGAGACAGGAGGGAAAGAGGAGACCCCATCCCCATCAGAAGCCTGAGAGCAACGAGAACTCGGTGTACTCCGTATGAGGAGTTGAGGACCGTCAACCGCGCCCACCTTCCCGAATTTCCAATTTCCTCCCTCAGACTGGGCTGACTAACCCGGATTGTTCCCACCCCACCCACTCCGTAGACACTAACAGTCCACCACAGACCACTCTAGAGAACTGAGAACTTCAATCCAATTTTCAATATTCCCGACTATCCGGTCCTGGTTCTACTTGCTGTTTCGAACTCCGAGACGGGCATCCCTGGAGCAGCATGGTGTACTATTTCACGTCGAAGGTGGTTGACCCAGCTGCTTTTATCTACGTAGGGAAAGACAAATTCGAGAGTACGACATTCAATATCTACCTCATGCGACAGTCCCAATGTCTGATCAATCCGTTTTAACTAGATGAGGGTCTCATCGAACATGGACTAGAAAAGGATGTTTGGTACGGTGTCCGTTCTTTCCACCTTTTCAGGCCGCACGCGCTAATGGTTGACGCTTGCTCGACCTTGCAGGGTTCGTCTACGCGATTAATCCTGGCCCGGGGAGCAAGTCTAACCCGCCGTCTAGTTCCACGTCGATAACCTCTCCAGTGCGCATGTTTATCTCCGCCTACGCGATGACGAGCAATGGGACAACATCCCGCAGCCGCTCTTGGAGGATTGTGCGCAACTTACCAAGGCAAATTCAATTGAAGGTCGGCTAGACAAGATCGCAACCGAGGCGCTGGAATCGAAGCGAGAATGACTCACACAATCAGTTCAAACAGGGAACAAAAAAGACAACGTCACGATAATCTATACCCCGTGGTCCAACCTCATGAAAGACGGCTCCATGGCAACGGGACAGGTCTCTTTCCATAACCCCAAATTGGTCCGTAAAGTGCTCGTTCGAGAACGCGAAAATGTCATCGTCAACCGGCTCAACAAGACGCGCGAGGAGAAGTTTCCCGATCTTAGGGCGGAAAAAGAAGAGTTTCTGAAAATGAAGAGGAGGGGCGAGAGAAAGTTCAGAGACGAACAACGCACCAAGGAAAAGCAGGAGAAGAGAGAGAGGGAACAGCTCAAGTGGCAGAAAGAGCATGCCTATGATGATCTGTTGAGTGAGGAGAATGTACAGCAAAGCAACAACCAGGATCGAGATCCTGACTTCCTAGATGACTTCATGTGATCTCACAACAACCCTCATAGCAACGACAACTATCCCTGAAATCCCAAGCACCTAAGAAAAGAGGTTATCTGCTACCCGAGCAGTTGGACTGTTCACACACCGCATAGCATAAATTCAGTGGAGCGAAGGGACATTTGCCCCTTGGGTGCGCTGGCCCTGGTCCGGGGTTCTAGCCGGCCTTATTCGTCGCCATGCAGTTATTACTCTGGCAGCCAATCTCTTACCTTATATCTCTTCTTGGGTCTTTTCACTGACTCCATAATGAGGATGGTTTGTGCACCATGTTTTGTTGCGCCAGTGAACATTTGAAGAGGAAGAATACGGAGTGAAGGGACAGGGATGGATTTCAAGGAGGAGGTGAGAAAAAGAAAGGAGGGGAAAAAGAAACACAGTAGAAATCGTATCACAATCAATAGTAAAAATTCTTTGGCCTCTTAGCTATCTAGCGAAGAAATATCTGGTGGTAAATCAAGTAACTATGATCTTGCGTACCTAAGCGAGAGAGGTAACTACGGACTTCGGGAGGAATCCAAGGGCGCTAGCGGTGTTGACAACTATGGCCCGTACGGATACTTGATTACCCCCCCCCAGTGCAGTTCAGGCAATACCCAGCCACCAAAAGTTCCAGATATTCCCACCAGTCCCTCTGGGGAAATCTAACGGAAAATGCCTGAAGGTATCTTCATCCGTTCTCATCAATTAAGACCCTGCGTTCCGTTTCACTGACTGTGACTGGCAAGGCGGAAAATCGAAGAACAAGAAAAGGAACGCGGCCGCCGCAAAAGCAGTGGAAGATGGCTACAAGCCGCCTAAGAGTACGGAAGTAGCTGGTGATATTTCGGAACCTTCAAATGCAAATGTACGTCAATCCGCGGAACGAATTTAATTGTCTAAGGCTAACTGAATCGGAACTCCCGGCTGTGCAGTCCCACGCCATCGAGAATAATCCCACGCAGACCCAGGAAACCGAAACAAACAATGACGACGCGAACTCGCACGATGACTCGAAGGGTGGACTCGCGGGTGATCAGGAATCGTCACCCACCGGTGGTGATACTGGGCGTACGCACAATGGAAACACGACGCCTCCCGACGCGCTACAGTCGAAGGATAGATTTGACACCCTGATACGTGATAGAGACTCATTACGTGCCGAAGTAACGGATATGCGGAAGTCCTTGGAAGAGATACAGTCCAAGCATCACGCGGACATGGAAACGCTGCAGCACAAATTGGATGACGCGGAGAGCAAAAAGGAACACGCCGAGTCACAATTCCAAAAACTCCTGGAGAGGGTGAACATAATCAAGTCGCAACTAGGTGAAAGGCTGAAAGAAGATGCTGTAAGTACTGCCCAGCCGCTCTGGAGCTACCTCGGTTTTATTAACCTCTCAACAGGAGGAGATTGGGCAAGCAAGACTCCAAATCCAGGAGCTGGAGGAACGGAATTCGACTTTGAAAGAAGAGATCCAATTAAAGAACTCGAGAATAAACGAGCTTACAGAGGATAGCGAGCAGAAGATGAAAGAAATCTCAATCCTGCGAGACAGGACCAATCTATCCCAGCAGAACTGGTTGAAGGAGAAGGAAGAGCTTCTGGAACAAGAGTCATATCTTCAGTCGGAATTCGAGCAAGCGAAGGAGGCTATGCATAACTGGGAGGTTCTTGCTATGGAAGAGCGCTCTATCCGGGAGAATCTTGGAGATAAGGCCATGGATCTCGAGGAACAAGTAGCGAATCTTAGAGAGGACTACGAAAAAGCTACTGCCGAACGTGATTCTCAGATGGCGACGGCAGATGGCTTGCAGCGTGCTTTGCAAGAGATTCAGTCAGGTGAGTAGGCCCTTTTAAATTTCATGGAATATTGTCAATGCTAATCCACCCCAGCTCGCAAGCAGGAACTTCGTGAGCTTGTAGAGAGCTCCGATGCCCAGCTAGAGAGGCTCAAAGAGTCCCTTCAGAGTGCGGAGAAGAAAGCGACAGACGCCGGCCAAGCTCTCCAAGAAGTCCAGAACGAGCTCGAGCGAGTGAGGCCATTTGAGAAGGAAGTTAGGGAGAAAAACCTGTTGATCGGAAAGCTCAGACATGAGGCAGTCACGCTGAATGACCATCTAACAAAGGCCTTGCGTTTTCTCAAGAAAGGGAAACCGGAAGACAACGTGGACAGGTATGTTCTGTCGATGAAAGGCTCTACAGCTATAGTCCACTTCCTGTTTCTTGTGTACTTACTTGTTTCCTAAGACATATTGTTACGAACCATCTCTTGCATTTTTTGGCCCTGGATCGGTCCGATCCAAAGAAATTCCAAATCCTGCAGCTCATTGCAGCACTTCTGGGTTGGACAGACGGTAGGTTTCTCCCTTTTAACCACCTGGGGCAAGGGATTGTGCTGATTGCATATACAGAACAACGTGAACAGGCCGGTTTAGCACGTCCCGGGGCTTCCAGCTTCACAGGAAAACTCCGAGTACCTGGCACACCAGTTCACCGTACACCCAGTACTCCAACTTTAGCCACGGAATTTCTGGACAACGGAACCACAAGCAAGGAGTCACTGGCGGAGCTCTGGTCCAATTTCCTCGAGCAGGAGTCGCAGGCTTCACAAGAAAACAATACCTAGAGAAGGCCATGAGTAATTCATAGTCAGCGATGCAGCAAGGTGGCCACAATAGATGTTGATTTGTCTGTTCACCTACACGAACCGCGATTGTATATACTAGTTGAACCCAAGCCTAAAATGATAAAGCAAGAGGCAGGTCCTTATCAGCTTCACAACTGATCGTTGTAGGGGTTGTCTCACCGCCTGCATTTTTGCCCGACCCGCCTGCCGGCTGATTTGCGAAGAGCCCGCGGCCTTTATTATGATCCCCCACTTCCCCTGTGGAGAGAAATTCGAGTTCTATGCATAACTTTCTGAATTCTTGGAATTCCCTCTCCTTGTCCTTTATTACTAAATCATCAACCGTTGGTCTTCGCTGCCGAACCTGGACCATGGCTACGAACGCTGGTATTCGCCTACGATCCGCCCCGTGCGCCAGAACCTGCGGTCTTGCTAACCGGAATCGCAGTACATAAATTCCGCCCGGTGGTCGTATCAGGCCCCTCCGGCACGGGAAAGTCGACGTTGCTCAAGAGACTCTTCGCTGAGTACCCCGATACTTTTGGGTTTTCAATTTCCCGTCCGTTTTCCCCGATTACCCACATCCAAAATGCATGTTGAGACACTGAACATTGCCCGAACGATTCAGATACCACTCGGGCACCTCGACCGGGCGAAGAGAACGGGCGTGAGTACCATTTCACAACCAAGGAGGATTTTTTGGACCTTGTAGCCCGAAACGGCTTCATCGAGCATGCGCAGTTTGGAGGCAACCACTACGGCACCAGCGTCCAAGCGGTCAAGGATATTGCGGAGAGGAGCAGAATCTGCATCCTTGACATTGAAATGGAGGTAATAACAATCAACTTCCCGATGATTTCTGTCAGGAAGTGCGCATTTGGAGAACTTCTCACTTGAGTGAAGATGAAAATAACGGAGTGGAGAGATACTGACCTCATACGATTCCAATAGGGAGTGAAGCAAGTCAAGCGCACAGATCTGAATGCTCGCTTCTTGTTCCTTGCACCGCCATCAGTTGAGGAACTCGAAAAGAGACTGCGCGGGAGAGGTACGGAGACGGAAGACAGTCTGAAGTAAGTCCAGAGTTCCCTAATTTTGATCGTCGAGATCGACGCCTGCTAACTGGAATGAAGCAAACGTCTCGCACAAGCCAAAAACGAACTCGAATTCTCCAAGCAGCCAGGTGCCCACGATAAGATTGTTGTGAACGACGATCTCGAGAAGGCCTACGTAGACTTGAGGGATTGGATTGTTGATGGCGGCCGATTCGGTGCGGCGCAATAAGGGTTTCTCGGTATATTTCGAAGCCACTGTTTTTGATAGTCCATCTCTCTGGTTTAAGGTTGTGGTGTCTTATATCTAGAACCCGTAGACAAACTTTTCAGCAAGAACTGAAATTGAGGATGTTTAAGTACATGAAATGACGGCAAAGGACGCCACGCGTTCCCGATGCAAATCAGTTGATTCATCTGCTCGGTAACGACACCATGAACAGGTAATTTTAGGAAGGACTGTATTCTCTGCAGAGGATATATTAAGACAGAAACTAGTACGAAAAAAAAAACAGCCTAAAGTTAAAAAAGAATATCTGTAAGGGTCTGCTGGCATGAAGTTATTGCTATGGGGAAGAGAAAATTGGAGAGGGCAGGAATATTGCTGGAACTGTCCTCCAAATACAGTCCGGTCAAGTTCGGAGATCGGCAATCAAGAACACTGAAATCCATCCGTAGCGGAAGCGAGTGATTAGTAGCCGTTCATAGTCATTCGCTGCGAGTTGCGGCTCAGTTCTCTGTCGGCAGAGGGACTGATGGGTCGGCTACCGCCAGAATGGCCTCCTGCAGCGCTGCTCTCCTTCAGTGCAAGAAGTTGCTTGGCACGGAACGTCTCATAGTGGATCTGGCTTGTTGTTTCGATGAGATCCTGGAGATGGGTGCGAGTCAGGAAGTTCCTCAAATACACAAACTCGCAATGGTTCTCATCCTCCACATTGATGACACCCCATCGGTTCTGACGACCACGAACTTGTTGACCATTGACAACGATATTTTTCTCACTACCGACGACGGCGAATGGGATGATATCCTGCGTAGCGGTTAGAAAGTGTGCAAATACCAGGCTACTGCGCCGATCTCATACCTTGATCTGGACATTGACGGCTCGCTCTTCATCGTCGAGCTCATCGTTGTCGTAGGGGTACATCTTCAGGTTGTGGAAAGCAAATTCCTCCTTGATCCGCTCCTTGAACGCCTGGCGTTCCTCAAGGGTGAGAGAATCGGATTTGGCGATGACGGGAACGACATTGACAACGTCGGACAACTTTTTCAGGACCACGATGTCAATTGGTTTGAGACTAAACGAATAGAGAGTAAGTTTCCGACCTATATCAGCACGGGAGTCGCCAGAGCTTACGCATGCCCAGATGGTTGTATGAAGAACAAGCAGCAGTGAATGCGGGTGTCTTGAATGTAGCGGTCGCGCTGAGCAGTCAATTCTTTTCGGAGGTAGGCAGAATGCTGGTCTTTAATGTATTTCACAATCGGGTCCCAGCTGTGAACCGGTCAGCCTGGTCGTCATGAAGTCATGAAGTCATGGAGGGGGTGGTTCAATATACCATCTGTCGTTGTTGACTTGATCACCGTACCCAGGGGTGTCAACAATGTTGAGCCTGAGACGCACTCCGTTTTCCTCAATGACTGGAATTCCAATTTTTAGCCATGTACCCCTCTCATTGATCGGCAGTGCAACATACTATGGGAAGCGGCCTGGATCTCAGTGGTTGACCGCACAGGCTCATTGGGGGTGAGGCGGCCCTTTGAGTCAATCAAATGAGAGGCAAAGATGGTGTTAATCAGGGTGGATTTACCCAGACCGGTTTGACCTGCGCATGGATCAGCATTGCACTTAGGAGAAGATTATCCCAGCGCTTTGTGGAACCTACCAACACACATAACGTTGAATTGGAAACCACGTTTCAGCAGCTTCCGCTCAATCTGCGAGGTGATGCTATCGAAACCGACATGGCTGCGAGGGAAAACGGAAGCCGGGGAGGCCGAGGTCGAGCTAGCTGCGGCGGCCATGGTCAAGCAAGACGAATCGAGCGAGTGGGTAAGTGGAAGGAAGAGTTGCGGAAAGAGGGGAGTAAACAGTGGTTGATTGTTATCTGGAGGTTGAACGACGGACTGGGGTGGTTAAGGGGAGCGAGAGAGAGAAGACGAAGACGACGACGACTAAGGAGATAAGCAATGTCCACCAAGAAGGGCTAGAGCACGAAAGATCAGCTGTATTCGACCCCCAGAATGCCAGTCGGTCTGGAGGAAGGGAGATGCAATGCAATCCTCTGGACCCCTTTAACTGTCTTCGCGACTCTCAGGGGCCCGCTAGTCCGTGTTGGGCCTAGCGCTGTCTCCAGATCCGAATCCAGCAAACCCGAGCCTGAAAAGCTTCAGTCGGCCTTTCCTCCCCGTTTTCAGCACCGAGCCCACCCTGCTTTCTCTTCGCCGATGGCCTCCCCTACCATGTCAATCGCTGCCGTCCGATGGTCTCGAGTTCTCCTGGGCTCCACCCCCGCCCTGAACCCCTGGAGGCCCGCTGCCTTCGCCTTGAATGTCCCCGGCCTGCTCTCCGGCATTTGGGATTCCGTCCTCCGCGCCGTGCCCAAGAAGAAAACCTCGCACATGAAGAAACGCCATAGGCAAATGGCAGGAAAGGCGTTGAAGGACGTGAAGAACCTTAATACCTGCCCCGGGTGCGGTCAAATCAAGCGCGCGCATGTTCTATGTCCGCACTGCGTTGCCAGTATGTTTCTTTCGTCTCATCCCACGCTTTACAATTCTACGTCCGAGACTAACCATGCGCCTGTATCTAGATATCAAGAAAGAATGGGGCAATATCCAAACGGCATAATGAATATCAAGACTACTAGAAGGGGAGGGGAATTCAGGCCCTAGGGACTAGGTGGGGGGAGGGACAAGGAAAAGAAAGAATGACTCTAGTCTTGCAACTCAAGGCTGTATTTGTACTGTTAATTTTGATATGTGGTTTTCTCGCGGGATATATATGAGGTGTAGGATAAATGCTGCATGGCAATTGGCGTCTGGGTATATTATGGTGAATTTATGGGCTTGTTTCCCTGTACATTTGACGGAAGCCGTTTTGGACGATCTGACTCCTCGGTCGCTTGCAATCTTAGAAGTAAATAAATAAGAGGATGAGCACTGGGAATGCGTATGCTGAAATAGACCTGCGTATGAATTTGAGTCTTCCGGTTGATTTCTAAGAGGACGATCGTTGGCTGAAGATATCCAACCGGTCCATGATCTCATCCGGCAACGGTCAGCGATTTGTCCCACTATTTGTCCGCCATCGCTCCAAGTCGCATCGACCTCAGCTTCTCCCAACCCCCGTCCCCGGCGGACCGAAGAACCTATTCCTTGTTTCATTCTGCTATACGAAAAATGGTAAGAAGGCGCGGACGGGACTCAATGTCTTTTGTATTGCACCAAGCTCTAACATGACCAAATCGTTTTTACCAGTCGAAACAATATCTCTCATGTGGTTCCGCCGACGATGGTACGCCTAGAATTTACAGCTCCCTCTTAGGCCTCTAGCCCTTTTCCCTTTGGCTTTCTTCACTAACCTAAATATAGCGCATCCGATTGACATATTCTCGTTGGCCGTAACCGATAACCAAGTGTTGTCGGCGTCGGGGGCATCTGCACTTAAAGTCCATTCAACCACTGACCCCGAGTTTCCGCTTGTACAGTCAATTGACGGAGCCCACAAGGCTGGATGCCATCAAGTGGTCACAAATGGAAATGGATTAAGGGCAATAAGCGTCGGCTTTAGTGGTGAAATCAAGGTCTGGGGTTGTCACGATGGAACTTGGTCACAAGATGAGTCCGTCTCAGGTAAGTGGAACTCTGCGCAGTGATGGCTTGTCCCCTTGACCTATGCGGCGAAAACTCAAAGCAACTTGTAAGCTGACCTATGAGCAGTTGGCAGCACAGGATCAGCCGACGTCTGGGCCGTGTCTCTGTCGCAAGATGGTCAATATCTCGCGGGCGTTAGCCAAGATGGGCACATTAAGGTCTGGGATTTAAAGTCCAACGGTGAACAGATACGTGACTATGAGACCAAAGGGAGCTTTGGCACTTGCTTAGATATGGTAGTAACTCCCTGACCGAGTATGCTAAATCCTTGTGGGCTGACACGTACTGTACAGTCTGCGGATGGCCGCTTCATAGCCAGTGGGCATGAAAATGGCAGCATTTACATCTTCAGTACAGAAACGGGTCGTATGCCTTTCAGTTTGGCTGGTGAGTTTTCGAACTGGAACTTCTTAATATATGCGCTTAGTACCATTGTCACTAATGCCTTGCAGGGTTGGTCAAGCCCGTAAGGACCGTTGCGTTCTCTCCCGGCGGTAAGTTTCTCGCCGCCGCTGGAGATTCTAAGATCATCGTCCTCTACGACACATCATCCGGCGAGCAGGTCGCTAACTTTTCGGGACACTCGGCCTGGGTCCTATCGCTTTCCTGGAGCCTCACGGGAGAGTATCTATTGAGTGGGTATGTACACTTGATGCTGCTCCTCCTTGCAACCCATGTTACCATGTGTGATATGAGACTAACTATTCACCAGTTCATTCGACGGGAAAGTCAAAGTATGGTCAATTGATACCAGGGCATGTGTTGCAACCCACTGCGAGACCGAGAAGGCAATTTGGAGCGTCAAGTGGGTCCCGAAGATCGGGAGATCAGAGGGGTTCGCAACTTGTGGTGCGAATCGAAGCATAGCATTCTATAGGGAGGCTACCGGAGGCTAAGAACTCGGAATGTACACCTGATTCCATCGTGACTGTGCCGGGATGGAAAATTAGACGAATGCTCTTTCTTTCTCTTCTTAAATCGATTATGATACCTGACATGTTGCGATGCATTGTTTTGCTGTTATTGATACTGATTCATGAATGCGCAAAAAGCACCATAACATTTGTTCACTGCACTGACAGGTCTAAGAGGCAAGGATCTTCCCGGCTTCCTTGCCTCGCAACCTGGGAGCTACTTCATTGTCTCGACAAAGAGTTTTCGCATCCTTTTTAGGAATGCACCGAAGTCACGATCCTCATTCATAATATCCAGCTCCCGGTCAAGAGCCTCCCTGTCCAGTTTAGGTCGCGTATGAAAAACCTCGTAATCACGGCTCGATGTGCCTAGCTCAAACCAAGCTTCCGCCTCCCAGTCTTTTTCCAACAAATGGCTGTATACGAACTTCAAGCGATCTTCTCGCCCAGCACCGTCGATTCGAAGACACAGATAATCCTGCCAGAATTCTAATTCTGGCACATTCAGACGGGATTGTGCATCTAAGTACCTTGCGTGGGCTTTCTGTGCTTCTAATTTCTGACTTGTAGCCTTTTGTGTTTCGTCAATCTGTTGCTTTAGACGATCACGTTTGGAAAGGCGAGAATCGCGCTCAAATGCCACAGAGGAGATTGCAGCATGCATCTCAGCAGCCTCGGCTGATTCCTTCTGGAGAGTTTGTTCGTGGGTTTGCGACTTAAGGTTCAGTATCTCGATGTCTCTTTGCTTCATTCGCTCATCCTCTAAAAAAAACGCATTAGCAACTGTATAGCTTCGTAATCTCTTGCCCTTCGGCCTGCGAATCTGTACCAACCTTCAAGCTCAGCTAGCCCTATTTTGAACTGATTCCTCTCCTCTAAGACCTGCTTTCTGCCTCTTTCAATGAAGGCATCAAATCGTGCAGTGAATTGAGCCATGCGGTTGCGCAAGTCCTCGAACCCAAAGTTTATACTCGGCAGTGAGTCCGCCATCGAAGGCGCGTCTGCCGACGCCAGAGGCGGGCGCATGCCACTAGTGGACATGGAGGGGTCGAATGACGAAGACATCGTGGGCTGTCTTCTTGCTTTAAGCACGGACGAATTGGGCTCAAGTACAGGAGTTCGTGTACCTGCAAAGTGTTCTTGATTGCCCCGCGATAACTATTCCACTGATGTTTTGTGTTGCGTGGCAACCGTCGGTGGTAAACAAAGGCTGGCACAAAGCGTGACCTCGAGGTCAAGGATCGAAGGCTCTTGCTGGTTTGTATGAAGTAAAGGCTTGAGTAGGTAAACATGGTCCGTGAGTTAGGGCGGTGAAGGCCAGCAAAATCCTTAAGCTTGAGCGGGGAGCGTGCGGTGAACTTTTATACTCTCCATACAACCAACATTTACGGATTACTGACCGGCGCCTTGCGCATTGGCTGGGACGTAACAAAGTTTATCAAGCAGAAACGCCGTCAAGGCTGTGCAGTATCGATGAATTAACGGCGAAGGGTCTCGATATGCCCGCCAAATTGGAGCCTAGTGCATATTCATTTCTCCAAAGTCCCCAAGAGTCCCGATGATTGAATATTGTACAGGTGCTCTGCAATATGGGCACTTGGGAAAACCAAAATATGATTCGGAGACTCAGACATGGAGGTTCCCCCGAACATTGACGCCGGGTAAGCATTGGAGAGCTAGAAGAGATAAAGGGTGTTTTAGTTCACTAAATCAATTTACAGCACCAACTTTACATTATGCCGGAGTAACAAAGACCACTGTCCCATCTCCCCTCACGGTGCCACGGTCCTCGTCTATCGAAAATAAATCTCTTATACCGCAAGTCTATCCCGAGCTTGGATCCTGTTGGCCGCAAGTCCGCAACGAGACTCTTTCCAATGCCATCTCAAGAACCTACGACGTTTGCGATCCACTCGTCTCCTCGCTTCTCGATTTAGGACATGCGATAGATTTTGAGAAAGATGACCCAGGCAACCGTCTTATTCCCATAGCGGCGATAGCATCCGGGGAGTGCGGCAACGCCATTAGCCTGTATAGAATAGAGGAGGATACAGTCAAATTGAGGCATGATGCAGCAAATGAAATTCGAGTTCCCTCAATCGGGAGATTAGAGAGTGTGCAGTGGTCTTCAGGCGGTGCGCCAGTCCAGCAAATCTGTTTCGGGCAAACTCTAGAAGAAAAGGCCACATGGATGGCAGCTCGTTTCCCTCACTCTACCAGAATCTTCCGGCCGCTGTACCACCGACACCCCATTTCTACTGGCGTTTGTTATCATGGTGATTCCACAAAACCAATCGACTGTGGCACTTCTCGCCTTGACGCGAACCCGTTGGTGGAAATATCTTGCGAACAGACCGGGGGATTCATGCATGCAGATGTGGCTTTCAATCCATGGTATCCACAACAACTGGGCATTGTTGATGTGAGTGGGAACTGGGGGATATGGGAAATGTCGCGTCACAATCGAAACAAGGGCAGTTGGACCAGTAACTGCAGCAAGTCCGGCTCTTTGCCATGGCTCGACAATGACGACGGCCAAGACACAGAAAACCATACTAGGCATGATGGATGGGCAGCCATAGAATGGGCTAGCGATTACAAGAGCTTCGTCGTGTCTGATCGCCGTTGTCCCATAATTTATCGCATTGAAGCCGATCAGGTATCTTCCTTCCCAATAGAACTTGACTTGAAGCGCCCATCGGAGTGGATCCTAGACATCAAAAGAAGTACTTGCAATGTGTCTCATGTCTTCATTCTTACAACCTCTCGGGTGTTCTGGATTGATATCGCCCTAGACCCTGTCTCGACCACCGCGGGAAGTACGAGGCGCTCTCTATATCCTCGCTTGTTCTGGCGTCATTTCCGGGACCCTGAGGACACAACTTTGCAACTAGCTCCACTTCTAGTGCACCAACGTAAGGATTCAGTCCCTTGCTATCATCTTGTCATACTAATAAAATCTATCTCAGAACTCTATTTCGTGCTTTCTTCTCGGTTACATAACCTTGTGTTGACTTTTCATTGTCCTACTGCATCCGAGGACTACACAGATATGGCATCTGTCCCTGACCCCTTCGTGTTGGAAATCCCACCTCCGTCCGATCATGTCGCAGGATACCCAAAGCCTGGGAAAACAGCACAGTTCTCCATCTGCTTCAAAGAGATTGCACACGTGCCTGTTGGCAAAAAGCACTACGACCCAACCGCAAATCTGATCAAACTCTTCTTACTGGATTCTCGCCTATCCGTCCGTGAAATAGTATACACTCAGCCTCGTGACGATAGCGCTGATGATGTGCATGTCCTGGAGAAAGATATTCTGCGGTTGAGACGTTACCCGGGAGCTTCTAAGGCTTCTTTCTTGCGGTCTTTGGATGGTTTCATAGTAGATGATTGGGACGAATCCGTCTTTAGAGCCAGTGCGGCCCCTGCACCTGATAAGAAACTTTCTAAATGTCCACCATTGCCCTCTCTACATTGGACTGTTAATTATTCACATATTTATGAAATCGCCACTGGGAGCTTGATTCATTCTAAAGAAGGCGAGGGCTTGCACACGCCGGGACAGTGCTTACAGGACCTTATAGATGGTTTGAAAGTCCACCAGACCAGCCACACTGTCGGCCAAACTTTGTATGTTTCCTAACCACCTCCTTTCGAAACACGCTGTTTCTAACATCCATCAAAGACTCGACGCCTTCAAAAGCAGCTGCTGGCGGTTAGATGATATCGACCAGAATGCCCGGGACCTGAAAGCTTTTCTTTCTTCGATCGAGGGCACCAAACCACTCTGGTTAACCCCGGCTCAGAGAATATCCATTTTAGGTCCACCTGGCCTTTTTGGTGCACCCTCATCAAAAGCCCCTGGCCTGGAAAAGGCTTCTGCGACCGGGACCTTGGTTGACATTTATGATGGACTGGTCAATGATTGGCTAGCTATTTTGCCGCATGGTATACCTGGGCGCACACGCATCATGAAAGAAAAAATAATCAGATCCGTCGCGGCGGAACTCGCTCTGGCTCAGTTATCTTTGACACATTCATCTTCCCAAGAGAAGGGGTCATCAAGCTTAAATGCACCACAAAGTCAGACTAATGAGACTTTGTCTGATGAGGCTCCGTTGTCAAAGGGAAGGTCTTCATTTTACGATGACCAGGAGAGAACTGCTATGGCAGGAAGCAGTGCTAGGGAAGATGGGCTACCTGATCGCGCGAAAAACCTGACCGCGGTGTGCTCTAGTCTATCCTCCCTCACTGCATTTTCTGGCAAGCGACCGGTGTCTAGAAGCACAACCAGTATGTTACAGCATTGGAAGTTGGGAACGGACCCGACTACATACAAATGGCACCATACCACGCAAATGTTGGATGGCGAAGACTCGCGGCGAGTTCTCAAATCGACCGCTTCGCAACGAAAGCCGCGTAAGAAGGTACTAGGGGGGTCACAAGGGTCCAGTCAGCATGTTACCGCCCCTACACCCCCGGCGTCTTCCGCGGTCCCTGTAGTTCGGGAATGGGGCAGCCAGCCGGAGAATAGCGAACCGCCGGCCATAAGACTGCAAAGCAGCCAGCCCATGGAAGACGACCTTCCAATGACCCAGGTCGAGCGAGGAATGTTTGGAGGACGCGAAGCCAGCCGTAAGGTCGCCACGAAGACTAGGAAGAAGAAGAGGGCAGCTGGATTCTAGGTCCAATCTAGAGCATTGGTTCACTGAGCACCGCCTCTATGTATCAGACCTCGACAATCGAAGGATGACTCGATGGCGCAATCTTAGGATGACATCGTAACTAGTTAATTAGGATTAATAACCCAAGAAGTCCGCCTGATAATGAGTTACAGGAGTTTGGTGTAAATTCCGAACTGGGTGTACTTGTCACGGGTCCTTGATATCTCGTGAGAACGTGTCATTATTGTTCTCGCATTTCGTCCCCACCCCACCTCCCTCTCCCCCTTTGTTCCCCTCTCACCCTCACCCCAACTCTACTTTACGATTTTAACGAGACACACCGCGTGTATTCTCCTCACCTGCCCCTCCGTCTGCACTATGTCTGAACATCAGTACAAATTCAACGTTGCTATGAGCTGTGGTGGTTGCTCGGGTGCCGTGGAGCGAGTCTTGAAGAAACTGGAAGGTATGTTGTGCCTGATGGTCCCCTTCCCCCCACCCCCTCTTTCCTCCGGTTCGGGTTTTGTACATGCATACACATACCTATATATATCTCTCAGGCCTCGTGAATCGCTTAGCGCTGACCCATTGTTCTTCTCAGGTGTTAAAACTTTCGATGTCAGCCTCGATTCCCAATCCGCCCTCGTTACTACGGAACCCTCTGTGTCCTACGAGACCGTGCTCGCGACTATCAAGAAGACCGGGAAGACCGTCAATAGTGGTGAAGCAGATGGCCAGGCCATGAGTGTCTGATTTGGAGAGGGATGTATATATGGATATTGTGTTCTCTCTTTTTTAGTGGTGGCTCAGGGGCCTTGCGGAATTTTGAGCGGGATTCTCTACCGCCGGGGCACTATTTTGACATTGGACAGCATGAAAGGCCTTGACGGCTTCTTTCTGGCCTTGAACGTGCCGTCTAGCATTTCCTAGCGCGCTATAAAATTTACTGATCATTCTCGATATGAAAGTGTCATGAGAATGTCTCGATTGATAATAGATGGGTATCTCTTTCTTCACACTCCCTGGTATGTACAGTGGCTCACACGCACATTTACAATAAACCTCAATACCATAATCGTGGCCTAGAACGGCAGATAGTTTTGACTAGCAAACCCCGTATCATTTATAAGAACCATCCCCGGCCGTTGAGAACTCAGTCCACAATGACAACAGCTTGACCATTGGGCATTGAATAACGTGGCTGGGATCGCTGATTCCCTCCCGCATACGTGGGATAAGACTGAAGGTATCGATCATGAGTTTCTCTGTGCAGCGTTGTCAGTCCATGTCAGCTCCTACAGTCTCGCGACATGAGGGGCTTGAGGGGGAGGGGAAGGGTTGGGAAGGCCGCGTGACTCTGTAGCTCGGGTATCAAGCCAGAGACATGATCGGAGCCATACCGATGATTGAGATTGCCTGCAGGTCCTCCATCGTAATAACGTGTTGCTGCAGTTTGGGGTTCAATTGGTCTGCTGCTATGGTACCTTGGACTGTCGTCTTCCACCACAGCATGGCCATGGACTCCCCCTAAATTCAATAGATGTTCGGAACGTATTTGACCAGCTAGCCTTGTAGCCATGTTACCATGAGGATGAGACCCGTATTGATCCTCATCAGATCGGGCAAGGGTAGGCTGAGACGGGACTACTACTGGATTGGCGGTCCGATGCGGACGATGCGGTGTGTATTCCAATGGAACAGGGTCATGCAAATCAATAGTACGAACAAAGTCATCAGCATAATGTCTTCTGTGAGGGGCTGCATGCAATGCAGGGTGGTCAGTTTTGGTTCGGAAACCGGGTTCATGGGGCCTTGGCAGATCGGATGGTCGCATGCCGTCAACATCATAGTGATACTCAAGGTTATAGATGCGTTTTTCTCCTAGACCTGAAGGCCGAACAGGAATAAACCTCTGGTTGCCTTGCCCCGCATGTAAAACTGGCCCCGTCTCTCCAAAACCATGAGATTGTTCCACGACCTCGCGCACCGCAGGCAGGCGGCCACGAGAGACTGGGTGGCGTTCAAGGCCTTCTGAACGCCTCTGGTGCATAACAATCCCCAGGTCGGCATTGACCCGGGATACATCAGATAATGGGTCCTGCAAGGACTCAGGGTGAGGATTTGCAAAATAGCGTGGACTAGTTGGAAGGGCATATCTCCTACGGAGATGCGGTTCATCCTGGGTGGACATATGTTCAGCTGGCAGGTATGCTGGGGGGATGTGCCGTTCTCCTGGGTTGAGTTCTACCGCTGGGCAAAAGTCCATGTCCGAGCGAGACCCAAGTGGCCTGCTATGGTCGTAACAGGCCACACGCCTTCTCTTAGGGGCCTGACCTCTTATGTTGTCTTCGAAAGCGTGCTGTGGACTTTTCCTTTGGGGCAGACGATGCGGTGTGACTGAGCGGATTGAAAACCCTCCCGACATCCTTTGGGCTAGGTGGTCCAAGGGACCACTATCAGGGCGCCTAGTATAAGTAGGCGGAGGAGTCTCGATTGAAGGTAATGCTCGATCCTGTGGGTTCAAATTGGGCTGGCCTGGTGGTAAAGGGCCTGATATTTTAGGGGACCCAGGTCGATCCATGGGCTGGTCACGAAATTCCCTAGGGCCACTAACAAATACAGGGGCGTTGGGCAAGCCGTTCCGATGAAACAAACCCTTTTCATGGTGGACTTTAGGGCCGTGTTCCGTGGAGCCACCGCCAGACATTGGTGCAAGCAGGGTCTGGCGAGATGATTTGGCCATAGAGTATAGCTCATACGGCTCGGGAAAAGTCAGCAAGTTGTCGGTTTCAGCGCTTTTCATCGGATGAAGTTGCATCATTCGATTTGCCGGTGAGCTCTGGGGACTTACGCGACGGTCTAAGGCGGGAATAGGACCTAAGTTGTTGCTTCCGTTATTCCTAGGTCTCTGGTTAGGTGTAACAGGTCTGCCGCGAGGACCGAGAGTTCGATATGGAGCAGATTCCAGTTCATGGTGGTTACTTTCCAATAGGGGCTGTCGTACAGCGCAATGGGGATCCGATTTGTCGGCAGAACCATCATTCAACCGACCGTGGCCAGTCACGTCAACCCTATTTGCGGTGTTCCGGTATCGGTTCATGGCACGGTCCCAAGCTTGATACCTGCTGAAACCGCGGCGATCAATCCTTTTCTCCCTTGGGATTCCCGGAATAAATCGAAAACCTGGTGGGGCATCATCGTCTGATAGATCTAGGTGAGACTCTTGGAGAACCGGGTTCGCATAATTCACCGGCTTTGTCTGCAGCTCGTCAACTCGTGGGTTGCTTGAGACAACCTCCACACTATAGTCACGATCTACAGGGGGAGGTACATCATCTTCGGCATCGCTATCTTCATCATCGGAGATGACGATGACTTCGCGAAAGACGTCTTCGAGGATTGTCTTTCCGTTTTCATCGTCTCCCCGCCATTCAACCAATCTTGCGAGGGTGGGTTCCTCAACTGTGCTTCTAGCCTCGTGGAATGAGGTCGTCTTCAGAAGACGATCGTAATCAGTGTAAACGTGTCGAATGTGGGCAACCACCGCCAACTGCGCCCGGCGGGCCAAGGGTAGCTCAACCGCTGTGCCCACTTTTCGTTGGCCCTTGAGTAGATTTTTAGTATTGCTTCGTCTCCGGAATCTTTAAATGATCCTTGCATACCTTTTGAAAGGCTGTTTTGATGATCTGGTTTAAATCATTGGCAGGTATGTTGGGGAAGAGATCTTTCAGGACGTCTCTCGCTTCAGTGTTGATCGTGATTTGAGATACTTCTGAATTAGCACGTTTGCGAATTCCCGCAGTATTATCACCATTAAAGGGGACTGTCTTCCCGGTTGCCGTCAGATATAGGCCCAGGTCCGTACACACTGCGGCAACGACGGCGCTTGGGAAATGGTACCCAATGCGGTGGACATGCTGGGAAAGATTATGGGTTTTCATGTGCGGGGTTGTCTAGTAGCGACGATGAGAATTAGACGGGAAGGGGAAATAGAAAAAGAGGAGAGAGAGAGAGAGAGCAAAAGGGATTGGATCAGGCAGCCCAGGAAGGCATATGTTACGGTTGGCCTACCGTGACGGCGAAGACTTTGAGGCCATCCTTCCTGCATAATTCCTTGCATGCAGTAGTAAGTTGAGGATTGCCTGCGGGGATGAAAGTGTAACCAGGGGGTGCTTTAGCTTGAAAAGATATCTGTCTCCACTGTCAAGATAGTCCATAAACCCGACAGCGCGTAAGAACATACAACACTCCGAAGCTTCTTCTTCTCCTGCGTGACTGATTCCATAATCACTCTGTGCTTTCGACTGTTCGCCCGCGCAGCTCTACTCGGAGCGCGCCTGGAAAGAGTCGAGGCGGGCCTTCGAAACACACGCGCCATATTGTCAAGGTCGATATCTGCTCAGGTGGCTACACAAGACCAGTCTTCATGATCACGATGCCACTGAGAGCAGGCCATACGCAAATGTGCAAAAGGGTCAGTAGTATGCCACGAGTGAATCCACCCAGTTAGTAATCATCTCTACTACACGTCGGATTGCGTGCGCATGAAGTTGCAAACTACCAGTAACAGCTTGCCGCGGCGCGCAGGCTCAGTTAATCTGGTGTTTCTGGAGAAGGTGGGACTTGTGAGATACGCCAGCCCAAACAAGGGGGAGCAGATAGCAAGAATTCGGTCCACAGTATGAAGTAAATAAGCCGAGACCCCCGGGCAGTATACCAGTATACAGGAACGCGGAAGAAGGTTGAGCTGAAGAAGGAGAAAGGTGGGAGGAGGGCGAGCAGGACGAGGCGGTGGTTTGGCGGCCTAACGCGGCACCTGCCCAATCGGGGCTAGTTCCATCTTCCTCCTGGAAAGCTCTCGCTCTCCCTCTCTCCCCCTCTAAGCACCTTTTTCGTCCTTCGTCCTTCCCGAAAAACAGCTGACAAGCTTGTCCCTACCGGCGATGAATAGGTTCGCTCGAGCCGAGACCAAGGCCGTCATTCACGCTTACCGCCATCTTTACCGTCAGGGATTGAAGGTGGTAAGCTACTCTACTCCGTCGCGCCATGTGCTTCTTAATACTCTCCGTTCTGCCTTTCGAGCCGGCACCCGCGAAGAATTCAAACCCCAGAAAATCGCCAACACTTTGAGCTTCCTCCAACGAGCGTGCGACGTCGCAGGACTTGAGCACAAGATCGTGAGAAACATACTGATGGTGAACTATTGGGAACAGCCTTGCATGGGGAAAGAGTATCGAGTGTATGTTTCCCTGTTGCATCTCGACGAGAGTATTCTTTCATTAAGCTTGAATACTGACAATTTCACAAGTCTCAAAGGTCTAGGGATTGACCAGAAGCATTACCTCATGCGGAAGAGTGCCAATGCGCAATTCAATCAGACATTACTCCTCCTGAATGAGAGTCTAGGAACGTGTTTAAAATGATAGATTCTTAAGCAGTAGTTATCTCCAGACTACCGGGGGGTTGTGCACCACCAGTACACCCAAACCCATCTGTCAGGGCAAACACGAGTATCGGTGCAGCTAGACCTGCGGGAAGCGACGAATCGTTCGGACATGGGTAGCTCGAAGATGGTGGTCATCCATCATAGAGTACAGAGATCACTTTGCACTGGAGGTCGTCATCAAGCAGCGAGCAGGAAGGACAGCCGAAAGGGCTGGTCGCTCATTCGATCGGCTCCTCGGGGTCCCTTGCGACCCAGCTACCGGAGCCCGGAGCCCTGGGTCTATCTACAGCCCTCCTTAGAAACGTACGGAAATCAATAGAGAGTGTATCCTCCTGGGTTTTCTCCGGAGTAGTGTAGTTCAGGTGCAGCAGGTTGTAAGGCCGACGACGATCATACCTCAGGCAGCGAATCAGCGGGCCAACGTCACATGTCAGGCCGTATTCCTGTTCCGGCACGTTCGCTGGGGATTGTTTGTTGTCGCTCGAGGGGCTGTGACCACTCCTGGGACCTCCAGATCTCGGAATTCTTCGAGCAGTGCGCCGCTCTTTTCTCATGCTTGTAATTACCTCAAATGCTACCTCTAATCCTCCATGAGCGGGCTCATCTCTTCTTTGCTGATCGGACCCGTCGTTCGGCAAGCCCGCCGCCTTTCTCACCCGACTCACACTCACCCGCCCTCCGACCATGACCAAGTGGCACCCTCCCCAAACACCCAAGACGGGTCCTTCTCCGCAAGCAACTGCAGCAGAAATGGCAACGGGTGTGGCATTATGTCGGATCTAGAGGACACGACCCGCTCGGATACGCAATCACCTGAGAAATACTCGGGACAGGACACTGGCCCCTCGGCATCACCGTCATTTGACGTGGGCAATGAACATCATGAAAGCGACTATCCCGCCTCCCAGCATAGTAGGCATGATTCCGGAAATACCTCCTTAACATTTATGGATGTCCGACCGGACCCCCTAGACCGAAGCCACTCTCCCGAATTGGAACGAGTTGCCTCCGCTCCTCTCTCTTCGCAAACCCCCCCTGGGCAAAGAGGCCCGGACTCCGGAGAGCCGGGGCAGAATCTAGACGACCGCTTCTATCTGTATGACAGCGGCGGACAAAGCTTGCTCCCTGAAGATGATGGGATGGGTATATTAAGGGAAAAGATCCACGCCATAAGGGACTTGCATTGCGGCAGCGCAGAGAAAGCACGCATGATCCATGAGTTGATGACGGCGGACTACAATTCTTCCCAAGAAGATCATGGCAATCAATCATCTCAAATACCACTATCACCCTCCAGTCCACGAAGTCCGGAACGAGCTGGCACCCCCGCCTCTCGTTGGAGTCGGCAGTCGTTTGACCAGCTACCTTCAACTCCGGATTCCACGACAACAACGCCGGTCGTCCCCGAGGGAATTAGATATAATCTGACAGAACACGATTTAAGGCCAACCTTTCACCCAAAGACTGACCCAGATGCGCTTCTGGGTGATGTGGAGGATGTGGATTCTGAGGAGCTAGAGGAAGCTTGCTTGGGATGTCCGCATTACAAAAGAAACGTTAAGTTGCAGTGTTTCTCTTGTAAAAAGTGGTATACTTGTCGGTTTTGCCATGACGAGGTTGAAGATCATCATCTTGACCGGCCCAAAACTGAGAACATGCTGTGCATGTTGTGTGGCCACGCACAACCAGCAGCCCAGCTATGTAACAATTGTGACGAGCTAACTGCTCAGTACTATTGCAACACTTGCAAACTATGGGATAACGACAGCAGCAAGAGTATCTACCATTGCAATGATTGTGGAATCTGCCGTATCGGTCAAGGCCTGGGTAAAGACTTTTTCCACTGCAAGGTAAGACGCAGGAACCATCATTACGCCCCCTGTCTGAAGGCGATCGGCCCAACTTGAACAACTGTTGAACATTGATTGACCGAGCTTAGACATGTTGCGTATGTCTGCCCATCTCGATTGAAAATACACATCGATGCATTGAACGCTCCACTCAGTGTGACTGTCCGATTTGCGGTGATTACATGTTCACCTCCCCGGAGACCGTGGTCTTTATGCGGTGTGGCCACAGCATACACCAGAAATGTCTTTCCGAATACTCCAAAACGTCTTACCGTTGCCCTATATGCAATAAGACCATTACCAATATGGAGTCCACTTTTCGAAACTTGGACCGCACCATTCACAGTCAGCCTATGCCGGCGGAGTTCAAGAACACCAGAGCGCTTGTATACTGCAATGATTGCGGCGTAAAGTCAGTTGTGAAGTATCACTGGCTGGGTCTAAGATGCGATATGTAAGTCTCATGCTCATTTGGAGCACCAAGACAACTAATCAACGGACCAGGTGCGAATCGTACAATACCGCGCAAATAAAACTCGTGCAGAGTGATGCACAGGATCCATTAGAGCAGGAAGATGGCAACGGTCATGTCGATTGGCCTCGATTGAGGTCATCTACGCAGAATGCTGACGACGCCATTGTATCAACACTAGCGTCCCTCCGAGTTGAAACCAGTTCCGTCTCGGGAGCAAGTCAAAACTCGCGGCTCAGTGCACCTTCTTCCGCCGAGCCCAACGGGCGGTTTTCATCGTACAGTCTCGCGCGTGGTCGCACGGTGTCGCCGGTGATCAGTAATTATTTCGGGATACCTCCTGACCGCGGACCCGAAAGGTCTATTTCGACGTCATTGTTCGGCGGGCAGGCATCTCAAGGTCAAGAAGAGCCCGATACCAATGAGCTACGATTTTGGGGCAAAAAATTTAAATATGGATATGGTCTACTTGGTCATGAGAAAGAATCGATCGACGACGCGTCAGATGGCGATAGCGGAGAAGACGAAAGTACATCAGCGGATAGTGCCTCGGAAGACGAGAACGAGAGAGCGGAAGACGAGGAGGACGAAGACGATGACGAGGGGATTGATATATTCGGGCATCGATGAGCATGGCCGGTACCCTCACATACATGTTGTTAATATTGTCAGTATTATTCAAGTGACTGCGAAGAAGCCTCTGTTTGCGTAGTTAACTAAATAGTTAGTTAAACGCAGGCTTGACTAAGCTGCCTGCTTGCGGCTTCGATTGCCTTCTTCGGCCGGTCGAGTCAGGGGCTTAGTCATGCGCCCCCGGATGAGCCTTGACTGCGCTCATATCCCGTCATAGTCCTCCGTACTCCGTAGACGTCCTTTGATATTCTTAATTTAAATGCTCCCGTCATACCTCCCATTCCTTTGCTAGGGGCTTACGTTCTTTCGCTCTTCAAGTCTTGTCAATCTATCTTGCCGCTCACTTCTGAAACAAGCACGCCTCCGCAGACACACCGGATGCTGTAACGGTCTTGATACAAAAAGCCATCCCTTATCTTTCTCGGATTTCCCTTAGTCTCGCAAACCGTCGCTCTCGCGCATCAACGGACAGGGACTTGAACATAGAAGAACAAGAACCAGAACAAACTCCTTGAATGGGAGGGCAGGCCTACAAAAAACCAACGCGCTCCCGATTTTAGTACTCTCTGTTTTAGCCCCCGCTATCGATAACCCGCTCTTTCCGCGCTGCAGGCGTCAGCGGCGCCTCCTTGCCTTCGAGATAATGCTCCGACGCAACTCCGACCTAGAGATTCAACTTCCTGACGCAGGCCCTGCCGACTCGCCTGACTCGTTGAATGAGCCTGATGTAGAGATGCTATCGGACGAGCACGCGCTGCCGCTCAGTTTGCCTGCGCACCTTGCGGCCCGTTTCTCGCGGAAGCCGAGTGTAGTTCGCCGCTCCTCTACAGCCTCCTCTCGCCGAAGCTCGATTTCCTCGCTGCATTCTCACCATTCAAATGCGTCTTCTCATGGCGCATCCTCCACGGATCACATCGCGCAACATCTTCGTCGGACCTCTATCCTCGAAAGTCGGAAAGCGAGACTTGCGGACCGCGCTTTACACGCGGAGAAAGTGAGACTCCGCGCCGCCCTGACAAAGGCTGCCACCCGAAACCTCCAGAGCGAGGAGCGAGCGCTGGCTGCTCACCAGGCTCGCGAGCGACTGTTAGCTGAGATCACTGCCAAATGTGAAGAGGAAGTTCGACGGGCGAAAAAGAAGGCCGAGGACAATCGAGAAAAGAAAGCAGCGGAGCACGCGCGGCTCCGGTTGGAAATGGCGGAGAAGTTTGCAGAGGCAGAAAAGAGACGGGTGCTTTACCAACAAAGCCATCGGCGACATCGCACGAGCAGTTTGCCTGCCACAGAGGAGAAAAAGATGGCCAGGGTGGTCACCAGATCACTCACTCGGGATGCAGCAGCAAGGGCCATCCAGAGGGCTTGGCGGGCCTACCACGCAAGGAAAATCATGCAGGAATTCCACCAGCTAGAACTGACAACGGATCGTATTCGGGATATGGACTTCGAAGCTGTGGGCTCGCTCCTCTCCGATAATGCAGTATTGACCACTACGGCCCGGGTGCTTCAACTTTGCGGGCTCCAAGACATGGAAAGCGGCACTATGGGTGGAAGAGGTGCAGTGCGTACTTTCTTAAGCAGCTTCCTCATCGTGACTCATCCGGCCGAGGTCTTGAGCAGCAACGGTGAGCAGGAGCAGGATCTCATTTCTAAAGCTCGTGAACTTTTGGCGGCTTTTGAGCAGGTCGTACCGCTGCTCTCAATCGACTTTCGCTTACCCGCTGTCATCTCAACCGAGCTCCAGACGCTCTGTGAGGCCTACAACGTATTCTTTTCTGCGTTTCATGCATGGAAGACCCACGACTCGAGTGTTTTAATCGAAATTATGCTAGCGCAGTTCGTTGAGCTGGAACTGATCTGGCAGACAGTCAAGGACGACCGAGCTGGTGGAGTTGCGGACGACTACCGCCAGGGCATCCGGCAGAACCAGATCCTGCTTCTCGCTAGGCTCAAGCGTCTTGCAGGCTCAGACAAGGCGATGCAGATGGTGCGACAGGCCCTGAAAAAGGCCAAGCGCGACAAGAAACGAACCACTTCCAAGCAAGCCATTCCGCGGTCCGCCGAAACTGCGCCCTCATCTACCGAGGCCCTCACGGAAAGTGTCGCTTCTCCCATCAGCGAGACCTTTAACAACGTAGATAGCACGGTTCTTCGAGGGCTTGAAAGACAACGGGTCTCACCCCATGAGCGATTTACCCGGCTCCTCACGGCTCTGCCAGAAAACCGCGCTCTAGTCCATGAGCTTCTTATTAACAAGGAATTCAAGATTGAGGAAACTCAATACACAGAACCCCGGAAACAGATTATGGCGCACATGTGTGACATGATGCGAAAAGATGTAGACGCCGGGCTGGGAACTGACTGGACAGTGGCCATGGCTACGGTGATCCAGGACCGCTTGTTACGATCACTACGCCCGGGAAACTCCCTCCACGTGCTGATCAGCGAGGTACTCGACCCGAAGCTCGTTGAAAGCCAATGCAAAGCCGGCGCTTTCTCCTACGATAGTTTCTTCGGTTTTATGAACACCTTGCTGCCAAAGCTCTGCGCCCCATACCGGGATCCCGTGGTCAAGGAATTCGCTGAAGACACTTCAGGCGATGCCATCGATCGTCTAGCGAGACTCATGGCCATCATTGATCTTCTCTCACTCGATCATACAAATTTCATGATCCAGATCGCAGCTCCCCAGCTCATCCAGGAAGCTCCGGGATACGAACAAAGGACGTTCGAGAAAGGAGTACATGATGGATCCATAGGTTTGGGGAAAAGCCGGCGTTTCTGTCGAACACACCGCAAGATCCTCGTGGACGAAATGCGGAAGCGCGATCCGGAGCACGTCAACGGAGAGCCCCGGCCCTCAACATCCAAAATATACGCGCAGGGTCTCGTAGACCTTGCCCTCAGCAACGCACCAGTGTCCGACGACTTGATTCCTGAGACCCTAGAATTAGATCGGCGGCGGCTGAGGAAGCTCCATGCGCAGGCATTCCGGATCGTGGCCACTGCGTCCATTCTGATAACAGCGAAGAATCTGCTCAAGCGCGATGTGCGCTCCCAGTGGAAAGCGGATGCGGATCGTATCCTGTCCCTGGATTTCAGCGAAATTCGACCGGACCGAGTTCAGTCCATCTTAGAATCAACGCATCCCATGCCGTCTAGTGCGAGTGTTCAACTCGCGGCCACCATCCGGCGGGTTTTGGGACCCGTTGCCACGGCATGTGCGGCCATTTCTCCTTTCGAAACAACGCCGGCACCGGTGGAGATCTATACCGATTCGTCAGTGCATGACACCCCGTCTTCCTCGTCGGAGTCTAGGATTGTCGGAGGAGCGAGTATGAACGCCGCAGGGATGTCTAGCTTTACGGATCCCGTTGCTCGTCTCATCCTCTCACGTTTGCGCACTCATGTCCTCTCTCGGCTCAGTGCCAGTAGTGCCAGTGAGAGGGTGCGGGCTACCTCGACGGCCAGTCAGAGCTTGGCCGGCGCCGGTATGCCCGAGTTCGTCAACGAGGTGGGACAACTCACGGAAGAGCTGGAGAAGGTCCGTGAAGTGGATTGGATAAGTCATGGCATGGTCTATGAGCAAATCTTCGGGGAATCTGTCCCTCAAGAGCCACACGCATGATGATGGCGGTTTCGCCATTCAATACTATCCACTAACCAATATACACGTTTGTTCAGGTTGACTGTGAGGGACTTGGGATTTTTGGGTTGGGTTTGATTCGATATCTTTTTTTTTTTTTTTTTTTTTTTTTGGTGGATGACGAAATGCGCTTGATCGGCCGACTAGAATCTCATTGCTGTCTATAGTCAGTTGAATGTTATGTGACGATAATATATCATATGGAATTTCATAGTTAGCTAACTAGTTGGCTAACGTAATCAACCCACCGTTTCCCCCTCCCCCACCTGCAACTCATTCCGAGTTCTAACCTCCGATCATATTCCCTTCTTGTCGGAGTGAAAAACAGTAAAACAACAAAGATTTGGGCATTGTCTATGATCGCTTGCTCCCGCAATCATGGCAGCACGCCTTGAATTTCTCTCCGACCTGAACCCTCCATCCCTCGAGCGGACCTGGTTGACCGCGCCGCACCCCACCCTTCCGATTGTCGCAACCTGCAGTTCAGACAAAACCGTTCGAGTCTACTCGCTGACCAACTTCCGGCTGCTCTCGACTATATCCGGTGGGCATAAACGCAGCGTGCGCACCGCTGCCTGGAAACCGCACGTGCAAGGCGAAAGCGTCCTGGCCTCGGGCAGCTTCGACGCTACCGTGGGAATATGGCGCCGATGGGACAGCTATGGCCGTGACGAAGCGGACGCAGAAGAGCCTGTGGATGACAATGGTAACCCCGACGCCGCTGCCGACGACGAGGACGAAGAGTGGCGGTTTGCCGTTCTTCTCGACGGGCACGATAGCGAGGTCAAATCCGTGTCGTGGTCCCCGTCGGGGATGTTGCTGGCAACATGCTCGCGTGACAAGTCCATCTGGATCTGGGAGGACCTGGATGACGGCGACAACAACTTCGAGACGGTGGCCGTCATGCAGGAGCACGAGGGCGACGTGAAATGCGTCGCCTGGCACCCGGTCGAAGAGTGCCTGGCCAGCGCTAGCTACGACGATACCATCCGGTTGTGGCGGGAGGATATCGACGACTGGGGTCAGGTGGCCTGCATTAAGGGCCACGCCGGTACCGTTTGGTATCTGGATTGGGAGGGGGTCGACAATGTCCCGTCATTCGCAGGGGCGGCGCTGCCGGCGCTCGCCTCCCAGTGGCAGAGTCAACACGCGCTGTCGGGGCCCCGTCTCGTCTCGTGCTCTGACGACCGAAGCGTCCGCATCTGGCGGCGACAGCCGAAAGAGCAGCAGACCCAGCCGCCATTCGGGGGCGCCGGCATGCCCAGTATCATCCGGCCGACGGGCACCGATGAGACCTGGGAGGAAGAAGCGGTCCTGCCGTCGAAGCATGAGCTCTCCATATACGCCGTGGCATGGAGCAAACGGACCGGGCTTCTTGCATCAGTGGGCGCGGATGGGCGCATCCTCGTATATAAGGAGAGGTTTGTAGCCACCACAGATGCCGATCTTCCCAGTGACGACGCCGGTGTGTCCGCCCCCAGGACGGAGTGGGAGGTAATTGCGGTGGTCGACGGTGCGCACGGAATCTACGAAATCAACCATGTCGCCTGGGCCAAGCGTGCCGATCGAAGCCGAGAGGCAGGCCAAGAGAAAGAAGTCCTGATCACCACCGCCGATGACGGTAGTGTCAAAGTTTGGACAGTTGGCAACTAAAAGTACGACCGCTCATGTAAGATGAATATCTGAATTCCGATGCACTCAAGGAGTTTCTTTGTGGTGGTTGGTGTATTTACGGTATATACCGGTGTTCTTCTAAATAGAAAGGGAGGTAAAAGGCCCGGTCATGATAGAGCATTCCGTTCTATGTCAATCTTATTCTGGATCGAGAATCAAGCGAACATGCGTCATATCAGGTGGAAAACGAGAAGCAGCGGCGAGTTGAGAGGCTTCTACAAATCCAAGCGGCGCATTGCCATTATCAATTTTGTTCAAGTCTATTGGTCTTGCGTACAAACTCCACCCTAGCTCCATGTGCTCAAGTATGGCAAGAAAAAATGGCAACTGACAATTGAAGGATGCAGAAACCAGAAGGCAGAGGGGTCAAAATGAAAGAAAAAAGTGCCACAAAGAGAAAACATATTCACATCGAAGGCTATAAACCCACATACATCTCATGATTTGTTACCTCCAACTTGAGATGACGCTTGTCGAGAATGTCGCCGGGCCGCGTCGTCCTCGTCACTGTCATCTCCCACGGCATAATGATCTCGCTCGATTCCAGGCGAATGAAGATTATCGAGCTCAGATTCGTCGAAATCGCCGGCCTCTACATCAGCGCCGGAACGTTTGCCATGGAAACGTTCTAAGATAGAGCTCCCGCTCATATCGTGATGGAAGACTCCACGGTACCCATTCTGACGACGCCGGCTGCGCCATATAAAGAAGCCCCATACGCACACAGCCACGATGACGACCACAAGAACCGCCTCGCCGGATTTAGCGTAAGCTTTCCACTCCGTTTCCTTCATTTTCTCTTTCTCTTTCTCTTCGGCAGCAGTACTGTTCGGATGACCCCCAACCGATGTCTGGGGTAATTTTTCACCATCAATGCGAGAGTCCGCAGGGCTTCCTCCAATACTTGCGATGTCAACTCTCATGAATCGATCCACCATATCACGACTCTGGCGAGGTAGATCAAAAGGGACCATGTGGCTTGCGTTGTAGAAAAGGACATAGGTCAGGTTCCGAGCATATTGATAGATACCGGCCGGTTCACTTTCGAAAGTCCAGTCATGACGGGGGGCCCAAACCCCTGGCGAGGTCTCAAAGCCAGTCCCGCCGTTCCATTTCATGTTGCTGATAAGTTGCTCGGTTCCAACGTGGTTGCAAATGAGGTCTTTGTCGCCGCTGAATAGAAGGACTGGAACACCAGATTCAAGCAGGCCGGGGAGTAGTTGGACGGCAGGTTTGGAATTCCGCGCCAGGAACGAGCTCGAAACCGAACCAGAACATTCCTCCCATCCAGATTTCTTCTCGGGATTTATGTTCAAAGCCTCGACAACGTCTTTTCGTTGTAGATAGGGCTTCACATCTCCAAGGTCTGGCGGCCAGTTCATACCGCAAGACGGGTATGTATCACGCAAGCGAATATCATACATGTTGAAACATGTGTTTTTCGAGTCCATCGTCTGGCTCAGAAGCTTCTGTAGAACCGCTTCGCAATCGTCCAGGTGAATCTTATTCTTCCCGCCCTGTAATCTGGATTGGCAGACCGAGTTATATACTTCCAGTTCCTTGGCGACCTGACTGTTCTCTTGGACAAGGCCCTCCTCATATGCAAAATTTAGGTATGCGGGGTACTGGTCTACCGGGGAGATCCAGCCGTTACCGATCAAGAGACCCCCTAGCTTCCATTGGGCTTTGCTGCTGCCCTGTACTTTCTTGTTCCGCTCTTGGATGGCCTTTGCGATGTATGGGATATGTTGGCCGGCATAAGACTCGCCTGCGAGGTAAAGCTGTCACCACAAGTTAGACACCAAAGGTCCGACGTACGTCGAGTATGAGGAAACGGGGGACCATACGTCATCCGGATCATACTCTGGAAACAACTCAAACCATTTCTCGAGGAACGTAATGAATTGAGCAGCCATCTCATCCAGCTCATGGAGATAGCTGTCGGTGTTGACATAACTGAAACCCGTCCCGACAGGCTGATCTACGAAAAGGAGGTTGGCAAACTCGTCCCAAGAGCCCTCGTTGTATTCAAGCGTATTCTGGTCTTTGAGTCGGTAGGGCCCAACTTCCATCAATGCACCGTCCATCGAGCTACATCCTGGACCCCCGTTCAACCAGATCACGGTTCGCTGTCGGTTGGCAATGTGCCGGTTTTGATAATGCCAGAAGAAAAGGTTCCCATTGCTCTTCTCGTCAACTTCGATGTGCCTTCACAACTCAAGAATTAGCAACTCTGCAGGCCCCGAGCAGTACCGGTATTCTTGCTGTCCGATTTAAAAGTTAACAGATGGTCGGGGACTCACCCAGCGTGCATTTTCAGCAACGGGCCTTCGGGAGCCCCAGGTAGCGAGCGAACATAGTAGTCCGCAGCCGTAGCGGCAGAGATGAGAGTCGGGTTCATGATAAAGAGTAGCGATAGCAGCCATGATACGGCGAGGAAGGAGGCAGCGCCCTTCTCCTTCCGAGCACTCGCACTCGAGAAGGTATGAGCCATGCTCACGGATACACGGGCAGAGAAGATCTCTTAGAGAGCTAAGAGTAATCAGGTGAACGAACTAGTCCTGAGAGGACGCAGGAGCCGCTCAAGAGGACATGGATTTGGCTGCTGACGCTGCTGCAGACGACGGCGGTGCTTGGTGCTTGGTGCTCGGTGCGGAAGAGTCGAGGTCGGGGGACGGGAGACGGGATTCGCGAGAAGCAGAGAGGTGGACCGACGATCGGGTGACAGGTGGAAGAGAATAATAGAGACAGGCCGGAGAAAGGGGAAGAGAGGCGACCCCTTGCGGAGAGCGTCGAGGAAACGGGAGAGTCGCGGATGAAACAAACGGCTGGCGTGGCCTCCGCTTACGTAGTTAGTTACCGTACAGTACCGGTGACTAAGCAGCCCTTTTTGGGGTCTCTATAACTAGAATAGCATATACTCATGAATAGGCTCAATCGGCCCTGCCTGGTTTCTATTCCTAATTGGCGGTTTAGATTAGATCATCGATCCCATGGTCGGCGTCCTTTTTGATCAGGTCAATCATTCCCTACAGTCATCGCCATCACGTTAGCCGTATCTTCTCAACAAGAGCGCAGATTCACCCGGAGTACACACCCGAGGCATGATGGGCTGTTCATCCTCGCCCTTCACATAGCGGAAGGGCATCTCGGTTCGCTCATGCTCGTTGATGAGGATCTCGGGGTAGTCCAGGTACTGGATTTGCTCTAGGGGCACTGTAGAATTGATCAGTGAGCTAGTCTACGTCCTTTTCCCTGCCGTTCTGTTCTGGGCGAGCAATTGGAGATTCAAATCTGCAAACCTTTTTCATGGACCACCATGCGCGTTACTCGGACCGCCGTGTCGGTGGTCATTTGCTTGGGGCCCAATCGTCTGCCGGCATAGCCCTTCTTTCTTAGTTCAGAAGTCCGATCTGGTCGATTGATAATTAACGACAGGATCTTCTCATCACCAGAATGAAGCATGAATAACTTACCACGAGGGGGGTCATCACCTGCAACTCGATGAAGGGTCTGTAGTCAGCGCACCGGGGACTAGGTTCGGGTCAGAGAAGCAGATGGGTAGCCCGCACCAAGGATGCCTCCAAAAAGGAACACTTCGAAATTCTCGCCATCGGCGGGGCTCAATTCCACCTGAGCGGCGGGGTCCAGCAGGCAGACCTTGGACTTCCGGTCTGCGAAAACTTCTTCAATGCTCCGGTGTTCGACTTCGAGCCCTTGCGTCGCAGCCAGGTCCTGAGGCATCTGCAGTGACGTGGGTACGGAGCTTAGCAGAAATCGACTGCCAGATGCATGCGCCTCACGAGCGATACAGCCATATTCCAATGCAGACCAGGCGCCCAACTCCGGATCCAAGTGCTCGACGACGATCGTCACCGGGTTGGAGGATACTTGGTCTGCCATTACGGAGAGGAATTCAGAAACTGATTAGAGCGGCCAGGAGTTTCTATCTTGTGATCTTGGTTCCTTTGGAGAATTTGTTAATACCGAATCAATTTTGAGACGGGGAAAGTGGATCTGACCGAATGTGGAATTGAGGACTGGACTTCAAAGACGGGACTTTGACGACGCAAGTGGCCAGGTGATGGGGCCAACCAGAAGGATGTGTCTGGTTTTGGTTATGTCTATATCAAGGAATATACTTACGGAGTAGAGGCACTATGAACCTATGAACTACCGATAGGCACTAGTTTAACCTCAGAGCAGCAACTGCTAGTTAATCTAAACTTCACCAGACGAGGCTGACTCATCCCTGTGACCATAGTTAGTTAGTTACCGTATGATACGTAACATGCTATATTGTACTATACCATACCATACCGTCCTCCGTACGGTTTTCTACTTCCTCCTCTTCAACAACTCCTCCTTCTTCCCCTCTCTCTGTCTCTTTCTCCATTCCTCCCATCCGGTTCTTTTTGTCACCCCTTGGTTTGTCCGTATCAGTATCCTTCCTCCATCCGTGGATGAACCCGATTAATTTCCATCTCCTGACCGTCCAAACCCACCAAGTGGAAACCACCTCGAGGATCCATCCCGGGTTGGTGGGGTTCTCTGACGACACCCGTTCACTTGATTGATCCTCGCCGTCCGCTGTCTCCCAATCTCTCCTCCCCCTCCTCCGCCGCCGCCTAACCTCTTCTTCCTATTCCTATCTTGACCATTGTCTTGCATTGTCTTTGCTCTATTCTCCCATCCCTCCCTCTTACACACCTTACTCAAGTCCCTCTCTCGGCGCCTTTCTCTTTCACAATGAATCCTCACCAGCAAAATAAGGTTGACATTAGCGTGAGTCCTACTTCTTGTCCCGTCAATTCATTCCATAGTATTAGTTACTGATATTCAATTATTTCCCACCCCCCAGTCCTTGAGTCCCGATGAGCAGCGCCTTCTACGCTTGTATGGCAAAATGCCCAACAAGAAAGACGTTTTGCAGAATAAACTGAAGGTGAGATGACCCAAATACTTTCTGGCTGGCGTTCCTTTCCTAACCTACCCTCGGTTAATAGGAGCGGAAATATTTCGATTCGGGCGACTATGCCCTGAGCAAGGCCGGAAAAGCCTCCGACGTGGGCGTCACCAACATTGGCTCGCAGCATCCTGTGCCTGAAAATATCCCTCACTTGACCGCCACATCGCCTGGGGCAAACAACCCCGCCGCCGCCAGCAATGGCACCAGCACAGGTTCTCAAGGCCAGCAGATCCCTGGAAGCTTCAGTGCTCACCCCGGCTCTGTTGGATTCCAGAGTCGAAGTCCCGTGAAAGAGGGTAGTTACCTCCAACGGGAAACGAGTGCAGAGGAGTGTGATGCCCCCGTGGCCAAGGACCAGGACGCAAAGGATCTCAGTGTGAGCCCTCCTCCCACCCAAGGTGGTGTCCCAATTCGACAATAGTTGCGGTCGCTATCTACTAGCTTCTTTCGCTTTCGTTTCTTTTTTTTTTTTTCCATTTTTGCGTTTCGTACCATCCATTGGTCGGTGGTATCAAAAGAGCCTGGCGCTATGGATTCATTTTCTCTTATGTATTCACGAAATTTTACCATTCCTATCGACGATCAGAGTATAAATTGAGATGGCGAGATGTCCCAAGCGAACACATGAATCATCGGCCTTCGACATCATGCCTGTCCTTGACTTTTTCCGCTTCTTTCCTTTGTCTCTTCATTACCTTTCTCTCATTCTACTTCCCCGCTTTAATAAAATTCTCTGTCAATATGCGGAACGTACGTATATTTGCTTTTCTTGTTCCGATATTTCCTTTCCCCTTCCTCCTTTCCAAAGTGGCTGCTTCGGATTCTTGGGGCCTACAAATAACTACCTTCTATGTATGATCCGGCTTTACGGAGAATATTCCAATCCCTAGGTAGCTCCTGCTTCTGTTCTATTCCGGGATTACAGCTTCACGTGTATGACGACGACCACAAATTGCCTGACTATGATATCTAAGTTTATTTCGGCGTTAGCCCGACGTTTTGTCGATTTACTGGAATATATGTTTATAGCGAGAATCTGCCAGACTACCGTACCGTGGCGGCTAAAGGGCCTTGGGATAAATCATCCATGGGGTTGCTTTCTAGGCGTCGGAAACTCGCGACTCAATCTTGCAAGCAACCCATGTGAATTACAAAGTCAGTTTGCACGTGAGGAACGATCGGATTGCTTGATACTTGCGGTTGAACATTGCCATTCATGTTGTAGCTAGTATACATCATCTTTAGGTCAAGTGACGGTTGGAGTATCACGGAGTTAGCCGCACATGCATCGAATATCGCCCGTCAGGACAAAATTGGAGAGAAAAAGGAAAGAAGCAAATTCGCAAAGCCAGCAGGGAACACAAAATGCCGGGGGTATAGGACTAAATAAGGGCAGTTGGGCTAAAATACGGACAGAATCCACATAATGACATAAGAAACAAGACACATCAACCTGAGTTCAAAGAGAAATACAACACGCATGTAGTCGCCAAATAGGGCTGTGTCGATCCGAACTGATCGAAACGCCATGCTGACTGGTTAAATCTGTCGCGGCCATACTCTGGTATCTAAAACCCAGAACCGGAGGTTTCTGGTTTGAGATTTCATGGCGCGATACTTCCTGCTGGCCTTTCCAAACTTTGCCACCAGACTCCGATGGACAGAGCGTAGCAGGAGACCTTCAAGTACTATGCCGAGACGGTATATAGATAGGAGAAGCAGGCGTGGCCTTTACGGGCGAGTGGGGAGCTCCCAGGGGTCACCCGTTGATCGACCACTATCCAAAAGTCCCATGCTTTCTGACTGGATCAGACTCGTGCTTTTATTGGGTCTCTTGACATGTCCACAGTCGACTCATGTCACCAATGCCATACAATCGTGTGGTAAAGCGACCAACACATGCAGAGATAGCTGACGCCGGAGTGTGGGATCCGTCTGTACTCGGTCCACAAGAATCGGAATCTTGCCGCATGCTTAAGACACCTCTAAGGTAACCGGGCCGGGTCGCCATTGCTTCAGTCGGTCTTCCAGTGACCGGCCAATCCCGAGTCCAGGTCATCGTTTTCACCCAGCCAAAGTTCAACGGCATACAAGGCCATTGTGCAGGCCAGGTTGACCCATCGCCAGAGGTTTCCACCGCCACCCCCTTGACTGCTCCACCATTCGCCGCTCCCTCCCATGGCTTGGGAGGTCGAAGCGAAATGTTGCATCAACAAGCTTGTGTAAACAGATATGAGTATAGATGGTGCAAAATAGCTCAAGAGGCCTAGAAATTGGCCTGCACCGTCCTCATCATCCAAAGAGGCTTCTTGCGATAGTGCACGGGCGCCCGATTCGCGGACAGCAGGTATAATTCGAGTGGAAGCGTACAAGACCGCGATGCGATAGGTTAACGAGATCAGCACAGACGGGGTCACCGCGCCGAAGACGGCCGTGATGACGTTGAAAGCAGCATGGATAATAGAGGGCAGGAGGGACAGAGCGTGGAGTAAGGTGGTGTAGGAGGCCATGATTATGGGCGGTAGCGGTGGAAAATCTCCAGCTTGTGCGGGGGACGGAACCGATTCCACGGGGTACGACGGCTGATAGTCGGTGAAGATCTGGTAGATGCACAGAACGATGTATGCGAACAGCAGTGAGCTCTCCACAGGGTTCCCGCGACCACTCCCAATCCCCCACGCGCACAAGATCACAGCACAGGTGATCGACACGCCAATCAGGGCCGCATCAACATTGGAGATTTCGGGAAATTGGAGGACCCGCCAAAGGAAGTAAACGGCACTTGAAATGATGGAGGCGGAAAGGACCAGGAGACCGATCTAACAGGGGACGGTTAGCCCTTGGGCGTGGTTAAGGTGGACGCAGTGACGTGTACTTACCATCCAGCTATCGCTTCGTCCACCACGGTTGACTAGCCAGCGGGTGATCTGCCCTGCAGCCTGGATCACCAATAAACTGCAAAACCCTTCCACCAGTTGAAAGAAGGGGGTCGACCATCTCAGAAGTTTATCCCAGTTGCCAATTGTCACTACTTCTATCAGGCCACCGGGCCCGAACAGCCACTCCTTGACCGAAACATCCTGAGCTCGGTTTTGGCTGAAGGTTCTCTCTACCCATCCAGGGTTACTATCGGCGTCGATCGAAAAGCGATTAAGCGACCAAATCAGCAGAACCGGAATGATGATCCATTGCGTCGATCGAATGAGGATGATCAGGGAGGAGCGAAGCCAAGAACGATCCGGCGTGGTAAGGCGCAGGAGCGAAAATAGGAAGTAGAAGGTCGCTAGAGATAGAGAGAATGCCAGACCGCATGTCTTTCCGCCCACGTCGAAGGCCAGGGGAATGGAGGAAACGGTCACGGTCAGGAAGAAGGCCGACGAGAGAATTCGGAAGAGCCACATCGGATAGAACTGGCGGAGGAAACACGCGCACGGCAGGAGAAAGAAAGTAGCCGAGAGGACGAAAGCAAGACGATGCAAGAAATAAGGACCAACGGAGTGAAAAGAGACAGCCGCTGGCGTAGGCTACATACACGAGGGAGGGAGTGGAAATATGAGAAGAGATGGAGATGACGGGGTGACGAAATCCTTAGTCAGGAGAAGGAAAGGTGGGCGATAGAAGAGAGGGAGAAAGGAAGAGAACTGAGAAGAGAGAAAGGCAAGCAAAGTAAACAGAAGTACTCCGTAGATGTCTGTTCCGTTTCGTTCGCTCTTGACCTTTGATCCCTTTCCTGTTTTCTCTCGGTTTGTCTTCCTGGGGTGGTTTTTGATCTTATCTCTCCCTTTTCTTTTTTTTTTTTCCCCTTTTTCTTTTTTCACGGTCTCTGGCAACGGAGCGGACTTTCACGTGGTTCCGCGGGTAATCAGAGTATCAGACAGTTAAAGTAACAGAACACGATCTCACAACCTCTAGACGAGAAGGAAAGGCGTCAGAGCGTGAGGGTTCTTTGGAAGAGAAGATAAAAAGAAGCAGCGAAAGAAAAAAGGGAATGGAGTTCTAATTGTCGGCACTCATTGCTCATCCACTAAGCAGACTAAATAGCGGTCAACGCCAGAAGGGGTCTCTGTTTTTAAGTTTGAATTTGTAGCAACCTCGTTGATCATGGACGACACTTGACAAGCTCGTACCCACGGATGGTCATCCTTCAGTTCTTTCCCATCATCGTCACGAAGAGAGAGGGAGAGGGAGACAGGACAGAGAGAAGGAGAAAGTCAACCTAGGGACGGATACGGTACGGTATGTGTCGTGAACAGTACCTTACCGCCCTGTACTGTTTGTCCGTATGCAGGGTACTAGGTATGATTATATAATAAGGTACACCGGATGCGCAGAGCACGTGAGCAGAGACAGCCCCCGGACCGGAGCCCTAACTGCCCGATGGGGGAGAGGCCCCGGATCAGCTTCATCTCTCCGTCGAGCGTCAATCAACCCTCTTTCCCTTTGATTACTGGATGCTACGCTTCCGATCTCTCTTCAAAATGGCCGACGAAACCCTCACCAAGAAGCTCAAGACTTCTTCGCCTTTGATTGGCACCCACAAGTCTGTATTTCCTCGTTCCCCCTTCCGCTGCACCTTCTAGTCCGCTCTCTTCCAATGATCGTTTGCTCATTACTGATCCTTTCGCAGCGGCCACTTCCACGCTGACGAGGCCCTCGCCGTCTATCTCCTCCGCCAGCTCCCGACCTACTCCGCCTCTGCTCTCGTCCGCACTCGGGATCCCGCCCAACTGGCCACCTGCCATACCGTTGTCGATGTCGGCGGCGAATATGACCCCGCCAGCAACCGCTATGACCATCACCAGCGGACATTCGCAACCACCTTCCCCAGCCGCCACACCAAGCTCTCTTCCGCCGGCCTAGTGTACATGCACTTCGGCCGTGCCATTATCGCGCAGCACACCTCGTTGCCGGTGGACCACGAAGACGTCACCCTGCTTTATGAGAAGCTCTACACCGATTTCATCGAGGCCATCGATGCCAACGACAACGGCGTCTCGGCGTATGACCCGGCCGCTCTGGCTACTGCCAACATCGAGAAACGCTTCAAGGACGGCGGCATCACCATTGCTTCCGTCGTGGGCGACATGAACAACGCCGACCCCACCTGCCCGCCCGGGGAGCCCCAGGACGAGGACAGCCTCTTTGGCCGGGCTAGCACCTTCATCGGCAATGTGTTCACGCGCAAGCTGCACCACGCGGCCTCCTCCTGGCTGCCCGCCCGGACGACCGTCGGCGCCGCCTATCGCTCCCGCCGCGACGCTCATCCTTCCGGCCGTATCATCGTCCTGCCGCAGGGAGGTGTTCCGTGGAAAGAGCACCTGTACAACTTCGAGCAGGAGGCGTCCGGTGCTGGCGAGCAGAACTCGGAGGAGCAGGTATACTACGTTCTCTACCCCGAGAGCGCTAATGAAGGCTCCAAGTGGCGCGTGCAGTGCGTGTCGGTCAGCGAGGGGAGCTTCGAATCGCGCAAGCCCCTCCCGGAATCCTGGCGCGGGGTCCGCGACGCGGACCTAGATGGCGTCATGGCAGCCGAGGCAGAGAAGGCGGGCAAGCCCGCCATCCCTCAAGGGGCCGTCTTTGTCCACGCGAGCGGTTTCATTGGCGGTCACCAAACCAAGGACGGTGCATTCGCTATGGCTGCTCGGGGCCTGGAGCAATAGTGTGAAGCGATCTTCCTTAAGAAGCGGCTGCGGATTTCCAATCATGATTTACGGCGTATGTTATTTGCATAATTTTTCTATTGACGAATCTGGGGTAATACGGGTCGTTGCATTGGTCGTCTAAAAGTCTTTATTTCGTTTCCCCTTCTCTCTGGCTCTTCCTTACCTTCCTCTCATTGTACGATGTCTATGTCCGATCGGCACCCGCTCGAATTATCTCCAATCGGCGCGTGCTCAACACAAAACACCCCCTTGGGTGGTATCGGCGGTCATTTCAATTCCTGGCCTGCAAGCTCCCACTCAACCTTGCTGATCCCCCCGTTCCCCATCAACCAGAGGGTTTTGAGTTCGGGGCCTGTCCAGGCAAAGTTTTGCACCGTGTAGTTCGTCTGGATCGTCAGGAGAAGCTGGCCGGCAGGGTCTAGTACGTCAACGCCTCGTCCAGTTCCTGCCAAAATATACCCATTTGCGGCCACCTTGAGGCCGTCGGGCACGAACCCGGCGGCCAAATATATAGGACGCTTATTCAAGGCCTGAGTACCATCGCTGCTCACGTCAAAAGCATAGACAGTTCTGTTATGAATTTAGAACCGTCCATCAGCCATGTTGCGCGTACATGCTTCGGGATAAGAAAGAATATACATACCTGCGATGGGTGGCATTGAAAGGTGTCCCTGGATGTCCGGCGTCGGGGTCGACGGGCCCACTGACCGCGGCAGTGTCGCTGATGTATACGGTCGTGCCATCCGGGTTAAAGGCAATGCCATTGGGCTGGCCAATGCTGTCATCCACGACCATCACGGCACCCGAAGACGCATTATACCTGTAGCTAGCTGACGGAAGCTGTGGAGGGGTATCGGTAAGGGAGTTGAACCAAGAGTAGTCTTTTTTCACAAATCAGCGCATGCGTCTCGGCTAGGACGTGTTGGAATCAATGCATGGGATCAACGAACGAGGGTCTGTGAACCAAATATCTCCCGTCTTCGGATGCACGGCAAGGTCATCGATAGTGTTAAAGTAGAACCCGTAGTAGTTATTGACCAGATTCGTGGTCTTGTTGGTCTCCGGATCCAGTGTCCTCAAAGATACACGTTGCTCGCCACCCCCGACAGATCGATTCCCACCGGATGTTCCCCAGATGATCTTGCCGTTATGGAAAGTGCCTCCATTTGGGGCATAAACAGGGGGGTCGGAGAGGAATTCTGACAGGGTTGGAGGGTCTTGGTTTAGATCGACCACGAGCTGGGGCAGGTAGCCCGCCGGGGGAGCCAATTGTGACAGGTACAGTTTATTCTGCGACGCCACGTAAACAGGCGCCTCATGGACAGCTTCGGACACCGCAAACATGAGCTCGTAGCTAGGTTTAGAGCCCAGTATCTCCAGCCCCCTTTCTTTGTCAAAGACGACAAAATCGGCCGATTTCACTTCTGATAGCGCAGAACCGTTGGCAACTGAAATATCACCGAATGTCGTAGGAACCTCTATGGTAGATACGTTGCGAAAGAAGTGATAGCTATTTGCGCATTAGCATACCTTCCTCCTCTGCCTTCCTTTCCGATAGACTAGAGATCCGACTCACGGCAGGACATTTGCGTAATGATTGATGCATGTCACGGAAGGCCCACAGATCTCTGAAATCGGGGCGGTGACTCCAGATTGTGCACATGCGCATCCAAGAAGAAGCAACTGGCATCGAAGCGATACCAACCGCATGTTCGCTTCTTTTCCCTGAGTGCTGAAGGCAAATTCACAGGATTCGAGAAAGTATATTCTGGCAAAGTGTCCGATGTCCTGGTCCTTCACAATTGGGCTGGCTGGATCAGAGTAACAAACATACGGAACTGGCGAGAATCCTGAATCAAGGGGACGGGGTGATCGTCGGAGATTTATAGTCCACCAGGGCCAGGTGAATTGCGTCAATTGGAGGACAGGCGGTGTATTGCCGTTGAGGGGTATTGAAGAATAACCCGAGAATTGAATCAAAACCACGAGAGGGGTAACTTCAAGCTTGAGACAGCCATATGATTCGTTCAAAGCTCACTAAATTGAATGTACCCCAGTGATCGCCCTTTGTAGGGAGCCTCCGAGAACGACAGGTGTGCTCGGTCGCGGCCGGAGAAACTCCGAGAGGACGTGGGATGTTGTATGCTGGGGAAGCAGACCGCAGATTGTATGTGATTTTGCGGGAGGGGGTCCTGCAGAGGGGAAGATGTTCTAAATCAGTGGCGGATGTTAAGCGCGCTGATGTCTTCGATGCTGCCGGTCCCGTCGCCCGCGGTCTGCGTTTCTTTCGCATCCGGGTGAACATCCGACACGTCTTCCCTTTCCCCAAGGGCACGCTGGATGAGTTTGGCCTTGATGATAGCGCCCTTCAGGCGTTCGTCCACGTCTGTGACAGCTTCCTCGGTATTTTGCATTGGTAGAGACGCAGGATCAACAAGCTCGAGGAGCGTGTCGATATTTTTGGCTAGCCTAGAACTGGAGGGAAAGCTCGACATTTCCGTGCAGATAGATGGGTTTAACGAAATTTGCTCGTCCTCGCCGTTGGCCCGCTGGGGTGCAGCGGAAGATCCTAATTCAGAAAGATCATGATCGGGATTTTTCGATGGCTTGCTGTCTGCCAACCGCTGGGCCCAGACGAGAGCTTTCCCATAAAGACGCCCAAGCTCAATGAATTTTTCGAATCCTTTCTCGACGGCAAACACGCTCCCTTCGGTATATCCGGCTTTGGCGCCGTCAGAAACCCCTAGATCATATCCCTCCTGGTAGAACTCTTCTTCGAGATCAAGAAGACTCTCAAGTAGATTATTCTCCATTTGATCTATCAGGCCGTGTGTGCTGGGGATGGGGGAAGTGGACAGGCGATGGATTGAGTACCGGAGGTCGCAGAGAGGTATAATAAGCACCGAATTGAACTCTGAATGTTCTAATAACAAGTGATGAAAATAGATTTTGGAGAGGAGAGGTACGAAAGCGAAACAAGTGATCTCGAGGAGGGGTGGCTGTTGGTGAAAAGCTTCCGGCAGACGGCGGGACTCTTTTTTTTTTTCCTTTAATACTAAAAACTACTTCGTACTGCCCCTCCAATCCAGGCACAGCAACCCCGCCAGAGAGGATGGTCTTCGTTACACCGTTGTTTCTCACCTCACCCACTCATATCTGAGAGCTGGGTGGCTTTTATTGCTACTCTTTGTCTATGGACTATAAAAGCTGACTACAAACATAAGAGACTGCTCAACACTTCCCTCGAGAATTATGGGTAGGTAAGGCAGGAGAGATGGACCTGAGAAGAAAAAAAGAAGAAAAAGAAAAAGGCCGCGTAGAAATAGCCCACCAGAAATTATTCGCTCATATGCATTCCCAAGGATGTTTAAAAAAAAAAAATTCCGGGGGGAAGGGAAAGAAAAAGAAATACATGACGGATGGATGTGGAACAGAAAGGGAGAAAATAAAGCAAAGAAGAGACAAGAGACAAGGATAAAAAGCAAAGAAATCAACCCAAAGTGACCAAGACCATTTAGTTGATCGGCCATTGATCGAGAATGAACCGTCAAAGTGAGGACCCTGGATTCGACATGATTGATATTTGGTATCGACTTAAAACAAGCTGGCCCCAGGCACCCCGAACCCCAAGCGACGCCCCATTTTAGATGTCCCGTACTCTTCCATTACCTTTTCCTGGTGTTCGGCCGCGGTTTCACTTCTTCCTGCGCGACCGGATGCAGCATCACCTTGTTCGGAAGCTGCTGGGTGTTGGCCGAGTATCCCTTGCTCCAGTCATAACTCACGGCGTAGGCAAAGATGGTGCCGGTGCGGTTGAAGGCCGTGCTAGAGATCTGTCCTCCGACGGAGGGATAGCCCTTCAGGCGATGTTTGGCGTCTTTATCCCAGAAGTGGAAGGTGCCGTCACTACCTGCCGTGCTGAAAGTACCATGGACCGGGTGGAATGAGATTGAGTTGACGGAATAGATGTTGTTGATGTCCCGCTGGTTTTGAGGAGTCTCGCGGTGACACTTGAAACTGAAGTTGGAGTTGGAATCCTTCTCCTCGACATACTGGATGGCACACCGGCCTTCAATACTGCCAACCGCGAATCCGGTTGCGTCGGCAAAGCAGCTGACTACCCGCGTCTGCCACTTCAGAGGCGACTGCATGGTTTTGTAAAATTTGGTAGGGTTGTCCAGATTGATGATGTTGATGTACCGATCGGCCGTTCCGACAACAAGCAGCTTATTTTTCACATCCATGGTGTAGACGCGCTCTTGACATTCTACCGTAGCAATGGGTTGGGGGTTTCGGATATCCCAGTACTTGATTGTTTTATCCCATGAGCCGGTGACGAGAAGGGGGCCATTTCCATTCGGGTTGGGGATCATTTGGCAGCATTTGATGGGAGCATCGTGGGCAGCCACTTGAACGGCGGTCGTGCTATTCGAAGCAAGATCGAGCATGCGAGCAGCTTTGTCGGCGCCGGCCCCTACCACTTTTGTTCCATCCTGGCGTGCGAAAAGTTCGTTAGCAATAGACCGGGAGGGCGTTGAGAGAGGGAGGAGGAAGTTCCCTGGGGCGTTTCGAAGGCTTCAGACTCACCGGTGCCCAGCAGCAGTTTAGAACGGGGGCTTCGTGATCGAAGAGCGCCTTTCCTTCACTCTGGCCTTGTTCGTTGATTTCATATATGCGGACTTTCTTGTCCCACGAGGCTACTGCGAGATGGTCGGTGGCGGGAGAGAATTGAAGGTCCGAGATGCTGTCCTCCGGAGGTAGAGCGAGAGCGACATCTTTCGATATATCACCGGTGGTGTTTGTTTGGCCTGCCGACGTCGCCGCGGCGCCGACGTTACCGAAGAGCGACATTCGAGCGAGAACTTTTTGCCTTTTTTTTTGGAGGACCCGTCCGAACCAATACGGTAGCACCGAGTAGTGCAGGCACGGGGATTAGGCCAAGGGTGATGGTCGGATTCACACTTAACTAGGCAATACTGGCCTAGTCTTATGGGGTCAATGCAAGAGGGTAGTCCCGGGCAAACAAAGGGTCGCGGGGAGGTCGATGGTCAAGAAAGAGACGACGCGCTGAACGGGTGCGCCAGCTTGACCAGGCGAGGCGGCAGTATCCTCGGGCCTTCACACCGCCCTACATTCACTGCTTGCTCCGTCTACATTCTACAGTGTATGTACCTACTCCGTAGATAAACATCCATCTCTACTCAGGTCTCGTTTACAGGGTAATTAACCGCCTTTCGATGGTCGAAGAGGTACGTAAAAGGGGGATCCCGGAAGCTTAAATAAGAATTCCTCAGAGTCCCCCGGTTTCTCCCGGATAATTGAGGGTAATGTATACATTTCCAGGCTTCCAGGGCTGATGGTCAGTGGAATAATCGTCTTCCCTGCCCCAGGTAACCCCACCAATTAAAAACCGAACAAAGACACCAAACTACATCGTAAGGAACATAAATACCATCCGATACGACCTAGCGTGAGGTGATGTCTCGGGCTCGTCATTTCCTACAAAGAAAGACAGAACTGTGTATATTTCGGTCAATCTTTATCTGCGTGCTGCGAGGTTCATGGCCGATCAACAACAGAAGGGGCCTGGATTCACGGACGAGACACCTTGTACCGCCCGAGATCATCGGTCAGCCACCAACCATACGATGATATGACCACCTTCGCTGCATCTCCTCATCCTTTGACGTATACACCTGCATGGATCGAGGAGGTAACACCACCCTCTATCGACTGGGGTTCGCACATCACACCACCCGAGTCTGCCCACCCGGACCAATGGCCGACAGAGATCATCCAATAATGAGGGGGAAGCGACAAGGTTTGGCCATGATGCCATGACTTGGATGAGGAGCTGAAACCCTCCCCGATGGAAGATCCCCAAAGAAGGGAAGGGAAGGGGGATTAATGTCGGAAGTCACTCACTAAGTAGTACTGGGGAAATCAGAACAATCAGTTGCGAGAAAATATATTCACGGATGGTCTGGCATGACGTGTCACCCACGCAGCGTCTCTCGTGGTATGATCGGCATTGTTCGGGGTGAATGAGCTAAAGTACCTTCTCTTTTTGCAGTAATCTTTGTTATGATCAAATTTTTTTTTTTCCTTCTTCTCGTCGTTCTTCTTCAATTTCTCAGTCTGACTGTCTGCTCACTCACTCCATTTCCCCCCCTCCTTCGTTGAATCCCTGCAGGAAACAAGTGAGCGATGATCCGTTGACGGGACTAAGACGTTTCGACGGGGCGAGTGGAGCGGGCGGGAATGCGGGGTGCAGCCTTGGTGGACCTCCGTCAAGAGCTCTCGACGTCAATTCACTCAATTCCTCGCGTGATCCGGTTGCCCCGGGCCTGCCTCTTTTTTGGGAGGGTTGTTTTCCTCTTCATGGTATGTACTGTATGTACGTACATAGCATGTACACAGTAGTAGGGAGACGGGATGGAGTAGACCCTAGACAGACAGTCGGTTGAGGGAAAGAATCATGAAACGGTCGACGGATTCACTACCTCCGATGCGCCAAGGTGGAGACCCACTACATCATCTGTAGATAATCGATATCGAGGTATGACCATCTGGATCCCAACTGTGATCTTTCAAAGAGCCAGCGTAGATGAAACAAGAATATCCTCGAATGGTCCGTCTAGAGGTGTAGGAACGAATGAAAGGATCAAAGGGAGGGACGAAGAATGAAGGCTTGCCAGACCCCGCAGCATTTGGCATCGTCATTCATCGTACGGTGTCCCATCAGTCCAATGGTGGTTCGTACCGGATTCCTGCTGGTCTGTCTGGAAAGTAAGGCAGGCAGGGAGGGAGGTAGCAGGTACCGAACAGCCACCCTCTGCTTGGCTGGTCAGAGCAGGTAGCCGGTACTCCTTTGTCCATTACACCGTCGGATGCATTGGATGATGGCCCGGTCTCTGGTCACCTGCCCCGATCGTTCCCCTCTTCTACTTCCCTCCTTTTCCTCTTCTTCTTCTCTTCCTTCCTCTTCTTCTTCTCTTTTCTCTTTCATCCATTCCCCTATCTTGTAGTATTCCTCCAACAGTTTGGTAGGTTCCATCCATTCCTGTAGCCTGTCATTCCCATTCCTTTTTCTTCTTCTTCTTCTTCTTCTTCTTCTTCTCCCTGCTCTTCCTCTTTACCCCCCCCCCCCTCTCTCTTTGTGTTCATGTGCTTGATCTCTCTCTCTCTCTTTCTCATTCCCACACCATATCCCAGTCTGAAGCTGTACTAATCATCTCCACCTGAGCTTTGCCTGCATCTACAGTGATCCCTATCTGAATCTCTCACCTGGTTTGAGCCATGTCTGCCGAACTCACAAAGGTCGACTCCGCCGTTGCTGGCTTGTCGATATCCCCCAAAGACGACAAGGACGCCAAAAAGACCCACAGGCGCACCTCGTCACACGCCGCCGAGGGTGTCTGGAACATCAAAGACCTAGAGGCACAGAAGATTGATTTGACGCTGCCAATCGAGACACAGAAGACCGGATGGTAGGTTTGATAGTCCACTTCTCGGTGATCTTACTTCCGTTCGTCTGCCAGAGACTGATTCCTCGCAGGAAGCTCAACACCTCACCGGCCACAATCGAGGACAGAGACATTCTCAAGCTTCAGCTCGTCAACCCACCGGTCAAGAAGATTGACCTTCACTTCCCGCTGGGTTTGGAAGTGACTGCTCGTAATATGAAGGGAGTCACGATCAAGGATGCGCTGGACGCAATCTACAAGCAATTCAAGAAGAAGGTACGTTGACACCAGACCGTTGCATGTATTCCTTTAGGTTATTGGTGAACCTGAATTGACCTGTCCTTCTAGGCCGACGACGAGCTTGACAAGCCCTACCTCGCTGGTTTCGAGTGGGACAAAGATGAGTGCTGGACACGTCTTATTGTTCACCAGACCAAGCAAGGTCCTCCCGCAGCGCCCAGTAAGAAATCCAAGAAGAAGAACAAGGAAGAGGCGTAGAGATGGACCATCGCCGGCCCGGCGAAGGCTCACCTGTTCCTTTTATCTTCGGTCATTCCCTTCTCTAATGCTCGTATGGGCAATTGTTCATTCCTCTCTTTTTTTTCTTTTCGTCTTCTCGCCTCTTGTCTTGCGGTTCGGGTCTTTTCGGGTCTGAAGGCTACTGGGGATGTAGAAGCTGGAGCTCAGATGGCGTTTGTCACTGCAATCATTCTCTCGGTTTCCCTTTTCATCTGCTGGGTCTGTCTGTTTATTATATGCCTTGGCTGGATCACTCTGTTTGCGGGGGGATCAAGAGCCAATGGTCGCCGCGTCTGTTCCTCGGATCGGGTTCACTCTCCTTACCAGCTGAACAATACGAAAGATCTTTGTAATATGATCACGATTGCAAAGAACGTAGTGATGGGGGATCGGATGACGATCGGCCGAATTAAAGATGCATCCCGACGGCCACTAAGATGCCCTAGTCGCCGCTTGGCTGGACTAGTCCGGAGTCGATATTTGGGCCGCAGGCCAAACAAATCATTATCATTATTATTTATTAAATACATGCGAAGTAACCGATGATAATGAGCTGGGCATGGGGAAACGTCCTCTAACGCACCCGGCCCGAGTCCCCCCCACCGAAGAGAACGGAAATGATCTCATCCAAGATGGTAAACACCAGGTGCGTATTGAGCCGCTGGTTGTTCAGGGTCGCGAAGATCCGGCGCGCGGCCCCTTGCGCATTGGCCCGTCCTACGACGTTGCCCGCAAGCTCTGGAACCAGCGTGGCCAGGACCAGACTGGCCTCGGTACGACTCTTTAGCCGCTCAGACGCCGTGCGCACTTTACTTTGGCGCAGCGAGCCCCCGGGCCAAAGGGCTTCTTTGACTAGGGTGAGGTATCGCAGTAAGGGTTCGTCTCGGACCAGCGACCGCGCCCCTTCACGCACCTTGCGTTCAATAGTGCCGCCCAGCAGCTGGTGTAGGACGACGACAACCGCGCGGCCTCGCAGCCAGTTGTTCCCGCGATTCAGCTCGAACGCCTCTAGAAATAGGTCGCAAATCGGCTTGATGAATGGCTCCAGCTCCCGATCTTCAAACGCATTTAGCTCTGCTTCTGCCTCCGCCGTCGTCACAGCATCTTCGGTGGCGAGTCCGGACTCCGAACCAGGACCCTGATGCTGCGTGGTCGCGGCGGAAATGAGGTTCTGCCCGGCTGTCGAAAGCTGATCCAACACGCCGAAATTACCCAGAAAGTCATCCATCCCATCTGCAACCGAAGTGTATATCCGAGTCACCAAGTCCTTGGTCTCTCCCTCACGAGGATTCTCGTCGCGGGGAATGATGGCTCGCTGGGATAGAAACGCACGCAGATCCCGGCTGCGGCATACTTCCGGTAATAAAAGTAGTTTTTGTAGATAGGCTTCAAGGGCAAGCCGCCGCTTCTGTAGGAATTCCTTTTGTAGTTTCATGACCATACGGCGCCGAGGAAACTCAAGGTTGCGAACCGACGGGTACCTCATGCGTAGCTTGTGGTGTAGCTCGTGGAATTCGCTGTATCGACGGGCAACAGCCCAGGAGGCCGCGGGCATCTGTTCGCCGGCATTTCTTTGTACCTCTACCACATCTGGAGCAAGTGTTAGCTGATCGCCCGGATGGGAGTAAAATAGGGGAAAGCATACACATGGCAAATTCTCGGCCGTCCTCTTCCTTGCCCACGACGATGGACTTGATTCGAACGGCCGACCGACCATACAGGCTGTTGTCACTTTCTTGGATGATGTACTGTTGTCGTTGCATCTCCTTACGTTGCATTTCACGCCGAATGCTAGCCTTGGATTTCCGGAGAATCCTCAGTTCTGCCGTATTGTTGGTGAGCTCAGCCTTCCGGGTCAGAGCATCGACCACTGATTCTTGTGATCCTAGTTTCTCGATATCTGCAGTGAGCGCTTCAACCGCTTCGGTTAGCCCAAGGTCGCCCGGAGCAGCCTTAAGGACCTCGTCGGCTGGATCCTTGTCGTCTGGCCCCACCGGTTCTTCGTATTCATCCTCGATGAACTTCTGCTGGTCGGGGAAGAGATCATCGGCAAAAACCCCCAGACGTGAAGACTGGTCTACAAGCCCTAGCGAGGCAATGCTGGGCTTCGCCTTGTCATCGGCTCGAAACTCTGCTCGCGCCGATTCTAGCGAGCTCCGGGGAGATTTGGAAGCTGGATCGCTCGAAGATCTAGATGGAGGTAAATCGGCGCCTTTGAGATCCTCCAGCTTGCTATTCTTTGGCTCGCTGGTGATGATTTCATTCAGTGCAGCTTCCATGGTTTCAATCACCTGATTTTGGTTCGTTTCGTTCTCGCCGTTTTGCGAGTCCCGGCCTAGACTGTTAGTTGACATGGCAAGAGGATCCGTGTCGTAATCATCATCAAACAGTGGAGCCGATCGCTCCGAGTCGAAGGATCGCCGTGGAGGCTCGTCATCGTCAAATAACTTGCCCATGCTTCGAACATCGCTTGAGGAAACCGCTGCCCTCCGAAGGTCTTTTGGTCTGATGCTTGGATGTGATGCCGTGCGACCCATTAGAGGTAGAGGCCGCCTTTCGAGCGCTTCCGTTGTGGAAGGGGAATCTTGCTGAGGCACTGGTGAGGTATGAGACCGCGGATGCGAGGTCTCGTCGGAAGCAAGATACTTATAGTATAGATCAGAATGCTTGAATTTAGGATAATAGGTGTTCTGGAGCTCATCCAGTACAGCAGACTGGGTAGTCAAAACCACCGTTCTAGCTCTACGGTACTGCTCAGGAGTTGCCCGCTTGCCCGCGTTCAGGAACGCTCTCACGGCTTGACGTGATTCCTGGGTCACATGAAGCTCGCTCTTCGAGAGATATGTTTCACTTATCAACGCTATATCATTTCGGTCTGCCGTTGTCCAATGGGTCGAGCCTGGAGAGTTTTCGTCGCCAAAATCATCTTCAAGCGGATTGCGGAACCCGTCAACAACAATCCAAAATTGTACCAAAGACATGAGCTTTTGACGATCCATGAACTCCATGAAGTATGAGAGGCCGGCAGCATCGTGCATCACGTCCACCAACGAAGTCTCATGGGACGCGGAACTTTTGCGGAGGTGCGACGTTGCCACGGAGGCCTGCGAGACCGCGCCACCACCACTGGTCGAAAGCTTGAATACTTTCTGATCCAAGACTCTCTTTCCAGTTTCCAGGCGTCGCAGATAAACCTGGTCTTGTCCGTCAATCATGGTCTCTCGTTTCAATTGGCTCGCAACGAGTGCCCTAAACCGCCTGGCATCTGAAAGACTATTGCAGCGGCGGATGGCTCGGACAAAACGCTCAAAAGCACGCTCGGAATCATTTGGGCCAAGCCGGGGAAATTGACGGGCGTTTTTGGACTTCGCAACGGGAGATGCATGCTCGTCCAAGGCCGCTCGGAGCTTACGCACCGTTTTCCGATCCTGGAGAGCAGTCCTCCCATAAGCCTCCATCAGCTGGTTCCACGTATCTGGATCCGACAGTGCTGACACCACGGGGAAAAGAACAGCGCAAGACAATAGTTCCTTGACCAAGACCGAGACGATGCGGCTTTTCAGGACAGTCTCCGGGAGCAGTTGGGGGAGTAGTGCATTTGCAATCTTCCGGAGGTATTCCTGCTCCACTAGTTTTTGGTCGGCAAGCGAGAGCGCCGCAGCGGGATGCAGGTGACCATCGCGATACTTGCTCGCAATGGCGAGGTCCAGTTCCTCCGATTCGGTAACATTTCGCGTTAGATTGCGCCCGCGCACTGACCGCTCGGCGACGTCAAACTCGTTGAGATGCGTTGTCAAGATGGGGAACACGCGGGACACAACGAGAGATACCAGGTCTTCGTCCAGGATCCGATCGCGCAGGTTGCCAACCGCAATTCTAATGACTCGGTCCACCTCGTTCACGAACACAGGGCTTGGGCTGATGCTTTTGTACCAGGAAGCGACGAAGTCTCGGACGAGAAGGGCCAGTATGTCGTCAATGGCTTCCGACACAACAAAGGACGGAGGAAAGAGAGAGGCTGACTGGTAAGTGGAGCGCCTTTGCAGGCCCTGCACCTCCTCTCTCCAGTGACGAGAAGCGACTGCAGCAACGCATGGGTTCTTGGGGCGGGTAGACCTCGCGACGCTCGGCTTCTGGACGGTCAGGAGAACGAGCGCGAACAAAATGGCCGACGCAAGGAGGATGCCTAGTCCGACGGCATACCCTAAGTACCGCAGAACAGGAATCCAACGCACAGCTAGGCCCCACGCAATAAATCCACCGGTGCCCAGCAGAACAAGATCACGACGGTTCAGGACCATTCTCCCCGGACCAGATGCACAGTCAGCGAAGGAGACAGTCCCATGACGGTTCCGAGGGAGGGGAAAACAAGAGAAGAGGACCTGCCGAAGAGGAAGGGAAGGACGCAGGAGGGAAGTACTCCGTAGGAAGTAGGAATAGGAAGTAGGAAGGAAGGGAAGTGAGAGATGTTATCGGCGCCGAGTCTCGGGCGGTGAGGTATGGAGGAAACGGTATCCGTACCAGACGCGGTATCCACCGACGTCATGTGTTTTGGCCGCTTCTCTCTTCGTCTCTCTCCACTTTCTCCTCTCCTCTCCTCCTCTCTTCTTCCCTCTTCTTCTGCTTCTCCCCCTTCCCACCTCTCCTCAACCCATTATTTTGTCCTTCAACCCTCCCCTAACTTACACACCATGGCCACCCTCACAGATTTTGTCGATTTCTCCCAACAATCCCTTCAATGTAAGTCCGCTTCTCATCCGAGACTCTCCCGGCATGTGATCCTGAACTCCGCTCTTCTCTCAGTGTGTGCGCTGTCCGTTGCTTTCAACCCCATCTTCTGGAAGTAAGTTGCTCTCTCCGTCTCTCATACTATGCACCTGGACTAATCTCGCTAACCGTGGACCGTCTCGCCGTTAGCATCGTGGCCCGTGCCGGTTGGTCCCCTTTGACTCGATTCTAGCTCACTTATTCGGAGATGTTTGTCTCTTGTGTATAAAAAGCTCATATCACAACCCTGATGCGTCATTCTGTAGAGTATCGAAACCACTACCTGGCTCGTATATTCGGCAGCCCCTACTCCGGGTGCTATTTCCTCGCCTTCACCATCTTCTCTCTGGGCATCGCTCGCGACCATGTGTATCAACTGGCCCTGGAAGACCAACCCTACTACGCCCCAGTGCACCAACCGATATTAGGCGGCGCCCTCTTCGCTATCGGTTCCGTTCTCGTCCTATCCAGTATGTATGCTTTGGGTGTCACCGGGACCTACCTCGGTGACTACTTTGGCATTCTCATGGATGCCCCCGTCACCGGCTTCCCCTTCAACGTGACCGGCTCGCCCATGTATTGGGGAAGTACCCTGAACTTCCTGGGCGTTGCTCTTTACAAGGGCAAGGTGGCGGGCATCTTCTTGACCGCCGAGGTCTTCATTCTGTATTGGTTCGCGCTCCGCTGGGAGGAGTAAGTTCTTCACTTCTATTTTCCCCTCTCTCAATCCTAGCCACCCGCCCCCCTGCAACCATGTGGCCATTTCTCTTTTCAATTTGAATCGACACGAAAAGAAACAAAGGAGAACGAAGTAACTCGCTAACCGTGACGGGGTAGTCCTTTCACCGCCGAAATCTATGCTAAGCGAGAACGCGAGCGCGCGAAGTCGAAACAAGGCGGCAAGCGCCAGTAAATCATTTGAAAATAAGCCTGCACAGGCAGCTGTTTCGATGTACGAGAATATGAGCCTCGACTTAGAAGGGGTAGCATGCCCCTTGTAAACAGTCGGGGCTCTGGACTTTCAACATCCATCACATCGACAGGGGTGGTGAGACGATAAACGTCAGTTGGGGGCCCCGTGGGCAAAGAGAGAGACGCTAAGCTGCCGAGACAAGTAGTAGAAAGGTGATATTTTCAACAAGGAAAAATCGGCTAGTGGGTACGGTGTGGATAATGGTATGTTTAACCGTTATGATGAGATCCGTGGTGAAAAAAGGAATTGAATAGAATTTGAGAGAAGGGGGGTGAAGAGAGCAGATGGGGTTTCAATGGACTAGATTATTATGATAATAATAAAAAGCAGTCGATTCGTTTTCATATTTCGTCAAGGAAAAGATTATTGTAGGGGAACTTGGCTACACCATGTTAAAGAAGACCCCAGAAATGTCAACGGCATCGGAACACAAACACCGCCAACTCCACGCTATAGATCTATGTATGAGGATGGGCGTGCATGCGTAACAAGAATGGTCATAGAACGAGATGAGAGAGGAAGGTGGGAGATGGAGGTAGAGAGAGAGAGATGGAGAGAAAGAATGAGAGAGTGTGTGAATTAGGCTCGTCGGCCTCTACCCCTTTTGTTCGATGTCCGACTCTCTTCGACCGTCTCAATTTCATCTTCGTCGGCACCCTTCTTGAGATCTTCTCCTTCAGCAAGACCCCACTTCTCGCGGTCATACCAATCTTCACCGTCGCTCATCTCTCCCACGTGGCCCTCCGCTTTACACCACTCCAAAACGTCTTCTTTCATCCGGCAGGCACGAAGGAGAGACTCCAACATGTGCTCGAACCCGCGAACCGTTTCCTCCTGTTTCTGAACATACGACCAAAGTAACCGCCGCGTATCTTCGGCCTCGTTGGGTGGCAGGCCAAAGTTTGGGTCTGGTCGGACAGAGTTCGGGGTGAGGAAAAGAGGGTGTGGTGCTGGAAGCGTACTAAGAGTGTCGGATGAAGGAGATGGGGACAGAGTGCTTGGGTCCAGCTCCTGCTGTGGGTTGCCGGCGTTGACTTGCGCCCGAGTCGTCATGCGCTGAGGTGGCCCGTGGTCAGTCTCCTCGTGCATCTCCTCATCTTGATCAGTTTCATTCCCTTGCGTATCGGCTAAGAGTCCCGGATCAGCCAGGGCGTTCTCGACGCTGGTGGCTGGCTTGTCGTTCGCATTCTCTCTCCTCGCCGTTTCAAGTGTGTGGTCGGAGTCAGTCGCCAGATCTTGTCCAGACTGCGGGTTTCCTGTACTATTTCCATTGGGTAGTGGGCCCGGAACCGCGGTCTCCGGATGTTGTGGGAGATCTCCCACGTGTGTATCAACTTCTTCCGCCTTGGGAATTTTTCCTTGTTCCACATTTTCCTTGGGGACATCACTTTGCGTCTCTCGGTTCTGGGCATCTGTCATTTCCACATCTTTGTCTGCAGCTTGTGGCTCCCCGTTCTGGTCCGGTTGTGACTGCTTTGGGACAAGTTCTGCTGAGTGCGGGTTCGATGGCTCATGATTCTGGGCATGTGATGGTGTGGAAGTCCCATTTTCCCGCGCCTGAGCTGACGGGGTGTTGTGCCCGGTGCTAGTCATTCGGGGTTCAAAAATCCACCTGTCATCTGGTGTTTCTGTTGTCCCACATGGTACCCACGATCCGTCACCTAGAAACTGCCGATGAAGATTTCTTGCGCGCCATAATAACGCACGCTCTTGCCGTAACTTGGCGTCAATGGCCTGTGTCATATTCAAAAGAGCCTTCGAGGTATAGGCATGGGATAACGAGGGGTGGATAGGTAGCTCCGACGGATGCTTCAGAGGGCACAGGAAATCTAAACGCAAGGCATACTCGTAAGTCACATTCGATTCACATTACTTTGAACCAGGAAGAAAATCACAGTGAGGGAAAGGGTTGAATAGCAAAGTTAAAAACTTACTTTCAAGCGCAATTTCAGAAAAAGGGTTTTCTTCCGCCGCAATGGCATCCGCTTCGGAATCTTCGTCATCCTCGTCAAGCTCGTCGCCCTCGGAGTCGTATCGTACAGGATTTTGTTGGAGGATGTAGCGAGTGTATCCGGCATGTTCAATTTTCTGCGCAGGTCGAAAAAGAACCCACCAAGTTAGTGATTCCTTGAAACGACATCGGAGCAGACACGCGCATCAGGTAATCGTCGTGTCGACGCGAGATATCCTACCTGTTTATAGAGATCTTCCGAGTGAATATATCCTAGTGCGCCCTCACGAACATACTGTGCATTGGCTCGTAGTTTGTTGCCTCGATTGGTCGGTTCCGTAATGGGGTCATCCGGGCCCGAGTCTAGAGGAAGGAAAGTCAGGATGGTGCTAGTCAAAGGAGCGAGGGTGAGAGTATCTAGTGTAGCTTACAATTAGTCTCCTTGTGTAAAGCCCGCTTCATACCAACGATGGTATCAGCAATCAAAGCCGCCTGCGCAGCCATGGCGACCAATGAGGGCGAGGGTGTCGCACTGCGGCAGGGCGAAGACGAAAGTGAAGAAAGGGAATGAGAAAAAGGAGATGGGGTGATGGGGTAGGGAGACGTGGGCAAAATAAATGATTAGTTGATCTGAAAGAGACGATGGGCTCTGGGAATGGACGGACAGTGAGCAACGGGCACTCTCTCTTCTCTCTCCGCTTAATGGAGAGCTGCGGGCAATGCTGCGATCGCCGCTAGTCTCCTTTGGGCCGCGCGTGATAAGGGCCATGTCACGTGTCGGTCCCCGTTACCTCTACGGAAGGGCATGTACTCGATTTCATATATCATATTCTCTCGACATTCAAACGAGGCGCTAATTTCTTTGCACAAAAGCTCATCACCATGATTTCTCACGTCAAGAGAGCTAGGTCACACAAATGTTCAGAGATAGACAAAACATTCATTACCATAAACCTGACGCTCTAGTCATCTGCATCGACCCATACCAGGGTTCCTTTCTTGTCAGATCTCATCTCCTCCGTCGGAAGGACTCGCAGAGTTTTGTTAAAGTACGTGTCCACCACAAGGAGTTGAGGTTGAATCCACAATCCCCTCTTAGACGCCAACAAGTTGAACCGGACAGTATGCCGGCTCAGCGGCACTAGTTGCACAACCATTGTCTTTGGGCCGCTGAACGCAAAATACTCGCTGGCTTCCATCGTCAAGTTGAACGTGAGGAAGTGCATCGACGGATTCTCAACGGTGTAGTCTAAGTGTATGAGGCCAGAGAGGATCTTAGACGGCGTCGCCGAGGCAAGCACACGAGGTTCGCCGGCCGGGGCAACGAAACGAGGAATAGCAAGTCTCGTAGTGACACTATCTTGAGGCGATTCACAGTCATCTACTCGGCGCCACTGGACCTCCAATGCCAGATTCAGCGCTGTAGGCCGCCGATCGCCTAGTATCGCCTTCTGTATGTCCAGAACGAAATTGGATTCGCGGAGCTCTTCGGGGCGAAGTTCTGGTGTTTCGGGACTGACAGCCACCTCCAACCCTATGTCCGAAGTGGCTCCGCCAGCGATCCCGAGCAGCACTAAGGACACTTTTTCTATAATAAGAGGCTCCAGTGCAAATGAGACTAGTTTAGAATTTAGGTTCCATCGTTGCTGCAGACCCCCGGCCTTGCCCTCACTTTCACTAGCAAGTAAAGTATCCTCAACCGAATAGAAATCTGGCCATGGTTGAGAATGCAGACGAGGAAGGAACTCGTAATTTGCTTCGAACGGTCGGATGGCAGATAAACCAACCCTTAGCGATGCGAGTATAGGTGTTTGAATGTCAGATACCAGGTGGTATACGGAGGATATCTCAAGCTCATAATCCGAAGCGTCGTGGGTATCTGTGAGTAATATGGCAAGCTCCTGTCGTGACTGACTCGCCATCACGCCAATCGGCCGCTTCGCGAAATGAGCAATACCCTCAATCGGGGAGCTCCGCTCGGAGTTCTGGGCATCTGATGAGTTTTCTTCATCGAGCCATAGAATCTTGGCAGTAGATTCTGGTCGACCGAATAGTCGAATCTCGGTGGAAACATCTGCGGCCTCATCTTCTTCGTTGTGTATGCCGATCTTCAGAATAATCCTTTCGTTGGTGTAGTAATTTTCTCGGAGATTCGGGGTTGTTATCCGAATCTTCGGCGGCTTGGGCATGATTTTACATCGAGTTGTATCCCGGTCTTTGCCAATTCGTCTTCGGCTTGGGCCTTTCGCGCCATGGCGCCACCAGAAAGACTCCTGCTGGGACATATCCGTGGCCACACACGCCATATCAAACTTTTCCTCCTCGACAACAAGGGCCACGGACGCAACCCGACAGTCGCCGGCTTCTCGAGGAATACATGTCAAATCAAACACCTTGGTCTGGGAAGGCCCAAGGGTCAGATCGGCAGCACCGACGAGGGCTGTCAAGCAATTGGTAGGCGATTGCAACGACGACGAATCGCCAGATATATTCGGTTCGCGTAATGAGAGTGAGGATATCGTGCAAGCAGCTTCCGTACTGGTTTCCGTGTTGTGATCAGACTCTAGTTTAATTGGACGAAGACAGCCCTCAAAAACAACCTTAACCTCGGAAAATCGGATTGGTTTCGAAAGCTTCTGAGCGGATGATGTAATCGCAATCTGACCCCGAAGGGGTTCACCAACGTTCCCTTCAGAATTTGCGAAGACGAAGCTAGCAGTGGCTATAAATTCAAGGAACTTCTTAGCGTCAAACCATCTAGAGGCTAAATATCTCGAACCTACCACTAGATAGAATATCTTCCGCTTTAAGAACGATGGATGGCTTAGGCATCACCAATGGAAGGTCTTCGAGGCTGTGATGCAGGTCATACTGCCAGTCAAGTCTCGGTTGAAAGACTGAAGGCAATCGAACGTCAGCTATGCAAGGCGAAAGGAAGACATCACAATTGAAGTACTGCTATGCCGTGCCGGGGGGCAGCTCACCGTCATGAAGTAACTCCCAATCTACCCGGAGCACCATCTCACTATCTTGTACCTGTAAAGCACACTCTCGCAGCGCCCAGCCAAATTTTGCCATGAGTTGCCACCACCCTGAACGTCGCCAGGTAAGGGTTGACCAAAGCGGCTGAAGTAGATCAAAAGCCTCTGCCCAAGAACCCTTGCGCATATGCTCCTCTGCTATCTCCAAAGTAAGGCTTTCTGTTTTTCTGGTTTGGTTTCGTTTTGCAAACTCCTCCAGCGCGGCTTTTAGAGTACGTAGTATAAGAGATGAGTGGTCGAAGCCGGTAGAGCCTGCTTGAGGTGCCTCTAAATGAGTCTCAGGGGCGAGGTACGTGTCGTATAGATACGATTTGCTCGCAATTTGAGAAGCAGGGGACTGCCCTGGCGGGATCCGGTCCTCGTCAGGAATCTGCTCCGCCAGAGTTCGGCGATACATAGAATGTCTCGCCGATCGATACAACCAGTACCCTTCATGATGAAGTTGTTCCCAGGGGGTGTCGGCATGAGAGCTGTTCTTCTCTCGAGGCACGAAAATCGAAAAATGCTCGCGGAACTGGTCCTGAGTGATCCCGACCGAGGTGAAATAAGGGATACTGGCTTGGCGTATTAGTTCGGCCATTACCATGGACCATCTAGCCTCCCAGGCCTCCCAGCCATAATTTCTTGTTCCTTTGCCGCGTCTGTTGATGATGTCCTGAGAGTGGTCTCGGTGGCTCACCCATGACCGCACCGCGGCAGTGGTCTGCCCGGACCAGAGCAGACAGCGAATAATACGAATGGCAATGGCATCTGCTAACAGACGTGCATCATTAAACCTTGGGTTCCATCCAGCAATATTCTCAAAGACCTCCTGCCCAAACAAAGTCTCGTAGGCGCTTTCGTAGTTTCTCAGCGCGGCATCCATCTCATGCCGAAATTCAGCGAATATCCCCATCTTGAACTCGTATCGGACATTCCACCCTTGCAGCGAGAGGGTTTGGGAGGTTCCAGTTGTTGGCGGCGCCGTTGGGGGAGGTATGGTGCTCCGGTTTCGCTTTCGCCTGGCATGCTTTGACAGGTCTCGATAGTATTCTATTATCGACGGCTGAAGCATTGACAGAAGGGACCGAGAAAACTCTTGTAGCTCCAACGGGGTTGCATCTGATGGGAGAAGAAAAATAGATTTCGGATCTAGGTTGGTCGCCCTGCGAATGCTTGCTACCCGATCATCCGCGTCCCCGATATAGCCACTGTGCGGCTCTTCAGACAGCAATACCACTATGAAACGGGTTTTGTAGCCAGAAGATGACCATTCCTTCCTCAGGCCGTTGATTTCTATCTTCAACTGATTGTCGCGTAAAGAGCTCATATTATGGTCTAAACAGAAAGGGAAGAAGTTGATCACGGCGGCTGGAACCAAGTTCTGATGTTTCGTGACCCATAGCGGTGTAAGTAACCCATCTGGAAAAGTCGGAGAGCTGGGAGTCAATGGAGATATGGGAGAGTGAAGATTTAGGGACGCATGCGATATGTCAGTGCCCTGTCTAGCCGGCGGACTTGTCGGAGGGGACACAGGTGGGGGGTCAGCTTTGCGCGGGGGAAGACTGTAGGACTTTCTGGCTGTCAGTAAAGGTTTCATTTTGCTTCACGAGTTTCGGGGCATGTGAGCATCGGCAGGTTGAGCCGACCAGCAACTGGGGGGCTGCGCTTCAAAAATGACCAGTGCGAGACAATTTCTGCGGACTAACATGGACCGACATACCCGACCAACACTCTTGATCTTATATTTTATCCCGGGAGATTCGGTATCGAGGCCCTCTCGCGGTTCCCACGGAGCGGCCGACGCATCCTCACCCACGAGCACATCCCGCAATGCCGTTGCGGATGGGCCGTTCAACGGCGGGAAATCGGAGTATATTCTCACTCCCTTCTCGTGGAGAAGAGGATATTCGACCTGCTTCGGTTCCGGATCATCCTCGGCGGTTGCTTCTAATCCAGATAGCAAGATGAACGGGAGGTTGTTGACGACATAATCTTCCGGGTAGGCGTCCATTGCGGACAGAAGGTGCTTCGCGTGTTTGGATCACCGCATATCTTTTTCGAGTGACTGGTCTGCGAGAGATTCGGATAATGCCCGAGTAGCCAAGTACCGCGCGATAAATCGATTGACTAGGGTAGAAGCATATGTCGGAGCCAGATGTTGGAGATCGGCACCGAGATCTGGGTGGGAGGTGGTGAGGGACGGAAGAGGTGACGGTGACGGTTGCTGTCATTCCCGCCTGTCGAGTCCATCTCGAAACATGCCAAGCCCCGCTGCCCGAGGCACCAACCTCATCTATGGTCGTTTCAGGCACACTTGGCTCTCGGACAATTTCGTAGCATGCTGGTCATGAAGTAAATTATGTTGTGAGGTAGCCTACTGTAGGACTACTCTAGGATTGGCTGTCCTGGTGGCACATATAGGGTGCCCCGGTTTAGGTTCAGGTGAATGATCATTGCAGTCTGACCAAGAAAAATATATTTTCTTAGGTATTCTTCAATAATGATGGTAAATAATACCAAATAGATTTATGCAAATTTTTTTTTTTTTAAAAAAAATACGGAGATATCCAACTAAATTCAATTTGAACCCAAACATACACCAAGCCCTTCTATTAGCCAATCCTTACCTCCCTCCAGCAAGAGTTCGAGGCCCGTCCCCCCTCCCTTTTCAGTTCTGCTGTAAAGAACGCGGCGAATAATCGGTGCCTACCAAGCTTTTTCATTAGTTAGTTAGTTATTAGATCAAGTGACTAACAAGAGCTCTACAAGGTCGTGCACAACAAATCTATAGAAGAACAACAGACATATATTTCGATGGTAACGGCACTGTACCTTCACCGGCTCCAAGAACATTGGAGAATGCGTGTCGTCTCCCGTGAATGATGGTCACTGAGCTAGGGGAGATTGGGTGAATCCGACATATTGCACGATTATTGATAGATATACGGAGTAGACTATGGTCATTCGACTGAGTCGATTCAGAGTGGTCCGGCAGTGGAGACTCGACCCGGTCGGGAGCCTCCGTCAGGATCTTAGGATCCTTACGATTCCAGGAACCGTCTAGTACTCCAAGGCAAGGGTGGAACAGGGAGGGGGAGGGTTAAGTCATACGGAGTAAGTGGACACCATCGTGTACGGAGACTGTCCCCAAAGTTCAAGTGCCGACAAAAGTAATCGCGTACTCCGTAGGTACTGGGATAGCTGCAGGATAAACAATATTAATCGTCGAATGGTCAACCGTGGTTAGCTGGATCGCATCGATTAAATTAAGATTTCGAAATCCAACATTGGGCAGCCAGTGATCTCGTGGACCGACTGCAGTGAAATTTGGATCTGCGAACCATGCGGAGGAGGGCTGGTCGAATCAGACCGAATCGGGGGGCCGACGGTGGAGCGACTGGCATGGGCTTTTCTTATTTTCTGATGCCGATTTAAACTGGCTCGGTGCTAGTCACGGCAGACGGGATTTTGGCGTGTGCTCATCGCTCAATGGCAAAAATGAATCCGATAGGGGAAGTCCGTTGAAGGAGAAGAAAAGACAAGAAGGGACACTGAGCAGGGAGTAAGTAGGGAGCAGGGAGTAGGGAGTACTGAGAGGAGAGACTGCATCACATCACGGCTTTTCCTCCTTCCCCCCCCATCTTGCCCCTCACTCTTCTTTTTAAATATTTTGAATATTTCGACTCTAATTTTTTTTTAATAACTGGCCGGTTGGATGATCTCCATATCGCAGGAAGTTATTGCTTGCTCTTCTCCCCGCCCCTTTTTTTCGATTTTCCACCCTTTTTTTTTTCTCTCTCTCGCTCTCTTCAAGCCTTCTTGATCTCTTCTGTTCCTCACCCCTTCCTTTCCTCCGAGCCCGCCCTTTAATGTTTGATTTTGATGAATCACAGTCCATTCACTAATCCCGTTTTACATTGATCGACCTCTCTCATTTCTATTCTCTTCTCTCTTTTCTTCTCTCCCTCTCTTTCACTCCCTGTGATCGACAATCCTTCTCGTTCCCTCTCCAGAGAACTAACGTTCTGCAAGGGGCGCTCACTTGCATACCTATTTGCAAGGGGGCCAAAAAAGAAAAGAAAGAAAAAAGAACATCTTGGATCGGGTCCTTATTCTTATTTTGAATTATCATTATTTTAATTTTTTTTAAACTTTTTTTAATTTCTTTTTTTTTTTTTCTCTTTGGTCTTTGACTGGCACATGCGTACAACCCCTGCAATCTAAAGTCAGATATAGATTGACGCCGTTAGGTCAACTTGCAGACGCCAATTCCTCCTACTCTCACCAGATCATGCAGGTGAGCTCCAAGGCCAACCGCATATATCGTCCTTGACCGTCTTCGAATTTGGACTGGGAGGGGCCAAACTTTTTTTAGAGGTTTATATTTTCGGTTTTCCCCGTCAATAGTCGCCATGGACCGCACCGATGATGCGGTGGTGTCGATGCTTGAAACCCCTTTCCAGTCTTCCGCCGCACTCCTTTCGAGGCATCGCAAAGCCGCGCCGTCGCGATCACATTCCGCCAAACCGTCCACGGTTGACCCGGCATCGCCCGAAGTGATCTCCTCGTTGATCTCATCCCTTTCAACGATCTCCGCGCCCCTGCAGTCTCATTTCGACAGCGTTCCGTGCATCGATCCCGAAACCGATCCATCCTCCCCCGTTGTCTTACCCTCTGAGCAGCATTCCATCTCGGACCAGCGCCCACATACCGCGCATGGTTTTGGTGTGAGCTACGGGGCACCCCCAGTCTCCGATGAATCACCGAATACCCCCTTCCTGCATCCGGATGATGCAGCGGTTGCGCCCGTCATTCGCATGGCTCGAGCTCCTCCCTCTCCAAAGCCCAAATCGAGCCCAGACCCTTCTCCCTCCTTTGGACGACCGACCTCTCGGGGCTCGTACACCTCGTCGAAAGCGGCATACGAAGACTACGCATTTGGAATGATAACAGCGCAGCCTGGCCCCCGTGTATCGACTGCGCCTAGCATTGCTTCGTCAGGGTCAAGAAAGAGTCTCAAGAACCAGTTTGTCCTATTGAAGAAAGGTTCCCGGGAATTCGGAGGCGATAAGGACAAGCGAGCGGAGAGGTTACGAAAGACAAGTAGCTACAACGACAGCTTGAGACACAACGTTCCCCGCAGTAGAGCTAGCCTACGATCCTTGTATTCGATGGCCGATGTCGCCGAGGAGGGGCGACCGGCCCCATCGGACCTGGTCTCTGCTCTGGAGGGAAGGGCAATTAGCAGAAGCTCCAGTAAGGCGGGACAATCATTACAGTATACCCCCGAGGACGCGCCTAGCACCCCGGGTGGTATTGGAAGTGGAAGGGTTATTCCTACTCGCGAGTCTTCTCTGCGACATAGTTTTTCGTCAAGTCCCAAGCACCACAGGTCTGTCCGTCATGTTCGCTATTCGTCCTCGGGAAGCAGAGAGATAAAAGCAGACAGTGGGGCCCCTGGTCCGAGCAACGAGGCCGAACAGGTGACCAAGAGGATACAACAATTAAAGGATCAGCAGCAGAAGATCAAGACTGAGCTGGAAATCGACGATAGTCCCGACAAGCCCGTTAGGGTGCCTCCTCAGCAAGACCCGCCAACACAGAACCCCGACGAAGGGGAGCGTCTAGAGGAGCCCTTGAGAAGGCAGAATGAATGCAGAACTGGGTTGGAATTCGACGAGAGCGCACCATCACCGGCTGTTCTGACCGGGAAAAGCAGGTCAGCGAGACACAAAAGTCCGACACTTGCGTCTCGACCGAGCAACGTACCCTTGCAGCCTTTATCGACAAGTCAATCATTTGACAAGCCCGACTCAGCCGAAAGAATCCGCCATGGACAATCGACGGAATCTCCCCTGCGAAATCCCAGCCATTTCTCACCCGGCCAAGCTTCCCCAGGTCATGGCTCAATGATAGATGAGCGGCCATCAAGTGCGGATACCATCGATCTTGCTGTTTTTGACTACGTATCGTCTTCAAAACTGACGCAGAAAGTGGTCCATCCCGCTACCGGTCGTGCTATAGCGTTTTCGGAAGTCGGTGACCCCAAGGGCCATGTAGTATTATGCTGCCTCGGAATGGGATTAACCCGATATTTGATGGCTTTTTACGACGAGCTAGCACGGTCTCTTCACCTCCGGCTCGTAACTTTGGATCGCCCTGGAGTTGGTGAGAGTGGGCCTTACGTTAGCGAGGCGGGGACTCCTCTGAGCTGGCCTGGTAAGAGCTTCACTCACCCCAACGGCGATACATCTATGACTAACCCTAAGTAGATGATGTTGCGATCGTGTGCAACCATCTGAAAGTGACCAAGTTCTCCATCCTTGCTCACTCTGCCGGCGCTATCTATGCGCTGGCAACTGCCCTGAGGATTCCGCAGCACATCCGTGGACGAATCCATCTTCTCGCGCCCTGGATACCGCCCTCCCAATTGTCCAGCATTGGCTCGCCCAAGGCCCCTGTTCCCACCAACGCAGTTCCTTATTCCCAGAGAATCCTCCGGGCGCTTCCAACATCCATTTTAAAGGTCGCAAATTCCAGCTTCATGAGCGCAACAAGCGCAAGTATCACTTCCAGTCTACCGAAATCTCCCCGACGTGCCAAACGAAGAGCCGCAGTCAAGGACTCCACGAGCCCGACTGCCCTCGAGAGCAACGGGGCCCAGCGACTCCCGAATAAACTTCACCAACAGGGAGCAGATTTGCGGACATTGCAGATCATCCAAGCCCCGTCGATATCAAACGCAGCTGGGGATAAAAACCCCGAAGTGACCGCGAGCCCCACTCCGGTGACGGCATCTCAAGAACGGGAACGCCAGACTGATTACGATACTCGACTGACTCACAAGATCTGGGAGTTGGCTACCGCGAACGCCAACCCGGCCGTTGATCTGCTGGTGTGCTTGGAACGTCGCCAGCCAATTGGATTTCGATATGTCGATATTACCCGAAACGTTGTCATCCACCATGGAAGCAGAGACACCCGCGTTCCTGTTGACAACGTCCGGTGGCTAGGGCAAACCATGCGGCGCTGTGAAGTTCGGGTCCTTGAGGGTGAAGGCCATGGATTGATGGCCTCAGCCGCGGTGATGGGCAATGTACTAATGGAGATTGCCAAGGAGTGGGAGGATTGGATGATTGTGGTCCAGGGCAAGCGTCGAGGAACTATCGGACCACGGTCAGGAGTTGCCGTTCAAGCGTGATCTATCCTGGTCTCCAGCCGTGCCGCCTGCAGGTCCTGCGGCCACTGGCTTTTCTTTCATTGCTTGCGCGAAGACAGCCTCTGCTTGTGCGAGATTCATGCCCTCGCTTTTCCCCTTCGATCATGATACCACGCAGATGTTCCATTTGCCCTTACTAGTTTCTCAGTCTAATAATACCCGAATGTAGCATAGTTGGTAATATAATGCTTAATTGAGTCACAACCTTGTATAGTGTCACTGTATACTCTGGAGTCCTGACTGAGCCAAGAATAGAACGGTGGACCAGACCCTCGTGACGTAACAAGTTAGGCGCGCGGGCCGCTCCCGACAAGGGAATGGTTCCTTGTCCTCCCCTTCCTCCATGTGCAGCCCCCACGCACGACCACCTCATTCGATCCTCAACAGTTGCGCTTGATTTGAGTCTTGTGGGGAGAGATACAAAAGGGTTCCTGGGCGCTCGAGACGTTGGAAAAGAGCTATTTGTCCCCACTCACGCTGGACAGCTACACGGTTCCTTGTTTCTTTCTTGCCGCTGCCTCCCCGCGCCAAATGTCCCGTCCTGACTGGTGTCGGAGCTGCCCCTATGATCTGTCGACTCACCAGGGCTGTTAAAGAACATCCGACTCCGATGCGCCAAGCGGCAATTTGACCCGGCAGTCCTTTTCAGAAGATTATATAAACCGCTATTATCTGTCGTGTCCTCGTGCCGAGAACGAACCTTCCGGAGAACCCCTCGTCTCTCGGAAACCCCCTACCAGACGACATCTCCTTTTCAAAATGCTTTCCCAACGCCGCATCAAGCTATTGACCATCGGCGTCCTGGCTTTCATCATCATCACGCTGTATTACTCGGTATATATCCCGCCCTCTAACCATACTCAGGGACCGACGTGCTGACCCAGCGCGCGACTGTTCCATAGGGCGATGCACGGAGAGTTCAAAACCAGAAGTTCTACCAGTCAACCGTGGCGGCAATAGAAGCCCATAGGGACACGAAGAATTTCGGGACCACTGCAGAAGGCTCGTCGCGGAAAGAGCCGCCCAACTCGAGGCCCGCCGACGGAACGCCGATGAAGCCTATCACCGACGAGATGAAGCCCGCGATCCCCAAAGACGGCGACGAAGAGACGGAGGAAATACCGATCGCAGGACGGACCAAGATGACGGTCGCCAAGAATCGCAACGAGCCAGAAAAGCAAGAACAAGCACCGGTAGCTGATGAACATATCGAGGCGAAGACTGAGCTCAATAGCATATTGAAACGCTCTCCAAGTCAGTATAGCCGCTTGGTTACCAACCTCGCTCCCTTTGCGTCTTGACAATTCCCCACCATGCGAAATCTCACATGGCTAACCTTGCCCAGTCATCATTTTCTCGAAATCCTACTGCCCTCACAGTGCGAGAGCCAAGTCTATTATTCTAGACAAATATTCCATCGTCCCGGCGCCTTACGTGGTGGAGCTTGACCAACATCCCTTGGGACCCCAGTTACAGGCTCTGCTAGGCGAGAACACAGGCCGCCGCACCGTTCCCAACGTGCTGGTGAGTGGCCGAACCATTGGGGGAGGTGACGAGGTGGCAGCTCTTGACGAGAAAGATGAATTGGCATCCACCCTGAAGAGCTTGGGGGGCAAATGGCTTCAAGGAGTCAGCCACAAGACATCTGACAGTTGAGACTGGTCGGATAGATCCAGGGATCTCTGGTCAGTGTAATATATAACGTATTTGCAGAGGGAGAGATGCTCGTTGTGTTTTTGGTATCAAAAGCGAAACCTTGGCCTGGCGCTCTGGATGATCATTGATATTGCAGTATATATAATGGATATATATATGGATACGAAGGACGGTCCATTAATTAATTCGGAATCATCATCTGAAGCAAGTTTTCTACTAACTTTGTACTTGTGCTTCACTATGGGGGTGATTGATGCCGCTTCTTGGCGCCACCGGTCACGTGGCGCAGATCTGGCAGAGTAAGGCGTACTAGGAGAGAGATCAATCCCACGACCCACGACACCATTCGGCTGGAAATGAAAGCTGTTCATATCACCTATTCCTGGACTACCATAGTAGGTGCTCTAATACTATAATACTATCCTACTATCCTACTGGGACTCAGTACTAGGGAGGAGATGGACGGTAGGCCGCAGGACGTAAAAGTACCGTACGGGGCCGGAAGCGGCGGCGTAAAATGACAATACGGAATACACAGCCAGACAGCCCTAGACGGACGGCGCTAAGCCGCAAGGGGCCTTAAGCGACGCACAACCCGCGGGTTTTCGCTCCACCAAAGAAAGCCTGCGGTTTGTCTCGACGAATTTCGATCCTCTCGAACGACCGACCGCACGACGACATCGACAATTCTCCCCTCGGACATTCCACACCCACGCAGTCAAGATGCGGTACATTCACTCCGAGGAACGGCTGCCCATCCCCGACAATGGTGAGCATTTGATCGCATCCCCCTGATTTTACCCTTCGTGCCGGTGTTAGTACCGGAGAGGAGGCCGGGTGGAGGAAGAGTGTCGCGAAGGACAAGGATTGAGGAGAGGCCGTTGCGCCTGCGTCAAGAATAGCGACCGGCAAGAAAGAGGAATATCGACTGCCTAGTGTTCGACCAGGGAAAGAGGAGGATGTCGGAAATCGGCCATGTTCATATGTCTTGAAAATGGATCTAGAAGACTAATTCGAATCTCGCCCTTTAGTGAAGGTTCACATTCGTTCGCGGGTTGTGACCGTTGAGGGCCCCCGAGGTATGCCTTGATTCCCCTCCATGATACGAGCGATCTCCCTTGGAAAAAAAAAAAGAAAGAAAAAATCAGACTTCGCGGGGAGTCCACCATGGACACGCACACTGACCTCCGACACCTTTGCGGTATTGCAGGCAAGCTTGTCAAGGACCTCTCCCACATTGCCGTCACTTTCGGTCGCCCCGAGAAGAACGTCATCTCGATTGAGCTGCACCACGGTGTCCGCAAGGGTGTCGCTACCCTCCGTACCGTCCGTACCCTCATCAACAACTTGATCATCGGTGTCACCAAGGGCTTCAAGTACAAGATGCGCTACGTCTACGCCCATTTCCCCATCAATGTCAACGTTGAGAAGAACGCCGAGACTGGCCAGTGCGAGGTTGAGATCAGGTATGCCGACCACACCTACACCGGGATTCGCATGGAGTTGTGGAGTCGATATTCTTAAGAGAGAACAAGAGAAAGAGGAAGAGAAGGGGAATGCGAGCAACGAGTGTACTGCCGAATGAGGAACGATGTGCTGATGGATTGTGTTTTTTACAGAAACTTCTTGGGTGAGAAGTACGTCCGTCGTGTGACCGCCCAGGCCGGTGTCGACATCGTCCCCTCCCCCAACGTCAAGGATGAGCTCCTGCTCTCCGGAAACTCCCTCGAGGGTGTCTCCCAGAGCGCCGCCGACATCCAGCAGATCTGCAGAGTCCGCAACAAGGATATCCGAAAGGTGAGACTGCGCCCCGAGATCCAGCAGGACGGAAACGACGTGCGTTGGTCAGACACGGAATGCTAACTTGTCTACTTCCACCAGTTCCTTGACGGTCTGTACGTGTCGGAGCGGGGTAACATTGTTGAAGAGTAAATGGTAACGAGGATTGTCCGCCTTGGTGGGTAGATAGGATGTCTGGAGAATCTTAATTTTCGCCCACTTGCATAGGGAAGCAAAGCGAAATTAAAGCAAAAAACAAGGACCATGGAATTCCAATGCCCCTTTTACGTGTCCACGGATATGGCTTTTCTCACCTTGGGAGACGTGGTGTGTAGAAAAAAATATTCCGCTTTCGATGAGCAATCCAATTTCTTTTTTTTTGTTCCTTGATGATTTTGGGGGGTTTTATATGGAATCACTAGAATTGGGTTGGACTGAGCTGGGCTGTAACTGTAAAGGGGGTCATCCGCAAGCATGTGAAAGGGAGGCCTTCCCCCCACACCCAAAGTAATCAGCGGTTCTCGTTCCTCCATCATTCCCCGCCCATGACCTCTTGGTCACTCGTGGCCACAATGGACGACTCTTGGAAGTCTATTCGCATCTGCGTTGCATTTTTTGCCTTTTGCAGGATGATGCTGGACGTGGTGCTGTTCTGGAAGGCTGTACGTTGATTTGCATCGCATATATATATTGACAAATGGTGCACCGGACTACTACTTACACGCAACTCTCGACTCTGGATAGAGACTCTTTTCATGGTTGACGTCAGACCGGAAGAAAAAGCTTCGACAATCCCTGGCCTCGGCGCAAGTATACGAAGAATGGGAGGAGGCTGCCTTGGAGTTAGATAAGCTCCTCTACTCGGATGCATGGTGAGGCGGATATCGAAGGGATGAGATAGAAGAAAGATGTCATCCACGCTAACCGGAGACCAGGCGAGACAACTACGCAAGCCGACACTATGATTACCGGCTGATTAAGGGAAGACTGGAAACACTGAGGACGGCTAAACGGACCAACGACATCTTGAATCTCGTCAACCTGCTTCGGTCGGGTCTGGTGCGTAACCTGGGCAATATCACGTCGCCCAAGCTCTTCGTTCACGCCTACATCGGCACAAAGCTCTTGATCACCGAATACGTCACTGAGGTCGCGCGCGCCATCCAGCATGTGACGGCTTTGGAAACGACTCCGATTCACGAGAGCGGATTCACGTCCCAAGCGAAGCTGGAGTTGCTGCACGATACACGTCAGGCTTTCGGACGAACGACGTTAATTCTTCAAGGCGGATCTGTCTTTGGAATGTGCCACCTCGGCGTGGTAAAAGCACTGCACTTGCAGGGTCTTCTGCCCAGGATCATTACCGGAACCGGCACGGGGGCCCTGATTGCTGCTTTGGTTGGGATTCACACCGAAGACGAGTTACTGACGTTCCTCAATGGCGAGGGCATAGACCTAACCGCCTTTGATCGTCGACGAGGGAAGGAAGCATTCGACGTCCACGGTCAGTGGCTGTGGCAACAAACCCAGGACGGCTGGCTATGGACACTCTTGCGTCGTATCAAGCGGTTCGTTCAGAAAGGCCATTTCTTCGATTCAGGGGTGCTTGAGGAATGTGTACGAGCGAACCTCGGCGACCTGACCTTTGAAGAGGCGTATGCCCGCTCCAAACGTATCCTGAATATTACGATTGCCACGTCCAGTAAGACGGGTGCTCCGAATTTGTTGAATTACCTGACAGCGCCGAATGTTGTATGTATCCCACAAACCCTACATACGAGAGCCCTTCTCCTAAATCCGCCTTTCTTGGACTGACTAGAGAACTGTAGTTGATATGGTCTGCTGCCGTGGCGTCTAATGTATCTAGTAGTTCATTATACCAGCCAGTCACGATCTACTGCAAGGACGAAACTGGCTCCATTGTGCCATGGCCATATTCGCAAGACGTCACGTTCCAGCCCTGGCGGCACGTTCAGTATAGCGAGGGGGAGTCGCCCCTTTCCCGTATCGCCGAACTATTCAACGTCAATCATTTTATTATCTCGCAGGCGCGGCCATACCTCGTCCCATTCCTCAGCTCTGAATCAGAGCTTCTTGACCAGCGACCCGTGGGCCGGTGGAATTTCACACGTACCCCGATGCGCCTGGTTGTGGCGGAATTCCGCCACCGTCTGAAGCAGCTGAGCTTCCTCGGTCTCCTGCCCCAGTCGATCGGCCGACTCCTAATCGAGGAGACCATCCCCGGCCCCAGCCTAACGCTGGTCCCCGATCTCGCCTGGAGCGACTTCACCAAGCTGTTCGAGAACCCGACCAAGGAGAGCCTGGACCACTGGATCCTGAAAGGCGAGAAGGGGTTGTGGCCAGCGGTGAGCGCCCTGTGGGTGCGGTGCGTGGTGGAGGTCGAGCTGGATAAAGGGTACCAGGTCGTGCGGCGCCGACGGCCATCCGAGACGTACTATCCGGCTGCAAACGTTTCCATGCCTGGGCAGCGACGCATGCCAAATGAAGGGCTCCCTCGGAGACGCAGGGGGTATAGTATTGATCACGGACGAGACCCTGTCGCTGTGCTTGGAACAATGGAGTACCAAGAGGATAATTCTAATCCGTTATAGTTATATAGCCCGGGAATAGTTTGATCATTTTGAGTCAGGATCATCATAATACTGGAGAATGACGAAGATTTTACTCTAATCTGGATTCATTTCTCATAACACAATATCATTTCTAGCCATGATATTTGACCATTGAGATGCTTGTTTTCTTTTTCGACCTCTCGGATTTCAATCCCGTTAAAGCCAGGGCAAGATGTGACTGTCAAATGGAAGCTAGAATTACATTCCCCATGGAGACGGCGACACACCAACGAGGCAACCCCCGAAATTGGGGGAGTATGATTGTTCAGTAGTCAACGGCTTAATTCCAGTCATTGACGAAGGAAGGACATGAGGATGTTGGCGCGAGTCGCGACCGCGAAAGAGCAGTGATACGGATTGGCGGGCGCTGGATAGCGCGAGACCAGTTAGTCCAAGGACAGAGCAACGCATTTGTCGAGCAGAATCGCCGCGGTGGCCCACAGCTAAAAAAGTAGCGACGCCGTCGAGCAATTGCGACGAAGCTTCTGTCTGTATCTCAGCTGATCTAATTCAGCATTCCCCCCTCACTGTGTTGGAGAGCTTTACCGGTTGGTCGTCGATGAGGGCTTTCATCATGGTCCCTGAAACTCATTTTAGATCTAGGGAGGGATACGGAAGATGTCCAAACCAATGATCCCTTGTGTCGCTGAAGAGAGTGTTTCTCCTGTTCCGGTGGGAAGAAAAGCGAGCTGGACAACAAAGCAAGGGTTGAGCTACGAGACAATAACTAACAAGTTTTAGAATCGCAGTCCAATTATTTCATTAAGAATAGGGGCGACTATACAGATGGTGGGATATATAATATCTGATTATGAAGAATAGCTGATGCTTTGCCCGGCGACGATCCAAAAATCAGTTCCGCCGGGGTATCGAGAGAAGAAGAGTTCCAAAAGGGTTCTAGGAGTTGATAGGTGAGAACTAATTCGTAGCCTTTTGAGGACGAGTTGAGTTGGCCTGCGCCTGCGCCTGCGATTGAGAGGAACGAGGGCGTGCCGAACGGGGACGTGAACTGCGCCGTGTGCTGTCCTGCGACGCAATGTAGTTTAATGCGGGGACTACGTTGGATGTCAGCCTATAGGAATTAGAGAAAAAAGGAACAAAAAAGACCTACTGCTGAACCCATATCCGTCCGTCGCACCTTCAGGGTTCTGAGGGTCAATTTCCACGCGGATGGACACGTCTAAACCGCCATAGACACCACTTCGGTTGCTGAAGCCGTCCGCCGCCGAGTAAGACGAACCGGCTTCGGCTTCGGCCTTATGAAGGGGAGAATGCCCATCTTTCGGCAGATGGTCGATGGCGCAGCTGCTCTGAGGAATGGAACCGTCCTCGTTGGGGACGGGCGGGTCGACCTCGGTGATGCACGCGTAGTTTCGGGATGGCATGGTGACCTTGTTCCACGAGGCGCTCTTTTCCTGGCCGCCGGGTTGCCGGTCAAACATATCCATCAGAGTCTCGTCGGTATCCGGGTCCAGGTGGTGGATTTTGTTCCGCTGCGCCAAGAGGTTGGCGACAGCCTTGGGCGGCGGCTTGTTGGTGATCGCACTACTGACGATGTTGACCATGTACCGGGCGTCGTTATCCGTCTGTAGGCCTAGCTTGGGGTTCGAATAGAATCGGCCGATGGCGGCCAGATGAACGTCGCCGCCCAGGATCGTCACGCGAACGGAGTGGGCCTTAGCGAACTCCTGGAGGCGTTGGATGAAGATGCGCCGCTCGTGCTTGTGCTGACGGGCGGTATAGTGGTCGTCCAAGTCGTCCAGGAGATCGACTTGGCCGTCGAACTGATTGAAGAAGCCGCCGGCAAACCCGAAGCGCTTGTTCAGCAGACGAATCGGGGCAGTCAGGGGCGAGCTCAGAATGTTCTCTAACCAAGCTAAACGGGGGTACGCGATGGGCACGCCCAGCAACACGACCAGGTGTTTGATATCCCCGGCGGCGGTGGAAACCTCGCGTTCCAGCCGAGCGAAAATGTCGTCGTAGGTATCCTGATAGTTTACCTGATGACGCGTGCGCTCGGTACGGGCGTCCACGCCGATGAAGGCAATTCGCTTGCCCAGACGCATGTATAGATTCCGACTCCGCTCTTCTACGTAGGGCCCCGGGCGCCGGCCGATGATCCAACTGTCGTCCTCCGGCTGATTTTCCAGCACGAAGGTATTTTCCAGCTGTCGGGGATCGGCTCCGGCCGTACCGTTGACGGCCTGCATGGTTTGCGGGGCGTCGGTGGTGTAGGTGGATTTGGGCGGCGCGATGTGGTGCTGGAACAAACAGTAGTACTTGAAGGCGACACCTCCGATGCCGCGAAAGACGGAGCATCGCATGAAATGGTCGGTGTAGGAGCCGAAGCCGTCAATGATGTCGTGGTCATCCCAGATGTTGATCTGGGGGATGCGTCCGTTGGCCGCCTTGAACGGCTCGGTCGTGTACCAGCGGACGTAGTTGGCGTAGTAGTAATCGTCGCATTCGGCGCGCATGGCATTGTTGAAGTCGTGCGCGCGTCTCTTGTGCGGATTGCCGATGGCGGTCCACGGCTTCAGGGGACCGTCCACACGAATGCCGTCGTTGTAAAGCTGGTCCCCACCCCCGATCATGGCGTGGAAGGGCTTCTGTGCATGCACCCGCAGGACATCGTTCCACAGACTCGGACCGAGCCAGGCGTCCATGTCGGTGCCGACGGAAAAGCCATTGCAGGAATGAAACATCAGGCGCATAGACTGCGACGCCGAGGGGACGACGAAGTCCCAGGAAGTGGTGACTTCCGGACCGTCAGCATACCGAAAACCCGGGATGCGGTACTCCCAGCGCGACTCGTAAGATTCCTGGGTCACGGCGATAGAGAACCGCCAGAAGGCCTTTCCGGGATCTTCATAGAGGCGGAGACCCTCAACTGCAGTCTCCTGGGATGCGGCGCCATTGACCGCCGTGCTGTCGCCGACAGGACCGGCTTGGCGCAAGAGCAGCTGCGGCGGACTCTGACCGGGTTTCGTGACAATTAACACGCTGCCACGCCAGACGGACGAGGTCGGAGTCACGTCCATGTTCTTGAAGTTGATCAAGGGGCCGCAGACTACGTCAACCTGGGCCTGCGCAGTAGGCGCAACGTCTTAGAACGCGCACACGATGCGACGTCAGCGACAAGCGACGCAAAGAGAAGGGAGACAACTCACCCTGGACAGGCTGTTCGGCCATAATGTAATTAATTTAAGGAATTAATGTGATGCTTCCTAGACGAGGGAATTGGGTTTGTTTTGAGAAAGAAGGCAAATGCAATGAGCGTCCGGGGATTAATAATCAACTAAGTTTGCTTGTTTTAGGGAGCGAAGAAGAAAAGGTAAAAATAAAAATTACAGGATCAGAAAGTTAAAAAGAATTCCAAAACCCCGGAGACCGAAAGCAAAAGGAAAAGGCAAGGAAAGAGGCCAAGAAGGAGGGAGTCAATTGACTGGATGAAAGGAGAGGTTGAGTTTGCACAAGCGAGACAAGTGGATCGAAGGAGTGAGAAGGGAGCGACAGTCAGAACCCCGAATCCAACTAGACTGAAGAGTAACGAGGGGGGGGGGAGAAAGGAAAGGGAGAGGGGAGAGGGAAGAGAGATCAGAATAACTGAGGAATTAAGGCTGACTGAAACCGGACTACGACCAGCAGCCAAGACTGCGCGAACCACCCGCCGATCCACGGGCCCCCCCCTGACGCCCCAATCTGCACTGCCCAGTCGGCGGAATGCAGATGGAAATCTACGGACTCTGACTAGTCTGACTCTGACTACGTCTGCGAAAGTCGAACGGAAGGATTGACTCCAGTTTCAAGCTTCTTTTTAGGGCTGCAGTGGCATCCATTGCGCACGTGACTCCTATACTTCCTGTACCTACACATACAAAAAAAAAAATAAACAAACATCAAAATACCACATTTAACCCAAAGGTACGACTGACAAAAAACCCTAACGCTTGTACCACCAATTGCTAGTAGTCAAGAAGAAGGCTCGGCTAAAGACGGGGGCCGCCAAAAGTGCCTGCTTTGAGAGAGAGTATCTAACGGTCATCCGGGCTTTCCAAGACAGGGGCCATCGTGCAGTCCTCGCGGGAAGTGTGCTCGATGTCGATGCCGAGTTCGTCCAGGAAACCTCCAAATTGACGGCGATGGCCCGCAGTGTCCAATCCCGGGTACGTCTCGACAAGCTCGAGGAAGCGTTCCAAAAGTAGGGCCAGCGGTATCTTGTGAAAGTCTGTGGCTTCGAAGACCAACGACGGCTCGGTTGCCACTGTCTCCGGGGATCGCACGCTCGAAGATTCACCCGAGGAAGAATCACTAGAGACGGATTCGCCAGGAGACTGTCTCGGCGAAGGTGTCCGGGGAGGCTCGACTCTTGCCAACATCTTCTCCAAGACCTGCTCGGGGGATTCCGCCGGCAAAGCAGCCACGGGACGCGTGAACAAACCTTCCAGCTTCCATTCCGTTCGTTCTCTTCTCATAGATCGCTCTCGACGACGGAGCATATTGCATGTGTCAAGACTTGGTGCGTACCATGACTTGTCTTTCAAACTTCCGCTCTCGGCAGACTGGCTGAAGGTGTAAAGATCATTGGTGTACTTGTCGATGGCTCCTTTGCGGGAGTAGTCCCTCAGCGTATGGCCGTCGCGGGAGGCAAACCACGCCCGGTACGAGGCTCGCTGCAGAATCTGACGGCAACCCTCCATGTAGGTGGTGAGGGTTTCGGTGAATTTGTTGCATGCCGTCGGGTCCATGCCAGAGAACACTGCGGCAAAATCGATCACCCATTGACAGAGTAGAATGGTAATGAGAATCTCGAGGCCAGGGTCGTCACCGGTGCAGGGGATCGTACCCAGGGCGTGGCAGCTGAGAATCCCCCTGCCCACGTCGGCCGTGCCGGAGAGCACCGAATCCAGCACCCCGATCAACTCGGGGATGGAGAGACGATACATGGTGAATCCCTCGTCCCATACGCACCAAATGTCGTCGATTCCGTCGGGAAGCCAATGGAACTGGCGAACGAAGAGAGTCCGGCTCCTGTACTCGAAACCTAGGACATAGCTCCTCCCCCCGAAGGAGAATGCTCCGTTGCTCAGGGGCAGGATCCAAGACAAAAATTTGGGATCGTCTCCAATGTTGGAAGGATCAAGTGCCTCGTCGTCGAAGAGCTCACGGTAGGGTACCGGCCGGCAATCGAGCCCGTCGTATACGTACATGCCGTTGCGTCGCGAGTGTGTATTCGCACCCTTCTCGATTCCACAAAGATACAGGTGATAGTCTACCACACCCCACGGATGGAAAACGTTTTGAGTAAATTGTTGAGCTTGCTTACTCTTGGGGTTCGACTCGGTTGAGCGGTATGATGCCAACGAGGCGGTCTCGGACATGTCACTGGGATAAGCGTCTTGCAGTTCAGTCGTATCGGTTTGTCCTTTCGTCGGAGTATGTTGCAAAGCTCCGTCGTCCGAGAGAACTTGGTCAATGTCCCCAAAAGACATGTTGTCGCACTCCATGGCCCTCTGTGCGTACCTGATATCTCCCCAGCTTCTTCGGAGTTTGAACACAAAAGGGACTGGCTCTTCTCTAGCCGCGGCACAGTCAACCCTGAAAGGCATGGCTGCGAGATCCTAGGAAGAGTAAGGGCTCCAGGTCCGATGGACGGTGTTTGATAGATTGTAAATGCAAGGTGAGCCCTGTGTGCAGATGACAGATGAAACCTGGTTAGCACAAGAGATTGATATAAGAAAACAGAGAAAACTCAGAGGAAGTAGAGAATTTCTGACGAGAAAACAAGCATGAGAGATTTCTGCAGAGGGGAATGAGAGAAAGCAGACGAGAGGCGAGATGTTAGTGGGCTTCGCGGCCCTTTGTAGGTGCAGAGAAGAGGTGCTTAGTGCTTTCACTTCACGTCTGTCTCAGACTGGGACAGCAGCCAGGTGAGCAATGAACCTATAGTCTTTCCCCCACGCAGGTTGTTTCTAGGGCTCTTCCACCAACAATGAAGGCTTCCTTCAGAGTTTCAACTCCGAGGCCAGAACCGTATGGCAAGTTGTAGTGGGCCTGAAAAATGTAGTATATATAATTAGGTGGTCAAAAATGAATGAATTGATTTGATTGAATGTTTGTGGTGATCACCTCTCCAGGGAGAAGAAAACCATATTTATATGGATAGAGATAACTAGATCCGTATTATCTTTATAGCCATATTTTTAGAGTATTCCATTTAAATTGATAGAATCTTCCTCTTGTACAGAGATCTGCGGGACTTACCTACCTTTGGTGAAAGGGCTTAACAGATTACGTGAAACATTTTCAGCTCTTTGACACACACTGCCGTAGCACCTTACTACCAGGTGTTATGGAATCGAAAGGTTTTCAGATCTTCCACGACAAGTCATGGATCCCAATAAGTTGAAAATAACCCTTCTTGGAGATAAGACTTCTAGAATAGATCCTCCTAAGCAGAAAACTCAACCTTTGCTCTCCATAGACCTACTCCGTCCTTCTAGATCAACATTAGACAATGATTGTTGCTGAGTGTTGACCAACCCTCCACGTGCTAAGAGTGAGACAGGTTTCTCCACCAAAGACAAAATAGAAACCCTTTCAACGAGAAGACCTGTTCAGGCAAGAAGATACTTTCTTTTTCGGGGCCGGCAGAAAGCAAAGAAAACAGGGAGATCAATTCCACCCACTACTGTACAGATAATAGCACCACAAGTTGATTGGCATCCGCAGATAGCGGACCTGAAATTAAGTCTTTCTTCCTGAGAAAGGCCTGCAGAAAACCAGCAACATTGGGTATTGTCATTGTGGTACAAAGGGAGCACAAAGGAAGACATCAAATATAATAAAACAAAGAATAAAGGGACAGATCCAAACACAACGTCAGTTTATCTCCTCCATTCTAGGCTCTTTATTCGCCCCAAAGATACCGTTCAAACCAAGACCGGTTTCTGAAACGCTCTTTTTCTTGTCGCTTATATGCTGCGGCCCAGAGAATTCCAACAAGAAACCCGCCAAGGTGGGCCCAGTAGTCCACTTGAACTGCTTTAGCTCTCATACCAACAATATCGAAAAGGACAAGGCCCGCAAGGAGGACATATCCCGGGGCAGATACAACCTCCTGCCATTCTTTGGGGAGGAAGAAAACAGTGAAGGAGTCGCTATTGGGATGACGTCAAATGTTAGAACAATCCCAGATTCTCCCAGAAAAGAAAATAGGTAGAGTATGTCAGCTAATACTTACTTGAGGTGAAGTGTGCATAAAGAGCCAAGGATACCACTGAGTGCTCCGCTAGCTCCAAGCGCAGTTAGGGTTAATCTACCCATGAGTACATTGACTGTTAACGAGAGGAAAGAACCAAAGATGCCGGAGGCAAAGTATACGGCCAAAAAGTTCCCTCGGCCAATGTCATCGTGGACTAGGCCACCAGAAAAAAGATCAGTCGGCATTCACGGTGAAGGAGAATATTGGGCAAAACTCACGCCGGGTTCCCACAATCCAAATGCCCAACATGTTTGCGGCCAGATGTTTGATCGATTGATGGCTAAAGGTATTTCCCACCAAGCTAGCGGTACGAGGGTAAGCGGCGACAGTTATGAAATATCGATTAAGCATTCTCCACGCCGGGGGACATAGAGTCCATAGGGCGTATATGCCAACGTTAGCGCCAATGATAGTGATGACTGTGGCTGCCGCCGGAGGTATCGTAGGCCAGATTCGGTCTGCCTTTGCTGGAGGTTCGTAGTTTAGTGCGAAGAGGTAGCAAAGGCCGAGGGAAACGACGGTGAAAGCAAGAGCTGGAAGCAACCGGCTGCTCTATGTACGGATAGGAAGAGGTTAGCATCCGTGAGTATCGATGTGAGGCCACGGTTTAGCGACTTACGGTGGTGACATGGGATATATCCATATCCCAGTCTGTTGCTCGGAGGTGATGCTTCTGTATCCATGCGAGGAAAGGACGCTGAGATGGATCTGCACGCGGTCGGGCTACAAGGGGAGTATCAGCATCCTCGAGTACGTAAGATAGTTGACATAAATCAGCCTCTACCTTCCAATGCCGTTGAGTCTTCATATAATTGAAGATCTGTGTTGCGTTTGACCATTTGCTGCATCTTCTCACGTTCCTGTTCCTCGCCCTCGAGCCATTTTTGACGTCGCTCTTCTTCCTCTGCCAAGATCCTCGCCTCGTTTCGCTGTCTGGTCTCTTGCAAGATACTTCGGCCGGATGGGTCGTTCGACTCTCCAAGTTCTGCCCCAAAGGAGCCACTCTGGGGCTTGTAGAGACCTAAGTTTTCAGCGCGTCGAATGAGTTTTTGTTCCTCCTCGCGCGCCTCTCTTTCAAACCGGGCCAGTATAGCTGCGTCCTCATCGAGTGGATAGTGTTCGCGAAGCCACTCCAAGGCTTTGTCCCGACTCGGTCCGCGGACGGCCGATGTAATATCCTTAGGGAGATCTAGTTCAGGAGTGCCATTGAGACGTCTGCCGTGCAGTACAGCAAGCACGCGATTTCCCATATGGAGGGACAGCCTCGCGCCATGACCAAAGATCGCATTTATCTCAGCCTGCGAAAATGGCTCAGCACGGGGCTTAATGCCATATTCCCGCGGCGGAACCGACTGAGCATGGAGAGAGCCGGAGTTTGCGAACGAGCGAGCGAGGGAGAGCGAGAAAGGTGATTGAATCGATGCACGAGGCGACAAGGAACGGTTTGAAAAGGGCAATGGGCCCAGAATGCTGACGGGGCGCCTGGGTACATTGACCGAAACTCGTGGAGAGGGAGAAATGCAGCCGAATAAACGTGGCGACGTGGGTTTCGACGGGAGCAAGTTTGAGGGACGAAGCCCAGGGCATGGAACGCGCCATGCTACGCCGAACACATTGTTCATATCCTGCGACAGTGGGCTGCACCCGAACCTCAACCAACTCGTGTCGAGAGTTCAAGGGCGGAGGCTCAATGGTGGTAGAAGGATGAACGCGGACACGACGGAGACTAGATATGGCGATGGTAATGGTGCCAGAAGACGGGATTTCTCCGGGCCGCCGAGCAGTTGTTCCGAAGGTATTGAGTGGCATCGATCGAGCGGTACCTGGATCATTGACACCGCCCACGACTGGCGATCCACAGGGCTGAAACCCTCATGCATCTCTGGTGAGAGCTTTCCCTCTCTCCGCATTCCAGGTGTGCAATGAATGATGATGCACGGGAGTTGCGCCGCAGGCTTCAAGGGCCTGTCGCGGCACGTGGAGATAGATAAACACGGTCACGTGCTGATAGACGACCGATAAGCAAGTCGCTCGTCCAACTTCGCAGCTTCCTTTCATCATCCCCAGAGGACACGCGGAGAAGGGAAAAACAGCCCGCCATGTCTGCAGAATCCATACCCATCACCCCCTCCATGTTCGCGGAAGCGATCCAGGAGTTGTCCCTTTCCATCCTGTACGCCAAAGTTTCGGAACTTCGAAACTCCATCGCTCATCTGCAGCGCTCAAACGCGGAGTTGGAAACGTTTGTGCTAGAGTCATGCGATACTACAGAAGAGAAGCGAGAACTGGAGAGCTACATCACAGAGAATAAGGGTGTGATGACGTCTATGACGGAAAGAATTGCCCTGCTGAAGGCAGAAGTGGAACGTCGGGGCCAGCAGTGGATCGAAACGGAGGAAAAGCGAAGTGAGACCTCGGGCAACGGACCGACGGTGGTGAATGGGGCAAATGGAGCAAGCGCGACAACGACGCAACCGGATTCTTCTACAGCGGGTGATAGACAAAACGAGACACGGCCTGATCAGGACCAAGAAGGCGTTTACCTTTAACATGGCCTTTGTCTTCCACCTTGCTCTTTCGACTAGGATAGGAGGGTCGTCTAAAGCACTGCCTCGTTGGGAAATCGTCGACTATCCCGAACGATTGCGCATGTTTATCTGATGGAAGCTCATGCTATCTGGCCTCTGCTGGACTTGCATTTACATCGCGCGAAGATCTAGCGACGGAGCGCTCAACTTCATACTGAGACGACTCACCTTACTGCGACGATTCGGCTATGTACAGCCTTCTCGGGACACTGCCGATTGGAACAAAGGCCTCGATTAATTATTGTTAATATTTAATTTTTTTGTTCAGGCTTGTTTCACGAGGGTCATTTCCACGTCACGCTAGGTCCAGGAAAAGTCAAAAGATCCCAACAAACAGTAAAATTTCAACACGACGGGATCGATGCACTGTTTATCATCTAGGCCAAAAGAAAAAAACAGACAAAACAAACGTTTGGGTTGATAATTGAATCTCGACAGAAAGGGGTTATGCAAGGGTAACAGGAGAAAAAGGATATTCACATCGCATGCTAAATGCTTAATTTCTTAAACTCTGGGTCATACCGTCCGTTATTTGTCACGCACGCAGGGAGTAAAAGACACCAAGAAAGAGGTTCCAACGCCAGGTCAGAAGGCTAATTGATTGCCAATGAACGTAGGGGAAAAAGGCACTTGTTCTCTAGCTCAGCCAGAGTTCGGCTGACCCCAGTGACCGCCCGACAAGGCCTCGGGAGGGATTCTCTGTTGCTTGATAAACAAGTCAATGAGGGGCTGCATGGGCTCCATCTCCTTATCCGACACAAGTTTATAATACTTGGCAACGGTGACGAAGTGGACAAAGCACATGTTAAGGATGTCATGCTTGTTGATGTGCCAGAAGGGGTTCAGCCAATGCGCGTGGTACAGATGTGCGTAGCATCGGAACATTTGCTTCATGATGCCTTGGCAGTCTTTGTAAAATGTCTGGGGGAAGCCGCTGGACTTGCCAATCCACTCCTCCCCATTCGCGCTTGTTCCCGGGGTGGAGGGATTCGTGCCCCCTGCCTCGTGAATTGCAAATGTCTCGGGCATGCCGGTGACTTTGTCTGTGGGGAACATGACGGGGTCGTGGATCTTGCTCACGATCCATTTTTCGACACGATTGATGAATTTAGGGGCCGAGATCTTCGCAGCGCGACCATCTACAAGCCAGGTGTAGGTCAACCTGAACAAAGGCAAGATCATTAGCCGAGGGGTTTCCTCATCAAATGCTCATCTAGGGCGATATAACTTACCGCCCAGCCGACATTGTGGGGCAGGTAGCCTCGTTGCAAATGGGAAAGCCAGTCACGGCATTGACATCCTGGATGACTTGGAGCATCCCATGAAGCAGGCGATATTGTTCGACAACTATACACATCACGAGGTCAGAGGACCGGGACTTGCGAACGTCCTCGAGATTCGGGGGATCCACTTACTCTGGTGAGCCAGCCATTCTCCCAATTCGACGTTCTTGGGACAGGCACACAGAGTCAAAAAGTTACCCTTCACGTTTAAGGGGGCATATTTCTCTTGGAAAAAGTATTTGGGGGCGTCGGGGTCATAGGGTGCGGGGCCGTCCACGGAGAGATTCGACGTGACAGAGGGCGAGTTGGGCACAGATCCCGCCTGAGGCATCTGGGTAACCGGCGACTGAGCCGGGCTTCCATTGTTGGTTTTCGGGGCGTTGTTATTATTCTTGTTGTTACCCCCTCGGCCGAACCCTTGACGACTAGAGAATCGAGAGACAGGTCAGAATACGAAATGTGGGGAAGAGCCTCAGGAAAAGGAGAAGTTCCAAGGTGATGTGAACGAGGGAGTGGGGCGGAGCAGGTCGGATTGAAGAGTGACGGTGTTAAGTTTTTATACTTCCGGCGCACATCATGCTGCAGCTTTAGGGGGGGAGCGAAGGAAGCAAGAAAGAGAGTCCGAACAGGGAGGGGGGAAAGTTTAAGGGGACAACAATCTATGGGGAATGGGAGAGCGAACGGAGGGGGATGAACGTAGACCAAGGCAACAACTTACACGCTCTGGAAGAAGGTCGCCATGATGACTTTCGCGAATCAGTCGAGCAGATGAACGAAAGAGGACGAGAGGAACGGGATCGAGTAGGAGGGAGGAGCGAGGATGGAGACAGAATGAGATGCAGTGGAATCGATGAAACTGCGCTTCTCCTCTATCGGTCTGGCCCCGTCCAGCTGCCTGCCGCCGCTAAGCCCCGTTGGGTCCGGCTCGGATCATCTGCCGTGCCGCCTCAAAGCTCCGCGGCCTGCGATTCTCGTCAATGCAATCGTCTCCTCTCGCTCGCTCGCCTCACACCCATTCGCCGGAACGGTAGCTTTCCCTTATCACTTACCATGTCTTCGTCGGATGAGGATGTGGTTCGTCGACCCGGACGGAGCTCGGGTGCTGGCCAGCCCGCGAGCCCTTCTGGCAGCGAGCGTAGCAACCCTGCCGCTGCACGCGAAAGCCCGACCGGCTTTGATGCGGGCAACCTGAATGGCGATGATGACGATGCCGATCTCTTTGGATCAGATGGGTCGGATGGAGGGTTCGGCAATGATGACGAGTACGTACTCTCCCCAAGAGATGACCCCTTCTGGACATGTCTCTAGGCCCTCTTGGAGAAAGGAGCAACGGAGGACAGGAAGTTAACCTTGACGCTAGCCAACCAAAACGGACTCTGGATGACGAAGAACTTGATTCAGGGGATGACGAAGATCGAGTTGATAGAACCGGGGAGCGCATGGACTATGAGGATGGTGACCAGGGTGAATACCAGGAAACGGTGAACATTATGGACCTGAGCCTGGGTCGGGCGCCGGAGCCGGTAACTTCCAACGGCGAGGTACGTGGAACTATCCAGTCCCAAGCGCGAGTTCTCCCCTCGGCTGACACTGTCGGTATTAGATCTATACCATGCCAATTCCAAACTTCTTGTCGGTGGAGACCGAAGAGTTCAACCCTGAAACTTATGTTGCGCCCCCATACTCGACCGCGGCTACGTCTCTCTGCTGGCGCCACGACCCCGATAACGATGCCCTTCTTCAGTCAAACGCCCGTATCATTCGTTGGGAAGACGGCTCAATGACTCTTCAAATGGCTTCAGCCCCGAAAGAACAGTATAGGATTTCGACGAAACCTCTGGCGCCCCTCAACAAGTCAGGCGAATATGATACCAAGTTGGACTCGCACGTTTATTTGGGAGCTGCCGCAGAAACGTCATCCGTCTTCAGATTGACTTCTCACCTAACTCATGGACTTACTGTTTACCCCACCACTATGGAGACCGATGACGCCGTTCAACGTCTCCAAGAGTCATTGGCCGCAGCCACTCGCGGCAGCAAGAAGACCGCGGATGGATCGGCTCCTGTTATTGAGGTGACGGAGGATCCCGAGCTTGCGAAACGACAGGCGGAAATGGCAGAGCGGGAGAAACTGAAGGCTGCTCGCCGACGCCAGCAACTTGCCGATCGGGAGCTCGACCGCGGCCGTCGCGTCGGCGTTTCCCGTACCGGGGGTGCTGGTCTCACTGTCGGTGGATTGGAGGACGATGACGGATTGCTCACCACGAGGCCTCGGGCCAAAAAGCCGCGCAAGCCTAACCGCCGTGGTGAAATCTACACCGATGACGAGGATGATTACGATCGCAGGGGACACACGAGGGAGGATGAATATGATGAAGATGACGGCTTCCTGGTTGGCAGCGACGAAGAACCAGAGGTTGCCGATGACGACGAGGACGAGGATCTTCTTGAGGACGAGGACATGGATGCAGAGGGCGATGAGGACGTGCCTTCTACCGCGAAACCCAAGCAGCGACGAGCATCTCCGGGAGAAGCGGCTGGAACTCCTCCTGCTCGAAAGAAGAATCGTTTCATTGTGGATGATGACGATGACGAATAAGGCTTCTGATACGATTTTCTCAATCCCACCTCGATCATGTCCTCTATGAATATTGCTTTGGTCACGGCACTCTGTATCTATATCAAATCTTTCTATGGGTAATTTATTCCTCGGCGAACGAGTGGTCATTATGCGCTCTGGTGTTTTTCATCGATCTCGAAATAAGAAAATGAAAGCGAATCAAGATGTGTGTCGAGTAAAAAAAAAAAGAAAAGTTGGCTTTGTATTTATCTATGTACATGTACATGCAGTTGTTTTTCTCGTAAAACCTAGCAAACACCTGCAGCGTAGCCTCCCATAGTAATATGCATCCGAAAGAGACGCTTGAACATTTAAACATATTCAAAAAAGAAAGAGAAGATAACATCTGCGCCTTGCCGTGGACCTCAATTGTATGTTCAGGGAAAGTCGTATCATCAAAACCTCTAACGCCCGAGTATAACTCCATCGTGTTGATATAGGTGAGAAAGTAACGTTGCCACCAGAGGAAAACCGATTGATCGAAAAGCACGAGCGCCCTTCAGGCAACCACTCCGTCCGGGTATTCATGCGGCTGAAATTCAAATTTCGCAATGACTTCTCTGGCGCTATTGACCACCCGCAAACAGAGATAGTCTTGTTCCTTCTGCGCATCGTACGTTTTGGCACAATGTTCCGGTGGCATGTTCAAGCGTTCCTCCTGCGGAAGCGGATGGGATTGATGCCATCTTCGCTGGCGAGCCTCCATCTCTTGGATGAGACCGAGTAGGCTAGGAGCATCTGAACATTGAACGGAGCCAACAGGGTCACTTGGCCCACCAAGAACCCCGCTGCGAACTGTCTGACGAAGCCATTCCTTCCAACTTTCGGCAGGATCCGGAGAATTCTGGTTGATGGCCTGCACATAGCTGGATGGTGCTGCTTGCTTCCCAAGCTCAACGGCGTCGGCCTTTGATACGCGCAGCCAAGCATCACCCATGACATTTAGTAAAGTTCCGGTGAACATGACATTCTGTAAACCAGTGGCAAACTTTCGTGGGCAGGCTTGACACCGTATTACCGCGCGCGCAGTCTTGGCGCCAATGAATAACGAACACAGGGTATGCTGGGAGACCGGGAACGGGGCAAGCGAGGACAGATGACTGAGGCACAAATACAAGTACGATAAACATGTGCATTGGGGTTCGAGAGATTCTGAATTGGATGGAGACAGAGGAGGAGATTGTAATTGTGGCAGACCTGGAGGGAGTGTGAATGAATTCGACGCTGCCGCGGATACGCTAGAAAAGTCAGGCCATGGACTGGAAGTTGCTGGAACTGGATCTAGGAATTTCCCATGGTCCAGTTGCCACGAGTGGCTGTGGTTGTTTTCTGTGGACACCAAATGAGGGTATGCGAACGGATGAGCATAGACTGGAGCGCAAAAGGGATATTGGTCTGCTGCAACGGGGGTATCTGTTCCAAGCGAGGCGAGATGAGAGCTGTCGGAGTCAGTCCACCTTTCGCTTCCTGACAGACCAAACTGAGCAGGATTATCATCTTCTCGCGCCCGCTTCTTCGGCGGGCGTCCCATTTGCTTTTGTACGGAGTAATGGCAGACGAGAGATTGTTTGAGGCAGCGACTACATCCTGTCGCTTCACCTGAGCATTTCAATTTTCGGCTTCCTATTCCGCAATCATTTCGTGAGCACTCATAAGTCTGTCCGGAAATCTGGGGCTATGAGACCTACTGCACTCGTCGCAGGCCGCATGCCTCTTCAGCGCCTGAGCGGGGGGTGCGGCAACATCTTGGGGGCAGATTCCACCCGTCAGACTCGGAAGTGGCTCATTCCACTCAGTATTATCATATTGCATGATAGATAACAAAGGATCCTTGGCGCTAGCATCCAAGGCACTTATTATCTGGATATCAATATCATGAATGATCTCGGAGTTTGGCACGAAGAAATGGCCACGATAAGATGACCCCGCGGGCGGTGTGTCACGTGGGCGGTGTGAGCATCGGGTAGTCCCAAAAGGAAAAAAAAAAAAAAAGTTCCGGACAGGAAAAAGAAGACCAAAGACTAAACAGATCCACGCAGAATTCGGTGCCATTCCTCCACTATGCCTGCTCTTAAGGCTTCGAAGAAACGCAAGGCAGTCACTCGCGATGTCGAGGAGGAACCGGGTGTCTTTTCAGGCGATGAAATAAACGGTGATGGCCTGGATGGCGCGCTTTCAGATGATGCCAGTGATTCGGAGGTTGAATTGGTGGACGATTTCAGTGACGAAGATGATGACGAGGAGGAGCTGGACAGTGACGAGATTCCATCAGATGGAGAAGAGCCCGCCAAAGCAAAAGCCAGCAAGTCGGCGGAGGACAACGAGAGCTCCGACGAAGAGCAACCGAACTTTCGCATCGAAAAGGACGCCAATGGGAATGACCGCTTCCTGTATGACGAGATCAATCCCGATGACAACTCAGAGTACTCCGATGCCGACGAAAACGCCAACACCATCGGTAACATTCCCCTGACGTTCTACGATTCGTACCCTCATATCGGTTACGATATCAACGGAAAGAAGATCCTGCGTCCCGCCAAGGGAGAGGCTCTTGACGCACTACTTGACAGCATTGAGATGCCCAAGGGCTGGACTGGTCTGACGGATCCTTCGACGGGTAAACCCTTGGAATTGAGTCAAGATGAGCTGGAGCTGTTGCGCAAGGTCCAGATGAACGAAGTCCCGGATGATGAATTCAACCCCTACGAACCACTGATGGAGTGGTTCTCCAACAAGGAGGAGATTATGCCTCTGAGCGCTGCACCGGAGCCGAAACGTCGATTCGTGCCGTCCAAGCACGAAGCTAAGCGGGTCATGAAAATTGTGAAGGCGATTAGAGAAGGACGTATCTTGCCCTTCAAGCCTCCGACTGAAGAAGATGAGGCTGATCAAGATATCATCAAATATGATCTATGGGAGGATGAAACAGAACGCCCGGATCATCCTATGAATGCACCTGCTCCTAAACTTCCGCCACCGGGCTATGAGGAGAGTTACCACCCTCCCGCTGAATATCTGCCCGACAAGAAAGAACGGAAAACTTGGGAAGAGGCTGATCCGGAGGATCGGGAGCGCGAATTCCTTCCCAATGACTTTGGCTCTCTTCGGAAGGTTCCTGGGTACGAATCTTTTGTCAAGGAAAAATTCGAGCGTTGCTTGGATCTCTACCTGGCTCCTCGGGTTCGGAGAAGCAAATTGAACATCGACCCTGAAAGCCTTCTCCCCAAACTTCCTAGCCCTGAAGAACTGAAGCCGTTCCCCACCGCTTGCGCCACAGTGTTCCGGGGACATAAGGGCCGTGTTCGTTCCCTGGCTGTCGACCCCACAGGCGTGTGGCTTGCTACTGGTGGCGACGATGGAACTGTCCGAGTCTGGGAGCTTCTGACTGGTCGTCAACTGTGGAGCGTTAAGATTGGTGATGAGGAGGCTGTCAACGTGGTTCGCTGGAGACCTGGAAAGGACGCCGTGGTGCTTGCGGCCGCAGCGGGTGACGATATTTTCCTTGCGGTGCCTCCGATTGCCGACCCTGAAATCGAACAAGCCAGTTTGGACATTCTGGATGCCGGCTGGGGCTTTGCGGCTACGAGGCCTGCTCCAAGCGCCGCCGAGGAAAACAAGAAGAACAATCCTCCGCAATGGATCCGCCCCTCGGCTTCCCTTGCGGACTCCGGTATTTGTGCGGTTATTCCTCTTCGCTATGTGGTCAAATCTATCTCCTGGCATCGCCGCGGTGACTACTTCGTCACTGTTTGCCCTGGATCTTCTACTCCGGCTTCCGTGGCGATTTCCATTCACACACTCTCCAAGCATATGACACAATTCCCCTTCCGCCGACGCATCAAGGGTGGTGGCCCTCCACAGACAGCTCACTTCCATCCTTCGAAGCCGATCCTCTTCGTTGCCAACCAGCGGACCATTCGCGCATACGACCTCTCGCGACAGCTCCTTGTCAAGATCATCCAACCTGGTGCTCGCTGGATCTCATCCTTCGACATTCATCCGACTTCTTCTACCGCCTCCGGCGGCGACAACCTCATTGTTGGATCTTACGATCGACGTCTCCTGTGGCATGATCTCGAGCTATCGCAGCGTCCTTACAAGACTCTGCGATACCACCGCAAGGCCATTCGTTCCGTGCGTTTCCACCCCGGTGGCCGGTACCCTCTTTTCGCCGATGCCAGTGACGATGGCTCTCTTCAGATCTTCCATGGCAGCGTCACAGGCGACATGCTCAGCAATGCCAGTATTGTACCCCTCAAGGTGCTCAAGGGCCATAAGATCACCGGGGAACTCGGTGTGTTGGATATCGATTGGCATCCTCGAGAAGCCTGGTGTGTTAGTGCGGGTGCAGATGGAACTTGCCGCTTGTGGATGTAATTACAAAATCTCTTTACTATCTCTATGTTTTTGCCATGTCTACATGGGGCGTTTGGTGTGTATAAATGTTACTATTAGATATCCATTAAAAAGTTCTCGCCCCATGACTCTTTAGAGTTTCCCCGTGTACAGCTCAGCTCTCTTTGACGGTTATGTAATATAGAGCTCTCGTTCAAAGGAAACTAATCTACGAGGGAAAGGACCCCGCGAGGTCGCGATCTCATCTGTACATATAGGGCGTGGCATGTATGATGGAAGTATAAAAAAAAGAATAACGATAAATAGGAAATCTATGGTATTTACATTTAGAACACACCTCCACCCCAATCCCTCCGCAGTTTCTCGTATTTCTTCAAATCCGTCACACTCGGTCGAATGAACTCCTTCGCGACCACGAAGTCCTGGATGGCGATGGTATCCCGCCTCTTGATGGCCGAGTATCCCGCCCGACGCAGCAAACTTCCCAGGTCAGCACCGCTGTACCCTTCGCACTCCTCCGCCACTCGTCTGAGATCCTCGTTGAACTCGATGGGGAGGTTGCGGACCAGAGTCTGCAGGATTTCGACCCGCTCCAGGGGACTGGGGAGGTTGACGAAGAGCAGGGTCTCTAGACGGCCTGGACGCAGCATCGCCGGGTCAATGATGTCCGGCCGATTGGTGGCCGCGATAACGTAGATGCCCTGGCGGTTGCTGCCGAGGCCATCCAGCTCGGTGAGCAGGGTGTTGACGACGCGGGCCGAGGCTTCGGACAGCGTATCGTCTCGTCGAGGAACCAGAGCGTCGAGCTCGTCGAAGAAAATGACGCAGGGAATGGACGAGCGCGCGCGCACGAACACCTGCCGCACGGCACGCTCCGATTCACCGACGAACTTGTTGAGCAGCTCGGGACCCTTGACGCTGATAAAGTTGGCGCGCGACTCGTTGGCCACGGCCTTCGCCAACAGGGTCTTACCACACCCAGGAGGGCCCCAAAGGAGCACCCCGGTGGGCGCCGTAATGCCAACATTGGCATAGATATCTGGGTTCTTGATTGGCTCGATAATCGCAGTCGACAGTTCATCGCGAATGCCGCCCAGAGCACCAATGTCCGCCCAGGTGGTATCAGGAATGGTGGCGAAGCCTTCACGTTTCGACGATGGCTGGATCTTAGGAAGCGCCGTGAAGAAGTCTGCATTGGAGACCAGGACAACTTGGGCCTCCTCGCCCATCGGCGTCTCCTTCGCGTGGGCGATGAGACGGCGCAGCTCCTTAATCTTAGGGCTAATGTCATCTACTTCTTCTTCAATTTCCATTTCTTCCCCGCCGTGAGATTTTAGAAGCTCTAGGTATCGCTTGATAGCGGCAGAGCCGGCCGTGGAAACCAAGTCGTTCAGGTCCGCACCCACAAACCCTGGGGTTCTCTTCGCCAGGGTCTTGAAGTCCAGATCATCGGCAAGACGCATCTTGCGCGTGAGGGCCCGAAGGATCTGTTCTCTCACCGGCTCCGACGGCACAGTCATGTTGATCTCCTTGTCAAAACGGCCTCCTCGACGTAAAGCCGCATCCAAGCTATCAGGCCGATTGGTAGCGGCAAGAACAATAACTGGCTTGCCATCTGTCTTCTCCAGAGCGAGGTCATCCATGCATGTCAAGAGCTGGGCGACAATGCGCTTCTCCATCTCCCTCTGTGCGCTTTCTCGTTTAGGCGTAATGGCGTCGATCTCATCGATGAAGATCAGACAAGGGGCTATTTTCTTGGCCTCCTCGAAGTGCTCCCGTAGAGCCTTCTCGGACTCTCCCGACATTCCGGAGACAATCGATGGGGCCGAGATGGCGATGAAAGGTACTCCCAGTTCTGCCGCAAAGGCATTTGCGATCATGGTTTTTCCGCATCCCGGCGGACCATGCAACAGAACACCGCGCGGGGGTTGCACATTCGATGACATGTAAACTTGAGGGCGAGTCATAGGCAGAATAACAAGATCTCCAAGGTCCTGGACCACGTCGTCGAGGCCACCCAGATCCGTCAGACTCACATGGGTGGGGGGTGATCGGTCGATCGTGCTCTCAGCCTTGCGGCGCTTGGAGGAGGTAGATTCTCCCTCATGTTTTCGTCGTTTACTGGAAGAAGTAGTCGCTGGAGGGGCAGACTCGGAATTTTTGGACTCGACGGGCTTCGGCTGTTTCGATGTCGTACTCCACATGCCCACCATGCTTTTATTGAGGCTGTTGGACTCCTGTTACGGGACGAGTTAGCGTCGCGCCCATGTACGCCCATGACAGCTGGAGACATTCAACTGGCAAGGGTAGGTAGAATCGCATACCGGAGCCGGAGGTTCCTCCAATCCCTCGAAGTCGCCCTCTACGGAATCCTCGTCATCTTGTCCCAGCTCGTCGGTTTTGACAACTTCGACAACCCGCTCGATGCTGTCTTCCAGCATGCGTTTGGGCTTCCTGTTCAGACTCGAATTGGAGCGCTTAATGGTATCGTAGATTGCTGGCACCGAGAGACGAATTTGGTCATTTTCCGATTGATCATCAATGATTTTGCGCACGATTTGGTAGACCTATATAATTGCAGCAGAGTTCAGCGACATGTACGATGTCGGCAGAGAGGAATCAATCATCAAGCAGGGACTCTTACCTCCCGATCCAGGCCTTGCCTCAAGGTCGGTCTTCCCCCGCGGCGCATGATTCCTGAGCCCCGCAGCCAATTGATCGATCTGAAAAGGCGCGGCGAGATCGACGGAGACTCGGATTTTCTATAATTTTATCATTTTTGAAGGCGGGCGGAGAATCAATGTGCCGGCCGTACTATGGTAGGTCAAGATGACACGGTATTACCACAGGGGCCTCTGGTAATTGGACACAGAGCTCTCACCGCCGGGGGTAACGTGAAATACCGAAAATGCGCGTCACGTCATCTCCCGGCCCCAGGCTTATCGCTCATCGATGATCTTATCGAGTCTCGCTGCTCTTGCGACCCCCGTCAACCATGCGATGACAATGGGCAACTCTACCAGCTCCCAGAAGATCTCGGCTCAGGATAGGTAAGTGCTTCGGTCTGGTTTGGTCTTGCTCCTACCATCCACATCCGTGTCCCCTTTTCTTCCTCTTCCTTCTTCACCAAACGGGGAGTCAAGGCTGCCCTCGTGATACGTCCCTCCGGCCCTCCCTTCCATGGTGCATATCCATGTTCGGCAGAAGTGGTGCTGAGACCCGGATCTTCTGTCCTTAGAGCGATACTCGACTTGAAGAACCAGAGGGATAAACTCCACCAATACCAACGGCGGATCACTGTCCTCACCGATCGGGAAACCGCAATCGCAAAGGAATGCCTGGCCCGGGATGATCGCAAACGTGCGCTCCTGGCTCTGCGCCGCAAGAAATACCAAGAATCGCTCCTCGCCAAGACGGACGGGCAACTTGAACAGCTCGAACAACTGACTAGTCAGGTGGAATTTTCCCTCGTCCAGAAGGATGTCCTGTTTGGCCTGCGGCAAGGTACGCAAGTGCTACAAACCATCAACAAGGAGATGGGTGGCATTGAAGGGGTGGAGAAACTGATGGGCGAGACGGAGGACGCCAGGGCATATCAAGAGGTGAGAACATTCCATGGACAAATGCTAGCTGCTGTAGACATGCTAACAAGTGTTTGTGTCACAGGAAATCAGCCAAATGCTGGCTGGTCATTTGTCGCATCAGGATGAAGATGAGGTCGAGGATGAATTGGCGGTATTACAGCGCGAAGCACAGAAACCAATCGATCTACCCACTCCTCCCATAGCGGCTCCTGCCCCGATCCGACACGAAGAAGGCAACCAACAAACAGAGGCCAAGACACCGGCTAGAGCTGAAGAACGGACCGCAGTTCCAGCTTAACCCGCAGACGCCCCAGGTCTCCTCTACGCAGAATGGGCGCCTGGAATCTTTATTTCTATTTTCATGTTTAATCAACAGCCATTGAAGCATCGCCGGCGTTGACGGTTTTCGTTACGTATATATGGAAAGTTAAGATTTGGAGGGAAACCCATGTTAACATCTCGCAGTTAGAATTTGAGCGTCGTCACACTTGACATCACCTATCTTTCTCTTCGCTTCCGTTTTTTTATTTATTTATTTCTTTCTTTCCATTTCCCTTTCTTCGTTTTTGCAAGGGGAATAATTGCTTAGCTTGCATGTACGTCTGTGTACTTACCCGTACCATCGACATAAATCCTCTCTAAGGATAATCATTACACGAACAACAGTAATGTCATATTTCTCGTTGCACAAATTCGTTGAAATGCATGATGGTCCTAAATATCCTCACTGGCCCGGCATGATCCTGCCTCCTACGTCGTTCACCCCCTGGATTGCCTTATGATCACCGGGGTTGGCAGCTGCTTCGTAGAGGAAATTGACCGGTTCCCGATTCAGTGCCATGAACTGACCCTTGAAACCGACGTATCCAACTTTGGTCACCTCTTCCTCGCCATTGCTCCAGTTGTCTTCAAAAAACAAGGTGATGGAGGTGGTGGTGTTCCAGTGAGCACGATTCAAAGGCAATTCGAAGATATCCGCTCCAGGAACCGGTTGAGGAACCTCGATTGTTCGAGTGGGTTTGAGCTCCGAGGCGGTTGCGAAATCCAGATCATCCCGGTTCTTGAAAAGTTTCAGGGTTTTGGGGGCAGAGGGGGTCGGCGCGGTATAAAGAAGGAGTGAATGGACCTTGACTTGTCCCGTAAACCTAGAAGAATAGTAGGAGATTAGTAAAGATCGGGTGTTTTTACGGCGGGGTGGAGGGGCACGTGGCGGGGTACGTGAGATGAGAAAACATCAACAACATCAACGAGACTCCTACAACCATAGTAGGAAGGGAATAACATACGGGATATACATAAGCAGTTGCTCGTCCGCATCGCTTTCGAGTTCGGGTTGGTCGTTCAGTCTTTCCGCCCACGTCTTCTGGGCGATCGCAGCCCCGGAGTTTGGAACAGCCTCTATACCCCCATGTCAGGACTCACTTCACTTCATGAGCAAAAAGCAGGGAGATCGCGTTCAGTAATCTCTTCATACCGTTCAACGTCGTGATAGAATCAAACTGGATCTGCGAGTACAGGAGGGACTGAATGGCGGGGGTAATATCATTAGAATGATCATGCCCGTCTTCCCCATGGCAATGCCCGCCATGATTGTGATGCTGGTGATGTCCAGACATTTCGAGATGGGATGAAGGTGCTTTTGTTGTAGAAGAAGAAAACAAAAGGTGTATTTGTTCCGCTCGGAAATCGGCATGTGACAAAAGACGGATCTTCTTCCGCTCCGAAGCGTTGAAAACAAAGCCACCGTATGACGTCAGTGGTATTTCTACGCCGTACTTAATAACTAGTTAGGGTTGATTGATTAGATAATGTACAATGTCTATTCAATATTCGATCTTCACAATGTATGAGTATATGACTTGCCCTCCTCAGCGAGACAGAACGTTGAAACGAGGGGCGGCCCGACCCATCATTGAACTTTATAGTAGTTGGGTGCATATTCAACAAGATATCCTTTTTCGATCTTGGTGATATCACGGATGAAGGTCTTCTCTCCAGTTTGCAGTATCTCGTGGAAGACCACCCAGTCTGCTTTCCGATTCTGAAGACACCAGGTCAGTAAGAGCCGAGCATCAAGTGGCAAAGACGCGGAAAATACATACAAACATCAGTGAAGTGGGGTGAGCGTGGAGGGTAAGACCTCCACTGACTGTCTTGAATGTTCCATCGGGCTGCATCTTGGCAGCGTGGGCGAAGTAACCGGTTGTGAGACATCTTCGAAGGGATTCCGAGAGATTGGCTAGGCTGGGCTGCTTGGAACGAGACGAAGAAAGGGTCTCGTCAACCTGAATGCCAAACCGTTCGAGGTACCGCTTCAGCTGGGCTCTGATGCTCACTGCCCGTTGCAAGGATCGATAGTTCAAGAGATTGTCCCGACACCATTTGGAATATTTTTTTCCAACTGTAACAAACGCCTGGTATACATTGAGATACGTCAGATGGTCGCCTTCTTCAACGGCGAACTTCCGGCGAGTGCTCTCGGCTGATTTTCTGTCGCCCTCATGTTGCACCCAGACTGACCCCTGGAGGCTGACCATGGCTGCGATAGAAAGAATCTCGCTCAAGCAATTGAAGGACTGCGCAGAAAGGAGAACCTTTGCCATCATCGGATCGACCGCCAGTTCAGCCATACGCATGCCCAAAGGTTTTGTGAGCTTGGCATAATCGTCCACTGTTCCCAGAGAGTACAAAAGCTCAAACGCACGAATCACAAGCTCAGCAGGAGGCGGCGTTAAAAAGTCGAACCGCACTATGTTGTCTATACCGAGAGCTTTGAGCTGCATTATGACTGGCGCGAGATTCGATCGTTGGATTTCGGGAACGGTGGCCTCCGAAAGGGCTTCATACGCCTGCTGAGTGTAGAGTCGGAAGCATTTCCCAGGTTTCGTTCTACCTGCTCGGCCGGCACGCTGGACCGCTGCTGCCTTCGAAATTGGGACTGCCGTTAACGTCTCAATCCCGGAGTTTGGGTTATAGGCCCTTAATTTGGCGAATCCACAATCGACGACGTATACAATACCGTCAATGGTGACAGATGCTTCGGCAATATTCGTGGATACGATCACCTTGCGCGTATTCTCCGGCGCCGGCTCGAAAACATACATCTGCTGGTCTGTCGTGAGTCCGGAGTAAAGAGGAAGGGCAAGAATCCCTTGTGCTTTTGGATGCAAAGATCCAGCGCGCTCAGAAATCAATTGCACGGTGGTGTCGATCTCCTCCCGGCCTGTCAGAAACACGAGAATATCGCCGTCTCCTTCCTGTAGATGTATGTCAAAAACAGTTTTAACCGCTCTTTCAACATACTCTTCCGAGGGCGACTCAAGATAAAGTATATCCACAGGATACATCCGACCTTCCAGGCTAATGATCCGTCCCACGTTTCCCCCAATTTGAACCGACCCGTCGTCATCACTGGATTCATCGCCGGCGAAGAACCGTAGGAAGTCCTCAGCCTGCAGTGTTGCACTGCTAACCACAATCCTGAGCTCAGGACGACGCTTCATGATCTTTTTGAGGATTCCCAGAAGGATATCTGTGCTAAGTGACCTTTCGTGGGCTTCATCCACCATGATTACGGAGTATCGTGATAGAAGAGGGTCTACAAGGGCCTCTCTAAGTAGCATCCCATCCGTTAGGAACTTAATTCTCGTAGAAGCGGACGTTAGGTCCTCGAAACGAATTGAGTATCCCACATCCTCGCCCACTTTGCAGCGCATTTCTTCCGCTACTCGCGTTGCCACAGTCGTGGCAGCCACCCGGCGCGGCTAAAATTCCTTTAGCCTTTCTCCCATGGGGGGTTATTGCGACGTGCTTGAGGCTCACCTGCGTCACTGCTATGGTTTTCCCATCAGCGCACCATCCTGCTTGGTCGAGATACTGAGGCAACTGTGTCGTTTTCCCGCAACCAGTTTGTCCCACGACAATAGTGACGGGGTAAGTCTCTACAAGATAGAGTAAGCTTTGCCTATGTCTTGCGATGGGCAACAGCGCAGCAGGCTTGTACAGCGCTGGAATGAAAGTTGAGGAAAGCTCCAGTTCGGACGCCATTTGCGGTGGCGAAATACAGTTCAAGTCAAGTCTAGATCCAGGTGTTGATTCACGGGCTACTATGAGACATGTTGAGTTCACAGAAGCTCCCTGTACTCAAGACCACGGCCTCAGGTTCAAGGAAGGGCGTGGAGGAGGAGGAGGGAGTCCGTAGTACTCGGAATCCTCACATGCACGACATGCACGGGATTATGTCAGCCCGATAAGTCACGTGGATTAACGTCACTGCGCATCGGCGTCGCCCAAGTGTGGCTGATGTTCGGAGCTTCCAATGACAACGTTCTGATTGCTTTCTGCCTTGTGGTCTCATTATTTTTGCCGTCGCATCCCTTATTCCAGTGTCGGCGGAATCAACCCAGCTTGGTCTTCTTTCTGATCGAATCTTCCCTCTGAACATCCTTTTCAGCAGCCTCAAAATGTCCGAAGAAGACAAGAGTGTTGGTCTCCTCCTATCTTACCCGTGTCTTCAAGCCTCCGCTTATTTAACTGCAGTCCACCATCAAGCCCCCCGCTGGGCCCCTCAGTCCGAAACCCGAGTCCCCTACTACGGCACGTCCTATGGATTTCGATGACGAGCCCCAGGAGTCTGGCGTTACTTCGGCTCCTCCTTCAGCAACAACGCAGCCGAATGCGACGGAAGCTGCCCCGCCAAAACCGCCGCGCCCATTGAGCCCTCGGCAGCAGGCAGAGAACACTCTCAAAGAAGCGTTCCCCTCGGTTGAGGAATCAGTTGTCAAGGCAGTGTTGACAGCAAGCAATTTCGATGTCGAGCGGGCCTTCCATGCTCTTCTAGGTTCGTGGGGTCTGCATATTAAAGGAGTGGGGATCACGTTTACTAACATTACATGTCTAGGCATGACCGACCCGAACGCAGAGGAAGTGACTGCTCCCCCCAAACCTCCTCGTCCAACTGCAGCCCAGAGGCAACTAGAATCAGATGAGCTGTATGCTCGTCAACTTGCCGAACACTACAACCGACGCGCACAGCAACCCCAGTGGGAGGGTGGCCCTCCGCATGAGCGTTCCCGAAGGGGTAGCGAGCACTCGGATGAAAGGGAGTATAGCTTCTTTGATGGTATGTATTTGTATTCTGCTGTTAATTTCGAATACTAACGAGCTTCCGCAAAAAGACGACCTCCCCGTGATCCGCGAAAATATCCGCAAGGGATTCTTGGACACCCAGACCAAAGTCAGCTCTTGGTTCCAAACCGTGAAAAAGCGGCTCGACGGTGAAGAAGAGGAAGGTGGCCAACCAAGCCAGGGCTACGATAATGAAGGTTACAATCGACCGAGGCGAAGCGGAGATCTTGGTCGTCGCAGCGGCGACCGCGAACGTTACGACGCCGATCCTCAAGTCTTGGGTGATGACTTTTCTGCGCTTGAATTGAGAGATTCAGAAGGTTTGATTATTCTTCCCCCAAAGCGCATACTTTTGCACTCGACTAATCTTGGGTCTAGCTCCGCCTGCGCAACCTCCCAGACCTCTCGCGAACTCCAATCTTTACAAGTCCTCCTCGCCTTCCCCCGACAGGCGCAAGGTGTCTTTCCAAGAAGGCCCGCCCACCGAAATTGGTAACATTTATGACGCATCCGAACCCGCCAAGCGCAGCTCCACGGGAGGAAAGCCTAGCAAGTGGCAGCCGCTCTCGACAGTGGAACCATCTCCCGTCGGGGACCACGATCCGTTTAGCCTAGGTGACAGCGAAGACGAGAAGGACACGAAGTGTAAGGATCCGCAGGCCACAGACGAGACGGATCGCATAAAGGACACAGCCGAGACAATGACCGGCGAGCTCGGCTCTGCGTCGAAAGATAGCCAGAAGGCGGACAACGCGGGGAAACCATGAGAAGCCTAGCTTTCTAACAGCTTGGTATTTTTGTGTTCTGTACCATTGCGTTTGCATCTTGATTTTTCCCATTATTTGTTGCTTCACTGCAAAAGACAATGTTGATGATACCAGAGACTGCCGCACGGGAGGCATGAAAGGGTTCTAAGGTAGTTCAGTTAATTTTATCCGTGACATGTACGCGTACGCCCATTTGCTATGCAATCTGATTTCTTACCTACACATGGAAGCTAAGGTTGGGTATCCTTGGAACTATAAAACAAAATAGACAAACAAACGTAACTAACAAACAAGTCCCACTCGTTCATTCATCACTCGGGCAGACTCTGGTCATTAGGGTAAGCCGGCATAGCTTCTTTCCTGAGATCTTTGATCACAGTCTGCAAAGCAGAGGTCATTGCATTAGTTTTGTCCTAGTTTACTGTAGATCATAGGCAACCTACCGCCAGGGCATCGGGGTTTACTCCATTCTCGATGAGAGAGACACACAGCGAAAGTTCTGTTCTGTCTAGGTGGGTATTCTAGCGGCATTCAAGGAGCATCAGCCTCACTGTACCATTTATGCTCCATTCTGGGACACGATGCCTCGACTAAGAATGGCAGATGGATCAACATACAAGGAGGGTTGAGATCTCGTGAAGAATGTCGACGACCTCGCGGGCAGCCTGACGCTTGTCATCGGATTGCGACGGCATTTTGAGGTGTAGCGGGGAACAATAAGGTTGGATACTGAAGCCACAACTCGATATCGGGAATCTCAGCGGAGTCTATTCAACTGGTCGAGAAAGGGAAAGAGGAAGGGGAAAGTGAAGCTGGAAGGGAAGCTGGAAGGGTCAAGGGGAACCCTTACCGTACGGGCGTATTGTATATTTCGTCTTACGGCAGTGGGGGGTCGAGGTTATTTACATGTATTTACCGACATATGGCTGGTCACGTGCCTTTCCTCCACGCCGGATATCTTATCATTCAACAGTATTAAATATCCCTACTTGTTGTTTACCTCCTTTGGTCTTTTCGATTCGAATCTCAGATCGACCTTGAATCAATCTTGAATTTTCACCCTTGGACCTCTAGACCCATTGGTCTGACCGTCTCCCCCGGCTCTCGAACGGTTGTGAATGTGGATCTTGGAGGGGTAGCAAGAATGCAGGCCGAGTTAAAAATATCCGACATTCATACCCTACCTAGGGATCAGGCATTCGGGATTCTTACCCAGATTTCGCGCCCTTCCTGCCAATGAGGCCTTGGGGTTCGGCGAGGAACTATGGAGACAGAAGCCGAACACGAGGGTCTTGTATGCAACAAGAGCAACGCCTGGGGCAACCTCATCTGTGATCGCGTATGCTGTCTATGTTCGGCAGAAAGGAGTAGCTTTACTGCACAAAGTTTGTGTGGTAGAGTCATATCGCCGACAAGGCGTGGGGATGCAGTTAAAGTTAATGGAGTATATTCAGTATCGTCTACAAAAGGAGGGTTGCCAGTACATCCAATTATGGGTAGACAAGGCTAGGGATCCTGCCAGGTCTCTGTACATTCGCACTGGCTTCGAAGAACAGGAAGAGATACCTGATTACTACACGCCCTGGCGTACAGGGATTAAGATGGTACTGGGTCTTGACTCTTGAATGTAGTGTTAAGGGCTTGGAGCCACTCCTGCCTGTCCTGCGCGTCTCCTTGGATACCCGGGACCTCTCCTGTGAAAGGGCAAGCTTGTGACAGGGGAGACTTTATCCCTGTCAAGCGCTCCTAGGTTATCTGAGGGGCAGTATTTTTTATTTGGGCTGGGTGGGAGGTTTGGCTCGCGTTCCTTGGCTCCGGCGCGAAACATCCCTTGCAGGGGCATGCATTTCGCAACGTGAACTTTTATCGCGCCGGCATTCATCTTCGCTGACACCGATCCATATTTCCGTGACGTCGAGCATATCCTGGTATGGCTCGGTTGAAGGGGTTTCACATTTCGCGCCTCTCCTGGGTCCAACGGCCCTTGAGCGCGCAGGCCCTAGGATCTTAGCAAGGCGACCTTCTTCCTAAGGATAATCCTGCTTCCTGGAAACATCATTCACACTCTCTTCGGCTCAAACCTCTCCATACTCTCCAACCAGTGTTGCCCGAAAGACCATACTGGCCACAGTCAAATGGTTTGTTAGAATATACCGACATTCAACGGGCGTTTTCAACAAGTCTGCCCAAGCCGGTGGTCAGTTCGAAGATATGGCACTTTGGGGGCTATTGGTCTTCAGTATCTTGCTGGTCGTGGACGCAACGCTGGTGACAGATTATCCCGTGAATGCACAACTACCTCCTGTGGCCAGAGTCTCGCAGCCGTTCAATTTCACTTTCTCTCAAGGTACCTTCGGCGGTGTTGATTCAAACACAGAATATTCGCTCTCAAACGCCCCCTCATGGCTCCATGTGGATAGCAAAAGCCGTACACTCTCCGGTACCCCTAAAGAGGAGGATGAGGGCCACCCAAAGTTTGATCTTGTGGCATCAGATGGGTCGGACTCCGTACGCATGGAGGTGACCTTGATTGTTACGAAAGACGACGGCCCTAAACCAGGAAAACCACTGCTACCACAACTTGAAAGCATTGGAGCCACGTCGGCACCATCGACCATCCTCATACACTCGGGCGACTCTTTCTCGATATCTTTCGATCCAGACACCTTCGTCAATACGCGACCCTCGACTGTATATTATGGAACGTCGCCGGAGAATGTTCCTCTGCCGTCATGGGTTGGGTTTGATCAGTCTAACCTCCGGTTCTCTGGCGTGGCACCCGATATTGGTCCCCAAACGTTTAGCTTCAACCTTGTTGCCTCGGATGTGGCTGGCTTTGGCGCAGCCACGGCTAGTTTCGACATGGCAGTCAGTCCACACATACTGACATTCAAAGAGAGCGCGCAAACCTTCTTTGTCAGTCGGGGGAAAGAATTCACCAGTCCTCATTTTGAAGAGACCCTAACTCTGGATGGACGCAAAGTGGTACCTGCCGATCTAACCGATATTGACATTGATTCGCCAGACTGGATTAAACTGGACAAAAAGTCCATGTCACTTAGCGGCACCCCTCCTGTCGATGGAAGTGATGAGAACGTTACGATATCTGTTACGGACAAATACCAGGATGAGGCCAGGCTCCTCGTTAGTCTGCAATACTCGCAGTTCTTCCGTGGTGTGAAGGACTGCGAGGCAGTCATCGGTGACTATTTTACTTTTGTTTTTGACAGTACAGTTCTCAGAAACGACTCGGTGCAACTGGACGTGGACATTGGACGAGACTTGCCTTGGCTGCACTACAACCCCGACAACAAAACTCTTTACGGACAGGTTCCTTCCGATCTTAACCCGGCTAAATCATCGATTCAGCTCACAGCCAGCGAGGGGTCTGCGAAGGATACTCGGGACTTGACTATTAAAACTGTGGAAGGTGACAATTCGCATGAATCCAGTACCGCCGATTCAGGTGGCGGTAGTGGTGGTATTCATGGAAAAAAGGCTGGGATTATTGCCATCGCTGTGGTCGTCCCCTTTGTGGTCGTCACGAGTCTGTTGATCCTCTTCTGCTGCTGGCGTCGTAAGCGTAGAGCGGCGACACCTGAAGATGGGTATGATACTCAAGAAAGTTTTCCGCCGAAGGGCCCAAACACATCGATTCTGCCACACTGCCAGCCTTTTGAGGACACAACGCAGGGCAGTCCGCCGCGGATAGCCAGAAGTCCCTCGCCGTCGTCAAAACCGCCAAGGTTGGAACTGGGACCATTGTGGAATACAAGCCCTTTCCGTCCCATCGAACGAAAGAACGAATCGCCCGTTACCGTTAGAGAAGACAACGGTGCAAATCCTACCATCGAATGGGACTTTTCCCCCATTAAAAACACTGTATCACGAGAAGACGCGCCAAATGAGAATGCACCCCCGCAGCCGAAGCGCCTGTCTTTCCAGAACAGTCCACCCAGGCGCATGCGAACCAGCAGCACCCGCCGCCGAGAGCCACTTAGATCAATCCAGCCAAGAAGATCATTGAAACGACACTCGGCGCAGTCATCTCGTTCCCGAAGATATTCGAAGCGTTCTAGCGGAATTTCGTCAATCGCTTCAGGGCTCCCCATGAGACTTAGTGGTGCTGGGCATGGAGCAGGTGGTTTCGGACCTCCGGGCCATGGCGTCGTCCGGGTCTCATGGCAGAACACTCATGCTTCTCTTCAGAGTGACGAGAGTGGTGTTGGTAACCTTGCGCCTTTGTTTCCTCGGCCTCCCCCGCGGGCGCGCGAAAGCGTAGAATACCCAAAACGAATAAGCTTGCGGACCGTGGACCCCGACAATTCAAATACAGCAGATTCCGACTCATTGGAGGCGTTTGTACACAGCCGGGCAAAATATCGAAACTCATCCAATCCGCTGTTCTCCGGTCAGCTCAGTCGCCGAACATCTTCCGGTTTGCGCGCTCTAGAGAGAGCCCGAAGCACAGCCAGCCGGACCGACACCATCGACAGCTCCAACTACAACTACGGTGAAGACTACAGGCGATCCATCTACGAGCGCCCATGGTCAACGGCCATGTCCGCATCCATATACACCGATGACAATCGACAATCAGCTTACCTCGAATCACTGTCCGAGGAGTCCTTGAACATTCGGCCCTTAGTACCACCCATTGGAAAGGGACCAAGTCAGTCTAGCCTAGCACAAAAATACTCCGAGGCGATCACGCCGCTTCCTCGATTTTTCAGTGAAATCAGCATGAAGAGTGGGCGACGGGCCGAGCCGGGCCATACGACACCAACCAATCCTCCTCTCTTTGAGGAACCACAGGTTCAAGCAACCCAGCCCGAGTTTTCGCGATCTCATTCAAATTTACAGAACCAGCCGCCTGGTAAATCCACAAATCCATTCCGGAAAAGTCCATCCGTGTCATCTGTCCCTTTTAACAACAAGGGACGCCGAGCAAGCTTAGTTCGACTAGCGGAAAGCGATGCAAATCGCCAGCGAGGACTCTCTCGGGACATAAACAGCAGTATGAAAAGCGACATAGCATTTGTATAAGCGCGGAAAGGCATATTCCATAAATCATCTTGTTTAATAAGTTTCGCTTGTTACCTGTTTTTACGCCAACAAGAAGCAAGCATTTTGCGGCATGATATCCCTTATTGACTGTTCAAGTTATTTTGCTTCATGTGATTTCTGCTACGTTCTTAATTGTTGCTATATACATATCACTAGCATCTACACTGTTAATCTAGACATAATCGAAGTTGGTAGCATCTCCCAGTTATCTTGAAGGTTCAAATTACCGGCGTTTCTAATGCTAAAACAAAGGTGGTACGCGATTTCGCCCACATAGCCTCCACAAGTTCATTTGCCTAAACAATTTCACCCTACACATGTACTTGATGATAATACTGTTAGTAGGTATTAGCTTGTTTTAGTCAATCCTAAAATCGATTTCCTTCGCCGACTTTCCCAGCCACAAAGTGAGACAATATCTCGGCGGTTTGCAAAGCTTAGATTATCTTGCCGCGGGTGGGGCGGGTGGATTCGGACTAATGCAACTCTAAATCTACTTTTAGTCATAACTTATTGTTTCTAAGCGCCTCGAATGTTCCCGGGAGTGATTCGGTTTGAGAGGACGCTGCTTTGAGATATAAGTGATTTAATATGGGCAGTATCGAGTCTATTCACCTTGAGATGAGAGTGGAATTATTCACTAGGTAGACAGACAGGTCTAGAGTCGTTGGAAAGGATGTCCAAAGGAAATGAGTTGAGACTGCAGGTGTCCTCGCAGGAAGGGTCGTTCTCTAGTGGCTTTCTTGGCCACTGTCCCACTTGGTTAGGTGCTGCTGATCTCAGTATATCAGCCTCTTTCAGCAAAGATTAGTGAGGGTCGTCATATTTAGTAGCCTCATTGCTTCCAAATCTAGTCACCCCGAAACAAGAGTCGAAACTGGCAGGAGATTCGCTTAATATTGGCTAGTACCATACTATTATCTTTCCATGGGTGGGATGCAGCCATAGCAGCCAGCGATCGCTTTGCACAATGAATAGCGTGGCTTTCTTCAATAGCATAACCTTATGTTATGCGAGATGGGGTGGCGCTGATGTCCCAGAGCACTGCTTTCCAAGGGAGACTCAAAGCAAGAGAAGCGAAAGAGAACCCAACCTAGGCCCACCCATTTGCAGCTTTATGTTAACATCAGCCTTGAGCGGACTTTGAAGCATTGGTGCCGCACTATGCATTGCTAGCGGCCTTTATCGAGACCCAACGTCGCCAATACATCCGACATTGGGAAGTATTAGCTCGAGGATTCGCTTACATCTTTTCAATTAGAACAGACTAATCCAGACCAAAACTATGCTCCATTTGTGGTCGATGTATTTGTTTTGCATCAGTCTATACAGTTTGCATTAGTTAATATTACAAGTCAATAGGGCCTACACGTATTCTATTGTTACTAGCAATAGTACAGCCTATATGCCGGGTTGCCGAAGGCCCTCATACCACTTTAAGATGGGTACCAAGTGCGGGGCATGTGCCCTCTCTTACCTCCAGGTCCTGTAGTACATGAGCACGAAATCAGTGTGCACAACCCTTGTCAAGGCTAGCGGTTGACATAACACACCGCTAATGTAGGTATTCATGAATGTCATTAAGATGAAGCTCCTACGTAATCCATTTGCAAGAGGAATCCTTAAGACCTTCCAGTCACACTGGGAGTCCGGCAGTTTGGACACTAAGTCCAAAACATCTTTCCTTTATGTCGTCCTCTTGACATTTATTAACTTCCTGTGGTTCAATTTCAATGTACCCAAGAAAGACCGATCTGAATGTCAGTTGATCAGCAAGCGGCTTTGCCATGCTGTATGCGGTACTATCCTGAAGGATTCCGCATCATCATGCATAAAACATCTCTAAGCTCTTCATACAGGTTGGTAAAACCGTGAATGTACCTGGACCGAAGTATTGGAGATAAGTCGGAATGGGACCCTATGTCAAAATCAAATAAAGCATGTCCAATCAAAGACTACGCCATGGTAAGGCCTAGGGTCAAGCCCACCCACATGCAGTCACGAATGGAAGAAACTTCGGTGTGTATCTGAAATTTGCGATAGGGACAGGTATGTACATGGAGTTCATGCATTTTGAACCAATTACGGCCCTGGGCCCTTGCATAGGAAGCAAGTCCCGTCCGGCGTGCATGCGCTTGACCAGCCTATATAGTCGTTGAATGGCAGCCGGGGAAGACGAAAATGATAGGCTTTGGAACACCGATTCTAGTCCGTAGAACTACTGATACCCCTTCCATAGAGTTTGGTTCGGCAATTAGCACATGCGATACCCCGTTCCTGACCTCGTTAGGGTCGAGATATTCCATCACACCAAAGCCATGACTATTAAGAACCCCGCTAGTCACATCAATGAGATGTCTTCGTGGAGCCGGGGAGAAAGTGACTGGCAGGAGAGGAGGCGTAAAGAACAAGATTATATTGATCCAGGGAAAACAGGTTGGTTTGTGTTGAGGATTCGTGACACTTGGGGGCCTTGCTTTGGAGCTGGAGACCTGCCGAAGCAAGGACGGGGCACCCGACCGGTGAGCAAGGTACGTACCTTACGGCTATTACAGTACCTCCATAGGTACAGTAATAACACCTCTATTAGGTACTCGGTAAGACACAGTATGTAAGTAATATAGTTACATAAAGTACAGTACATACGATCTAAGCAATAAGTAAATGCAGGCTTCCGATAACGCGAGGGCACGTCAGACCATGGACAAGTTTATTTCCCGAATTTGTCGAGTTTGACGAATAGTAAAGAGGAAAATGGCATGGTTTGGAAGTCATCCGATAAGTAAGGAAGGAGTACAGGTAACTACACCGAGGTAGTGGTGGACACGCGACAGACAGATTTTTAAGGCCAACAATGGCGAGATCGTCTTTTTTTTTTTTTTTTTTTTTTTTTTTTTTAGGCCCGTGACATGCCGGGATTTTCTGGTGATCATTCGGTTGGCGCCTAACTGATTTTGTACGGAGTAGATACTGATAGTTACCTGGAGCACGAACACGGAAAGAAGGTATTCGGTAATTTTCCCAGCTTCCAGGATTTGGGTTTCCCCACTTGGGTTTTAGTTGTGAAGATGAGTGTGTAAATGTGACGCAGAGATGGCAATGGATAATCCATCACCCTCTTGAATGATTACCTAGTCCTACCTAGATATGTACATACCTACCTATAGTAGGTTAAGGTAGGTAGTATAGTATTGTACTGTACAGTGTACAGATGTCCCGGTGTATGCCTGCGGCTGCTTTCAAGCACGGAGGAAAACCTTTGCCCCCGTACGCCGCCCGGGGATTCTGCCGCCCGTCACCTTCTCTCCTCGCTCCGTCTCCCTTTCCCTCTCTTTCCCCCCTCCCCCCCTCAGAACCACTCTTATTCCTCCCTCCTCTCTCCTCTTTAGATTCCTTGCTTGTTCCCTCTTTGTGTGTGATTCCCTGGCCTGAAAGTCTTTCCCTCCCCTCCCCTCCCTTCTCCCTCCCACCCATACTGTTCTCTTCTGCTTAGTCGCAATCATGGGTCAGACTTTGTCAGAGCCAGTCGTTGATAAGGTGAGTGAAAAAATACCGAGTTCTTGAGAGTTGATTGAACTCCCTCCCCACACTGTCCTTACGCAATTCCACCCCTTCCCTGCCCAGACCGCAGAACTCGCCTGCCATGCTCCTCCGCGCCTAGTCTTCCCTCGAGTTATTCACTACCTATTCTCCCTCATTGTGTTATCTCTCCGTGTCTAGATCCTTCTGGACCACGTTATCTCCCTCCCCCTCTCCTCGGTATTGGGCGGCGCCACACCGTGGTGATCCTCGCCTGCGGGGTCCTCCACGAGTGGAAGAAAATTTCCCGCACCCGCTCCCACGACGGATGACCAGTCATCTTCGGGGTCCGCACGGTCGCTAACTCGCTGCCAACCGTCTAGGTCTCTTCCGAGGGTGAAGATGAGTGCTGTGTGTACGGCGTCTCCGCCATGCAAGGCTGGCGGATCAGCATGGAAGATGCCCACGCTGCTGTCCTAGATCTGTATGCGAAATTTACGACTCCTAAAGATACCCCCTCCGCACCCGATAAACGTCTCGCTTTCTTTGGTGTATATGACGGGCATGGTGGCGATAAAGTGGCTCTGTTTGCCGGGGAGAATTTGCACAAGATAGTCGCGAAACAGGACTCGTTCGCCGAGGGCGACATTGAACAGGCCTTGAAGGACGGTTTCCTGGCGACCGATCGGGCCATCTTGGAAGGTTCGTGTGGACGACGTCGCATCCTCGTTTCCGTTCTTTCGCACTGACTCGACCAGACCCGAAATATGAGGAAGAAGTTTCCGGCTGTACCGCCGCCGTCAGTGTAATCTCAAAGCACAAAATCTGGGTCGTATGTCTTTACCTCTGCTTGACTAATCCGAGCAAGCCGTCTTCAGTATGGTCCGTACCTAACCGGGTTCTTTTTTAGGCCAACGCTGGTGATTCACGCTCGGTCCTGGGTGTTAAGGGCCGTGCGAAGCCCCTCTCGTTCGACCACAAGCCGCAAAATGAAGGTTAGTTGATCCGGCTTTGTCCTCAATCCCGGAGCAGTCATACTGACGGCATGATCACCAGGCGAGAAAGCTCGTATCAGTGCTGCGGGCGGTTTTGTCGACTTCGGCCGTGTGAACGGCAATCTAGCCTTGTCGCGAGCCATTGGAGATTTCGAATTCAAGAAGAGCGCCGAGTTGTCGCCCGAGCAGCAGATCGTGACCGCGTATCCCGATGTGACGGTCCACGAACTGAGTGACGACGACGAATTCCTTGTCATCGCTTGTGATGGTACGCCAACTTTCCCACGATCGCATTGACTTCCGTGTCCGCTAACCATTTCGTCCTCTCCATTAGGTATCTGGGATTGCCAGACTTCTCAGTCTGTGGTCGAGTTTGTTCGCCGCGGTATCGCTGCTAAGCAAGACCTCTACCGAATCTGTGAGAACATGATGGACAACTGCCTCGCCTCGAACAGCGAAACTGGTGGAGTCGGCTGCGACAACATGACCATGACCATCGTGGGGCTTCTGAACGGTCGAACCAAGGAAGAGTGGTACAATCAGATCGCTGAACGGGTAGCCAACGGTGACGGCCCTTGTGCTCCTCCCGAATACGGCAAGTCTCTTGAGGAATCTACGGCCTCGAACCCCTACTGACTGAATGGGGACGCAGCTGAATTCCGCGGCCCTGGTATCCGTAACCAATTTGAAGAGAACCCGGATGACTATGAGATGGATAATGATCGTGCCCGTGGCTTTAGCGTGCGTTCTGGTCGCATAATACTTTTGGGAGACGGCACCGAATTAATCCCTGAACAGAATGATGAGGAACTCTTTGACCAGACCGAGGAAGACCGCGATTTGCCCCGTCAGGCTCAACACGAATCGCCCGACTCGGTCCGGAATGAGCGCGAAGGAACCCCGGGACCCCAGACCAAATCCGACGGCTCCAAGTCCTCCGAGTCCTCCGAGTCCCCCTCGACCGCCACGAAGAACAACTCTGGAACCACGGAACAATCTACGAGTTCGTAGTTATGATGGGGTCTTATCATGTCTGTGATTTTTTGGCTTTTGAAAACGATTCTTGTGATTTCATGACTGATTCCGCCTTTGCGATCTACCTTACCTTCCCCCCCATCCCCCTTCTCTTCCCCATGTCTCGGAAGCGCCGTGTTACTGTGTCCTACTTTTCACCCACTCCTCCTTTTCTTTTTAAACACGCTTTTTCTTTTCTTTTTCTTTCCTATCCTTCTTTTGTTTCCTTCTGTGATCGACTTCTTGTGGCAGTGAATGGGGCGGAGCCAAACAGCGGGCAATCAGGCTCGGCTGGCCAAGTGATCATTTGTTCAATGTCTACCTTGATGGGTTGACGGTGGAACAGCCTTCGCCTTGGAAGGGACAAGGAAGGGGCCATGTTTATTTCTTCTTTTCCCCCTCTGTTTTCTTTTATCTCGAAGCCGCGAGCGGCAGATCTCACGAGAGTACGTCTTGTTTCATGCCTTCCCGCAAGATACCGCCAAAGCCGACCGCTATTGATGAACTTTGATATCTTCTTATGATCCTCCTTCTACTTTTGCTGCCCTTTTTCTCCCTCTGTTTCTTGATTCCGTCTCTTCCTTCTCCCGAAAGCTGCAGCTTTTCACCTACGGGTATGGCATGATGATCACGAACGAGACGACTCACCAGAGGAGACGACGCTTTGCTTAGGCGGGCAATGTAGTAAAACAACGACTGGGGAGGAGTAGTAAAGGAGAAAGGGCGACGAGACTACCTATAATTGCACACATGACGGCGGACGCGGAAATCAGACCATGACATGCAGCATCGTGTTCCCCTAGGCAGGCAAGGCGTTACGTTACGTTGAAGCGAATGCCGAGCCGTGGAGTTTCTGGAATTGTGGCGGATGCAAGCGAGCTTCAAGTTGCTCATGTTTCTTTGCTTTATTTCTGTGTCTTCATTCTCATCCATTGCGTAACGGAGATAGACAATGGGCTCATGCAGGAATTGTGCCGGCCGAAGAGCCAGTTAGCAGCGTACGGAGTAAGGAAGTTGGAACCTGGAAGTAAGAAGTAAGAATCACCGCCAAGTCAAGGCCCGTTGGGGAACGCTTGACCGCATCGAGTAAGTTTCAGGGACTTGGGGAATAACCAAGAGTGGGTAACTGTACCGTACCCAGCAGGTATCGTCCACCCGGAGTCCGCGGCGGAGGGACTTCAGAGGTACCTCAGAGGTACCTGTAATATTGGCCCACCGCCGCGGGTTTTATGACTTTCCCATACGCCATGTTTCTCGGCCTCAGGAATCATTCTTAACCATTTTTTATTTTTCTTTTTTTACCTCTCCTTTTTTTTTTCTACGGAGTACTATTCCTTCCCTAGTCGCTTTACCGGAAGCTCCGCCTTCTTTTCGCTTTTCGTGTCCTCTCTCTCCATCTCTGGTCCCTTTCCAACCTTAGACCTGGAGAAAACCCGCGAGCGTCGTCCCGTGTTTTGTCCTATTGCAACTGTTCGACCGGTTCCCTCCCGCTCGCGCTCGCAGTCTCTCGTCCTCCTCCTTCCCCCCTAACCCGGTCGCTTCTTCAACTTTTTTTCTTTCTTTTTTTTTATCAACGCGTCTCTCCCCCCATCTTAATATCAATTCCTCCATCTTTATCATTCCCTCTCCACTCCCTCTCTCTTAATTGATCACCGATAGAAGTCGAGCTGTGCTCCCTCGGTCAGCCACCATGTCGTCTCCATCCTCTGCAGGCAAACGCAAGCGCAGTGCCTCCCAACATGCCACCAAGCCCAGTCCCGCCGATCTTTTGCAGCCTTCGTCGCGCGATGCATCCGGAGAAGAGGGCGACGAGTCGACCGCCCCCGCAACTCCCTCATCCATCAAACACAAGCAGCATGCTCCTCTCAACGTAACGTCCGCGACGAGCGTCCCGCCTTCCAAACGGGCCCGGAAGAGCTCGATCGACGACGGTTCGATCAATGGACCGACGGCAGAGGAGCCGTCGGGAATCAGCAAAGAGGATCCCGGCGAGCCCTCCGAAACCACGGTCGCCAGCAGTGATATCGAGAACCAGAGTAAGGGCCGACCCGGGTTACATGTACAGACCCGGCAGGACCTGGAACCGCCTGAGAAGGCCGGCTTGCAGGACCCTGTGGGTTACTCAACGAACCCGCCGCCCACGGGACGCCCGGTTCGGGTGTATGCCGATGGTGTTTTTGATTTGTTCCACATGGGGTAGGTTTCATGCCTTTTTTTTTTTCTGTCGATATTACCTTCCCAATTCGCGTCCATGCTAACGCAACTTGATGTTCGTTTAGTCACATGCGTCAGCTCGAGCAGGCCAAGAAGGCTTTCGGCGATGTGCATCTGATGGTCGGCGTTACGGGAGATGAAGAGACTCATCTGCGGAAGGGTCTCACGGTGTTGAGTGGCGCGGAGCGAGCGGAAACTATACGCCACTGCAAATGGGTGGACGAAGTGATTCCTAATTGTCCTTGGATTGTGACGCCAGAATTTATCGACCAACACCAGATCGATTACGTTGCGCACGACGACCTCCCCTATGGTGCCGCGGAGGGCGACGACATCTATGCTCCGATAAAGGCTCAAGGAAAGTTTTTGGTCACTCAACGTACCGAAGGCGTCAGCACCACGGGCATTATCACACGGTTGGTTCAAGATTCAATTTTGTCCCGCAAAAGAACCGGAAACTAATCGATTCCAGGATCGTCCGCGACTACGACCAATACATTTCCCGTCAATTCAAACGCGGTGCCTCCCGACAGGAGCTGAACGTCTCGTGGCTCAAGAAGAACGAACTGGAAATCAAGCGCCATGTGACTGAGATCCGGGATAACATCCGCACGAACTGGTCGACCACCGGCCAAGAATTGGGCCGCGAATTGCGGCAGCTCTGGCAGAACAGTCGACCCGGCAGCCCGGCCCCGAGCGCCCGGAACAGTGTTGATCTTAGCAACACTCGTTCAGGTCTGGTCAGTCCGACCACGGGGGCCAAGTCCCATCTGTCGAGGGTGGAGACTTTGGGCCGTCCGGACAGCCCCGTGGGAAATGGACGGAACGAGGACTTTGCGACCGGTTACAGTTTGGGGCTGATCGGTGGTGTAAGAGCATGGGTAAGTCTCATCTCTCGCTCGATCTTCTCGAACCTCTGCGTCAAAGCAGGACACTAACGGTGGTATAGATGCGCAGCCGTCGATCTCTTGTGGAGAGCCGAGCTCATTCTCCAACTAGCGAGGAGGAACATGACTCTGAACAAGAACGGAGCAATGGCCATGTCAGCAGTACGGCCGAAACCCCAGCCCATGCCGGGGTTCATTCCGCGTAAGACAATGCGGAGCTCCGTATTTTTATTTTTTTTTTTATTTTTTTTCAGTCTTCTGATTGATCTATCGGATTTGTTTCATATTTTTGCCTCTAGGAGGCTGGGTCACAACGATCCATGTCCCTTCTGGACCGATTGGCTCGATGTAAGCTAAAAGGCAGAAAGAAAATCAGCTCCAACGTATGCGATTTCTGATGGATTGATATGAGACGACAATGTTGATTTTGTGACATGCCTTTCCCCTCCCGATGACATCTATTTCTTTTTCTCTTCTGATTGGTATTACTATTGAATCTTCTCAACATAATCATTGTGGACTTTGCGATTGTTTGAATAACTGGGAAAGACGTGCATGTATCTGATTTTTGGGGCTTTTCTCATTCTCCTTTATTTTTGTTTATTTATTTGCCTGTTGTCTCTCTTCAGTTTTTGATTGTCGATGTACTACCTTCTTTTGGTTCCCAATCGCATTGCCCTGTATATTAACTTGCAGGGCTCCTTCTCATCGATTGGATTGGCGAGGGAGCGGAAAGGACGAGCACGACATGGAAATTGGACAAATACAAAGATTGGAAACGGTTGTTATTTACTCTCTAATAGACTGCTTGGATAGATGGTAGGGAGACGGCACGAAGGATTCGAGTCGGGCGTTCTTTTTTTTTCTCTCTCACTTCTGTTTTTATCTCTTGAACTGAATAGTTTGGAACCGATCGGATGAATCCGATCAAATGCAATTGCCATCTACTCTAATCTCGCACATCTAATATAACCAGCAAGGAAGGATCTTGCGCTGTTTCAGGTGCACAGGTCAACCAAGACATCAGTTTGGGATTGACAAAGCAGAGAGAGAGAACAAAAAGGACGAAGACAAACACACAATTCAAATGGGGTATCTCTATGATGCAAAATTTCACTTTTGGATGGGAAGTTCGGACGGAGGTCAGGCTGTCAGCCACGACCAGCGACACAGCTTGAGGGGAGAGGGAGAAGAGTCTAGGAAGGAGAGGAAGAGAGAAAGAGAGGAAGAGAGAAAGAGAGGAAGAGAGGAAGAGGGAAGTCAGGCCGCCGTGATCGCCAGACGAGGGCGCATTCTCGACCCGGCAACGCTGTTCGTTTCCTCCATCCCACACGGCCGCTTCAATTGCAACTGCACGTCCCGGATGAACGGGATCGTCCCCGCAGACGAGCAGAGGATAGACCGCAGATTATCACGGAGAGTCCCGGCATCGCGCACCAGATTGCCTTCCAGGACCCGTTTGGCGTAGGCGTCACAGCGCGCAGTGATGCCCAGCTCGAACGACCGCAGCCCGCGCACGCAGAACAAAGGCGCCACCCAATGCTCGTCAATGGCTAGCCGCAGGCGCTGCTTGCCGGCGACGAGACCGCCGACGGGGTTCCCGCTGAAGCGACCCAGGTCCAAGCTCAGATGCAGCTCCTCCAGGCCCCGAAGGGCGGCCACGCGCGACCAGAACAGGGACCAAAGGCGGTCGTTGTGGGTGTGCGCGAATATGGAGGTCTTCTGCTCGTGGCCGGCCATGGGCTGCCACACGGGCGACCACTGGACGGTCAGGCGGCGGATGGCGCGCAGGCTGTCGGGGGCTATGCCGGCGGAGAAGGCTACGAAGGTGTTCAGGTCGTCGACATCGAAGGTCACGTTGGCGTACAGGATCTGGGCGGCCTCGGCGTAGATGGCGCGGCAGGTGCGCAGCAGGGTCAGCGACGAGTTGCTCAGGGAGCGCGTCAGGTCCGGATGCGTGTGCGGGTACAGCATGCTGTCAGATTTGGTCCCGGGTCCGATGCCAGGGTTGGCGCCGTCGGCGACGAGTCGCCAGCGGGCCTGGGTGGCGGGACAGCAGCGGCGATTCTTGTCGATGGACGAGACGGGCTGGCGGCAGCGGACGTGGCGGATCTTATCCTTGACCTGCACCAGATGCACGGCCTCATCGCCGAAGACGTATCCATAGATCATCAGGCGGATCTCGGTGGGCAGTTTGTGCAGCAGGTCGCAGTCCACCTGGTCGGCCATGGGACGAACATAAGGATCGACCGGGTGGGAGGCCCGGAGCGGAAGGTCCACGGAGGGATCGCAGATCTTGCGTTCTTGAATCAGGTCACGAACAGCTTCTTGCCATCGACGCCCGGTGGGGTAGTAGTGATTGATGGAGTACGGATCTCGCAGGATCCATGCATCGAAGTGACGCATTGTGTGTGTGTATATATATGTATAGAATTGTATATAGAGTTTATAGTGTAGAGTATACAGGATATATGAAAAGAGATGGACGGGGTCCAGGGGAACGGAGACCAGGAACCGAACCGACGAAAGGAATGGAGACAGACGAAGCCGGAAACCGAGGCGAGGATATGAATATATACTCCCTACTGTGACTGTGTCTTGTACAGAAGAGCAATTGAGGGCCGCCACTGGCTGAGCGGAAGGGCCACTGTCGTCCGGGGAAGCTCCACCGCCTTCCCCTTCATTGGCCGCCCCTTCCCCCCCTCCTCCGGTCAAAGTCGGGTCTGTCCGCCGCTCTGATTGGTGCTGCTCGGACCAAGTCGGCGGCCGGTGCAACCCTATGATGTCATTCTGCCGCTTTGGGACTCGGTCAGGTTGGACAAACTGCCTGAATTATCAGGTGTCGGTCCTCGTTCTTCGTCATGATTCATGATTCATGATTCATTCCCCGTCGTCCTTCTCTCTCTCTTTATCTTGCGACTCTCTCTACACAGGTTGTCTATATCTCAGCCTTGACCCACCATACCTATCGTCCTAAACAGACCTCGTCTAACAATCAATCCCTCTTCCCCCTTAGAAGGGACTAGGCAATTAATATGCCTTTCCGTCCTGCAAGCCATGATGCCATCCGGAGCACAATCCTCCTAGGTCTTAGTCCGACAGCCTCACTTCCTGGCCTGAGCGCTGCAGCTCTGGTTTGATCCCAGTGTTGGAACTTGGCGCCGGTGCATGCATGCATCGCTTTTTTGATTACATGCTTTTCCTCTAGTTACCCGAAAATACCAATTCCCTTCAGATCGTCCGGCCGCCTACTTCATTCTGTCTCCCCCATCCCCCCTTCCTCATGCATCGCTGCTCCCCCGCATTCCTCCAGGTTTCCCCATGACGTCGCTCGAGATCGTCGTTTACTGTATCTGAGCGCCCCTCGTTCGGCTCGTCCGTCTCTTTGGACGCCACCGCTGCTGCACCTCCGTCGGACCGGGTCTCCCGCGCCATGGCCACATAAATGGCACTGGTCAGGATCAATCCCGATCCCAGCCAGCTCACGGCCGACAGCGTATTATTCCAGACCACGCCATCATAAAACAACGCAAAGAGCATCTGCGTGTAGAGCATCGAGGTGGCGCGCGACCCGGACGATGACGGCTTACGCGACTCATCCGTATCATTCTCATCCCCGTCATCATCGTTGCTGCCGTACTGACTAGTAGTAGCACGGCGATTTCCTTTCGTCGTCGACCGTCGCGGTGCCGGCGGCACGTACGACAGCCCGGCCGTGAGCAGGAACTGCAGGAGAAATCCGCAGACGCCCAGTCCCGCCAGCAAGGTCCATTCCGTCACGGTGCCCGGCAACTCCAGCGGCACCGAGGGAATTACCAGCATGGCTAAGAACGACACCACGGTCGTGAAGGTCGAGAAGTACGTGACCGACACCAGCGGATGGCAGCGCTGGCCGATCATGCGGATGGCCGAGTAGGCACACGAGGCGCCCAGCACGCCCACCAGCGCCATCGCGATCGCCAGGGACCGATGCATCTTGTCGACCGAGTCCCGGTCCGAGGTGGCGTGCGAGAAGGGCCGCGCGATCAGGACGACGCCGACCAGCGACACCAGCGCCGCCAATTGCTGCTTGCGCGTGAACGTTTCGTTCGGCATGTACAGCGAGCAGGCGTAGCAGCTCAGGATGGGCGCCAGGAAGGTCAGAACGGTAGCCTCGGAGAGCGGCAGGTACTGTACCGAGTAGTAGAGCCCGTAGACGCCCCAGAAGCCCCCGGCGGCGCGCAGTAGCAACAAGCCCAATTCGGATCGGGTGCCGAAGGGATGCGGCACCTTGGCATACCACATGTAGAGGTAACTGGCCAGCACGGTGATGGACATGCGTGCGAAGAGAATCTGTCGCAGTGGTCAACATTCTAGCCCTACCGGTCGACAGGGATCGTAGAGGTGACCTATGTCGATCACCTTCAGAAAGCCAACGTACCTGAAACGGACTCAATCCTTCGCCATTGCGACCCTGGTTCTCCAGCAATTTGGTCATCGTATTCATCGACGAGCCGAAGAACTGCGACATCATCACGAGAATCATGCCTTTGCCCTGCGCCCACACCTCGCCAGCCGATTCTCGCGTGTCCTCCCACCAGGACGATGAGGATGGCGGTGGCTGCGACCCCAGCAGAGGCTGACGCACATCAGCTTCATTCACGTCGGGCAGATTAGACCGTCGACTGAATCCCATCCATTTGAACGACAGTCGAGACGACGAGGACTCTGCATGCGCCGTGGGATGAGAAACCCGGCCGGGATCGGAGGGCGAAGTTGACATGGTGATTTATATCTGTAGGGTAGATCGTAGAATCTCTCGGTCGTCCCTTTTTCCCCCTTATATTCTTCTTTATATACTCGCCACCGTTCTCTCTTGAAAGGAGATCCCAGGAACAAGAAAGACCGCCTCCAAACTCAATAAATCACAATACTAAATACCTCAGCAGGATTTTTATCCGATCGATCGACCGCAAGCGCCATGACTAATCCTCATCAAGCGACCCTCGTTCTGGCGGTCAGCTGAACTTTTTTTGTCCCTTTTTTTGTCCCTTTTTTTGGTCTTTGCTTTGCTTTTTCTGTTTACCTGTTCTTTGATTCCGTTCCATGGATGATGTGTGACTGAGGCGAAATAAGCAAGTATCTCAGCTGGGAATTTCCTTGCGCTTGTGGCGCTGCCTGCTTCGGGGGATCATCCGGAGGGAGGTTCTTTTGCTTGGATTGTAGTTAGTTAGTACTTTATGTGTTTGATTATGTTATTTCTAATACACTACTCGAAATATTTTAGCTATGAGACGTCAGACTTTATATCATTACATACAATACACCCCTCGTTGCGATCTTTCTATACTATATACACTGCTCCGTTCCCTGCGATCTTCCGATCATACAAAGGTAAATGTATCGCCGCCTTTCTCGCGCATCATGTTGCCCATTCGTTTGGTGCCCACGATGCGCTCCAGCTTCAGCGCGTCCCACTTGGAGAACAAGGCCCGCACGCCCCCCTCGGACGCGGCCTCGACCACGTCAGTCGGATCCAAGCCGAGCTGGGCGATCATCTCGCCGTAGAAGACCGGGTTCTCCGGCAGGCCGTACATGATCACGCGCTTGACGCCGCGGATCTGGTACCGGCGGAAGTGGTGGAAGCGCTCCGTGTACAAAAGCACCGAGTGTCGGCCGTTCATGAAGTGGGTGCGGGCGCGCATCACGTCGCTCATGTCCGCGTACTCGGAGATGGCGCCGAACGAGAGGTTGCTGGTCTGATTCGAGGTGGCAAAGTGGTTGCGCACGCGCACGAAGTCTAGGTACGACGGGATGAAGATCAGCGTGCCGCCGCCGTTCTTGCCGCGGCTCGAGGTGATGTTGCGCACCAGCGTCGACAGCACCGTCGTCGTGAAGTGCTTGAACCGCGCGTCGGGGTCCTTGGCCGGCGAGAGGCTGTCGACCCGCGAGAAGGTCTGCTTGACCGACACGGGCAGCGGCACCTCCGAGATCGCGCCCGCGTACACGGGTGTCGCCTTGAGCTTGCCGCCCACGTTGTGCATGTGTGACGAGAAGACCGAGTTGATCTCCGGCGTCACGAAGGAGGCTAGCATGATCACCTGCCGCAGGTAGCGGGCGTTATTGTCCAGGTACCACGTCCGCACGCGGCTGAAGTCGCACCCGTGGGCCTCCTTGGGCTGCAGGTTCAGATGTTTCAGGATGTAGTCGACATGGTCCCAGTTCTGCATCAGAAGGGCGTCGGTGTGGTCAACGATCACCACCTCGATGGATGACAGGAAATCGTGATCCCGTTTCTTGGCGCTGTGGGAGAAGGTCTAATTAGTATAGAAGCCAACGATTTAGGGAAAGAACACACATACTCGGCTTGGTCCATGATGGTCCGCAGACCCAGAGGACTGGCGAGGATCATATCGGACGCATAGAACTGCGCAAAGAACTTGACGGTCTTGCGGGTGAACTTGAGACCTAGACGGAACATATCGTCGTCGTTGCCGCCAAAGAGCTCCCGGAAATCCTCCGGCTTGTTTTCCCAGCTCTCATCGTCGGTCCCCGAGAAGGTGTCGACGAATCGCTTCTTGTTTTCCTGCTGCTCCGGCTGGTAGATGCGGGTGATCGCGTCTACTACCCGGACGCAGGCCTGCTTTGTGGGCAGCAGGTAGAGCACCTTAGGTCGGGTGAAGCCTTGGTCTCGGAGGTCTAGATCGGTGTCCTGTTCCTTAGCCACGCGAGCGTTGTTCTTGAGCACGCGATCGCGCGTCTTCAACACATGGTTGGTGGCATGGACTGCGAGCAGATCTTGCATCGCCGCGGAATTGGAGGCGGTTCGGGCGCCGTATAGGACATCCTGATAATCGAAAATGTAGGGAGCGAGGTGCTGAGCATGCCCGCTGATTTCCCGGATGTGCTCCGTCGCAGGCTCGCTGAGCTTCTTCTTCAGCTGTTTTACCGCCAGTGTCAGCTGTTTCTCCGTGCATAGTAGAGCCACCGCCGCAGCTTACCTTCACGTTTGTAATGTTCTTCATGGGAGGAAGCATAGAAACATCAGTACCAAGATCCGGCACCGAATGCATGAGTTTCAATCCTTCTGGAAGTTCCTTTTTGGTAGATCGCCACTGCTTCGCTCTCGCAGCCTGAATCTTCTTAGACAATTCATCTTCCTTTGGAGTTGAGAAATGCGAGTCGAAGGGATCGCTGTCTGAGAGAAAGTTAGTATATACCGAAGCATCGTCGCAGATCAAGAAAGTGGGTACCATCTTCATCATCACTGCCTGCCTGTCCGTCAACGTCCATTTCGTCCCCGTTCTCTTCCTCCTCGTCATCCTCCTCGGGTTCTGGCTGCTCCAGGTCGTCGTCGGCCGGTGACTCGTCGTTTTCTTCCTCGTTCGTAGTCGCAACCGCATCGCGCTCTGGCTCCCGGCCCTTATGCTCAACTTTTCTCTTCTTCCGAGCGGGACCCTTGTTCTCCGAGCCGGGATTCAGTAGTTGCAGCAATTCGTTGTAGGGGCGTCCCGTTGGCTGTTCCTCTTCTTCGCTGTCCGAGGATGTCTCGTCGACGGGTCCTTGATGATCGATGTCGTCCTCAAACTGTTCGGTGCTGGGGCCTTCGTCCCCGGAAGAGGATTCGTCGGAGCTGAGGGTGAAAGTTAATGGAATTGAAAGGGAACAAGATCAATAAGATAGAGAGTAGCTCACTCGACCTCTTCCACTCGGGATTTTGTAAAGTCACTTCGTCGATTCGCAAAGCCACCGCCGCGCCTTCCACGACCTCCACGGCCTCCACGGCCTCTGGGGGCACGATTCCGGGGAGGAGGCATTGAGAGGATGAACGAGAGAAAATCGAAATCAAGGCAAGAGACGAAGGGAGGGAGGGCTCAGGTGTGGTGGTGTACAGAGTAATTCTCACTATTTTTTTCTCTCTGGGCGGCTGGGCGGCTTATCTTATCTTAGCGCGAAATTCGCACACAGAAGGAACGAAGCGCCCGCCAAAGAAGTCGCCCGGAACGAGTGACGGGAAAATTTGGAAGCAGATCGATTAATTGTCCAGCAGTCTCTCTCCACCACGCCAAGTGAACCCGCTCTGACGAGAGAGTTTGCCCTGTCCCTCCATTCCTCTCCCCCCGACACCTGCACCTTTTTTTACCTCCACCTCCCACCCTCCTCATAATGGCTGAATCCGATTCTTTCGTTCATCTGGCTCGTCCTTTGGGCCCCGTGGCAGTGGGGTCTGCACCGACGACCGCCCCTCTAGGCGTGAACATTCAACCTCAGGTATGTTTGCGAAAGAGTATAGAGGTATAGGGAAAAAAAAGAAAGGAACTCCGTGGCTGACCGTACATGCTCAGGCGCTCTTCTCGATCCTGGATCACTCTCTTCGTCGCAATGCCGATCAGGAGCGTGTTATCGGAACCCTGCTAGGAACCCGTTCAGAGGATGGATCAGAGGTTGAAATCCGCAGCACCTTCGCTGTCGGTCACACCGAGACGACGGATCAGGTGGAGGTCGACATGGAATACCAGAAGCAGATGCTGGCGTTGCATCTCAAGGCCAACCCCAAGGAAGTCCTGGTCGGTTGGTACGCCACTTCGTCCGAGTTGAACACCTTCTCTGCCTTGATCCAGAACTTCTACAGCGGCCAGGGTGACGGCACATGGCCTCACCCCGCCGTCCACCTGACCGTGTCGACCGAGCCCGGCAAGGATATCGAGACCCGGGCCTACATCTCCGCCCCCGTTGGTGTCACCGCCGAGCGCGCTGCCGACAGCGCCGCCTTCATTCCCGTCCCCTACGAGATCCGCTACGGCGAGACCGAGAAGAGTGGTCTGGAGGCCGTCTCGGCTGCCCGCGACGCCGAGGAGCGTGCCACCAACCTCTTCACCGACATCGAGGCTCTGGAGCGCGCCATTGAGGAGGTTCTGGGCATGATTGACCGCGTCTCCCGCTACGTCGAGTCGGTCATCGACGAGGAGGCTCCCGCCTCCACTGCCCTGGGTCAGTTCCTGTTGAACACCCTTGCCTTGGCTCCCAAGGTCGATGCTGCGGATGTCGAGCGTGACTTGTATGTTTTCCTGATCTCTCCTATATCGTGACTACCATGGACTTTACTGACATCGAATCTCTAGCAACAACCACATCCAGGACGTCCTGGTTGTGTCCTACCTGGCCAACACCATCCGTACACAGATGGAGCTGTCCAACCGGCTAGCAACCGCCCAGCTCACTCTGGGTGGAGAGTCCGGACCCGCCGAGGGTGGTCAGCAGCGCGGTCAACGGGGCGGCAGAGGAGGTCGTGGAGGTCAACAGCGGAACCAAGAGCGCAGCGGCGAAGAGGCACGCGCTTAAGAATGAAAAAAGAAATGAATAATAATTCAGATTTACTTGGTTTTTTCATTCTCTCTCTTGTTTACTGCACCACCCTTTTCTCCGACCCAACGATTTTTCTTGCTTTCTTCAATTTCGCTATCCATATTTTCGATGCCTTTCCTCGCTCTGTCTCCTTGTCCTTTGATACGTACCTAGGGTCCTATTTCTTTACTCAGGGGTTTATTGTCTCTTTTATTGTGGAATACCAAAAGCATCCTGTCACTTTTTGCTCCCATTTCTTCCCCTCCGGTTTGTTCTCTATCTTTGGTCGTCGGAGGAGTAGGACAGCAGCAGGAGCATCGTCCTTATAAAAGACACGGGACCGGGACTCCAAAATCAAAAAGAAAGATCACGGCGTATGGGAGTCAAGTCAATCTATCCGGCTTGTATTCAGAGTTTGGAGTGACCGTGGAATACTCCTAAAAGGAGAGAGATGGGACGGGACGGGATGGGAATAGGCCATGAACCGAGAAAAGGTGATGCGGGTCTGGGACCCTTGGTTCTTTTAATTTTGGAGGGAGGATCCTACTGAGCTCTTCTGGTCTTTGATGTGGTGTAGATTCGAGATGATTACGACGTCGCATTTCCGGCAGCGGAATATCAATCATGATGAATGGACATATTTATGTGCTAGATATCTTTTGCTCTTCGGTTCGACCCTATTCTTCGAGGACTCAGCCCTCTGTTTCAATTTCTTGATCGAAGTATTTCGACTGCGGATCCACCAGATCATGCTCCTAACGCCCGCCATGCAGATAGTGGTATTTCCATGTGTAAAAAAGTCCCTCAAGCCCAGTCCCCCAGAAACGCCTGCTTGTACAAAAGAAACGCAAGTAAAATACAATGAACGAAGCACTGACGAGACAGCGACCAAAGGAGACCACACCTCCTTCAGCCAGCAACCTTTCTCTTCTTCGGCGGCGCCGTATCCTCCGTAGCATCAGAGTCCCGTCTGGCGCCTCTTTTCCCTTTCCCCTTACTCTTCTTCCCATCCGCACCCTCTCCCAACTCCTCCAGACCCTTCTTACCCGCATCCTTGAGGTTCCCGACCTGGTCATCATTCTGATCGAACGCCTTACGCGCCTCCTTCAGCTCGCGCTCCATGCGCAGCAGCTCCTGCACACGACCCAGCTTGTTCGGGTCGCGACGCAGCGCAAATCGGAAGTCGTCAACCTTGATTTTCTGTCGACGCGAGTAGCTCGCGTACTGCGCTGCGCCGTGGCACATTTCGAGGATGAAGTCGGTTACGATCTCATCGAGGACGCGAACTGTTTCGGGAAGAGGTTCCGAGGGAAAGGATGGATGGGGACTGGGGTCTCCGTAGGCGAGTAGGAGTAGACGGACTGTAAATTGATCATGAGCATTTCCATTCTATCCTTCTTTTTTTTTTTCGGTGGGTGGGTGGCCGAGGGAGAGAAAGACGGGTTAGATAAAGTTGATAGGTACTCACGTTCCGATGAAAAGTTCATCTGCCCCTTATGCCGGGCCGCGCGAGCTCTGGGCTCAGCCATCTTGGTGGGATTCCCTTCCTTCTTCTTATGACTCTTCTTGTCGTTCTTGTTCTTGCTGTTGTTCTTCGTGTTCTGGGAATCTTCCTGGGCCGAGGACTCTGCAGTGTCGAGGCCGCGGTTGTTGGCTTCGGGCAGCGGCGTTTGCTCAGGGGTATAAGCAGGGTGATAGCCAGCACAGATTAGAGCAGTATCCTGAGCATTAAAAGGCCACGGAGGGGCGAGTTGAACCGAAACATGTCCTGAACTGGGCAGGCGAGGCGGCAAGGCCATCCGGTTCACCGCGGTGCGGAGGCGGTGAGACGCCATGAATTCCGGCAGAATAGTAGGGCGTTTCCGGTCCAGCTGGCCGATGTTTAGTTCCTTTCGTTGCACGTCATTCATTTTGCATGCTCACCTTCCTGAAAGACTGGCGGAAGCATTAGCCTGGTGGAAAATCCTCAGAATCTGTGAGATATCAGTGAGCAGGTTCAGGTTTTATCTCTCTCTGCCTCCCCTTCCCTCTCTGGGTCTGAGACACAGCAAACGCAATGGTAAGTGGGAAAATGCGCCTTACCGTCTGATAGGATCAAGCTTCTCGAAGCTGCCTGTAGATGGCCAGATGCGAAATTTCTTGAGAGTAGAGAAGAATTATGTGACTGACAGCCTGTGGGATATCTAGTCAGCTCTTTTCAATTTCCAGTCCCTCCTCCTAGTGATCCTGCTCATCATTTGCACGAGCACCTATGTCCACGCCATGCTGCCAGGGTTCATGGATCGCAACCGTCATGGGTACGTTGAACAGTTCAACTCACATGTGTATACAGCGGGTCGTGGAGCTAATCCGATTGCAGCTTCTTCGGGATATTCTGGAAATGCGCTCGAATCGGGGAAAGGTTGAGTCCATACGTCAGCATCTGCTGCGTCTTGATGGCTGTAAGTAGGACGGAGGGATTCCTTGCAAACGACCTTGTCCACGTCTTAGAGAGCCTTTATCTAATGAGAATGTTTGTTGCAGGTATCGATCTTCCTTGGTGGTTGAGTTCTAATTCACTGCACTTCACTGCACTTCACTTCACTTCACCTCACCCCCACCCACCCCTCCCAATTATGACTTCAAGATAGCATGGTCTTTCTTACCAGGCAATCGGCGTTACTGACGGGTCTTTGTGTCGGTTTGGGCATTACTTCCCGTGGCCAGGAGTTGAATCTTAATTTCCTTTCCTTTTCTTTCCCATGATTATATTTCGTATTGTACATAGCGGATGACTTTCTATACAGCGCAAAATGACCTATGCATCCATATTTTTACAAGCTTAGATATTCCCTCCTCATGGCCAATCGCTAGATGACAGCAAACACATGATCCAAACGCCAAAAGTTGGGGGAAGAGAAAGAGAATCAAAGTAAGGTAGGGTGAAAAGGAGAAGGAGAGGCGTAAGGAACGAAAAGTAGAGACTAAACGGTGTCTCGGGTATAGAATGGAATGCGAGCAGGGTCTTTAGGTTAGGGTGTTTTGATTAGGCGTTGCAGGCCTTGCACAAGCAACCCTTCGTCCTCATTCTCGTCCTCTTTCACCGCATCCTCTTTCGCCCCATCCTCTCTCGCCTCGATCTCTCTCGCCTCGTCCTCTCTCGCCTTGCCCGTTGCGAAGTCGTGCAAGTCAGGGTAAAGCTGATCGATGGGTGGTTCGAAGTCGTTGTCCAACTCCTTGACAGCCATCCATAACCTATGGGGATCATGGAGAAAACCGAGGGCTTTCATGGTACGGTCGTTGAATCCAAAGCCTTGCTTCTCCATTGATTTGATACTTTGAGCAACTTCCATGACGTTCTGGGTCTTGACCTGCGCGCGAATGATGGTGTTCCACGTAACCTGATCGTATTCAACGTTGTGGTTGCCCATCATTTCCCTCACTCTTTCCATGGCATAGGGTTGTCTGTTGAAGAGGAATATAGAGAGCAGAATGTTCCAGGTCCAGATGGTTGGCTTGCAAGGCGTAATAGCCTCCCCGCCGGGGGCTGCGCTCTGTGGAGCCTCTTCCGATCCTCGCAGCATATCCTCCACCAGTCGCACGGCTGGTCGTATCCCACGCGGACTTTGTCGATAAGCAGCCAGAAATTCGTTGTATATATGGGGGAAGGCCTGCATGGGAGCGATGGTAGGGTGTCCCTGCCACGCGAGAGACCTATATTTAGTATAGATGCGTACCACAACGGGCAGTTGTTTCTGGCATCGGATGTAGGACGCGACTATAAGAAACAGAGCGACCACTGAAGGGGGGTTGTTTTCGCCTGGTGTCTCCGGGGTGTAATGCGGTGGGAGAATGGTGAGGTCTTTTAGCGGCGTCAGGTCGTACAACTCGTTATACATGTCCAGCAGCGCAAGGAACACCTCGCTGGGGCTGACGTTGGCATCGGGATTCTTCACTGTGAATACGTAACGAGCATGGAGGAGTTTACTAGCAATCAACGGGTTTTTGTACACCTCGGGACGGAGGCGGATCTCCTCGGTCAGTTCTTCAACGCGCATCTCGTCCCCACGATCAACGGCATCCCGAAGAAGGGTCAGGTAAGTAAACTGATCGAACTCATGTTTTGCAGATTTCATGTACTCAAGCATGTCCTGTCCCAATCGTGAATCGCCCGTCTTGAAAGCGTTGGAAAGAACGACGTTCATCATGTCGCGGCTAGGCAGCACCCCCATCTGAAGGAGCTTCGGGAGAATATAGAAATTACGCCCATCGGGGCCATCACACACATAGTCCTGTAACAGGAGCTTACAGCAGTGGTACTGAACCATGGTGTGATCCAAGAGATAGCCCTGGCGTTGTAGTTTTGGCAGCTGTGAAAGTGCCCCCAGCGCGTTTTCAATGTCGCCATAGTGCGTGAACCGCCACATGAAACCCATCCACGTCTCGGGCCTGACGTTGTTTTTGCGCTCGAGCACGAGGTTGTAAGCGCGCTCTAAGTCTTCTCTTGTCGAGTGTTTGATGAAAAGTCGCATACCTCTCTGAGGCGGGAAAATGATGGGCCAAAACTCAGGATTCAAGACGGTTTGGATCAGATTCTCAAATGTGATCCCGCGGACTCCCTGGCGCATGACTTCTTCAGAGCACCGCACTCTGAGGAAGTCTAAACAATACCATACCATCATGAACACGGGCCTATCCTCATTTTGGCAAGTGACATATAGAAATTGCCAAGCTAAATCGGGCGCGCAGTACAGCAGATATAGGGACATACGCGGCCAGTGATCTGACTTTTCCTCCTTCGTTAGCCTTTCCCAGGCTAGACGGAAGCTGTCCGGGCCGTCCAGCGTGAGGCTTTCGAAGAGCTTGTAGGACGCCTGATCCAGTTCCAGGCACTCTGAAGAAAGATTATCAGGACTGTGCCCTTCAATGCTGACTGCCCATATCTCCGCGTAGTCGCTTTTCCATTTCCTAAAATCATCTCCCTTACGGAAGTACAAATTCTTCTCCCTTTGTTTGTTTTCTTGTTCGACGACACCTGGCGCAAGTGGTAGGTACCGTGGGCCTTCTTCGGGAAGGTAACCGGTGGGGACCATGGACACCCCGTTCACTACTTGACCACGAGCTTCGACATTGAAATACATGGTGTGAGTAGGACGGCTCTTTTCCGTTTTTTTGTGCCCAGTCGGCCCCCCGGGGGGATAATAAACTGACGGAGAGTGTCTCCGCCGCACAGAAGTAGCCGAAGATCCATGGTTGTTGTCGGTTATCCTGTCATCGTCAAATATCACCGTATCGGAATGCGAGGAATAGTGGGCGATGGACCGTGGCGGGAGAGGATTTCTCTTCACTTGACGCAGTTGTCCTAGGCGCAGTCTATGTCGTGGAATATAGGACAATCCAGCGTTGGCGCGGGGACGCAGGAGGTAATACGGACAAAGTGACATTCAGGATTTCGTGATCTCATGCATTAGAAAGGTGAAGAAAATAAGATATAAAAATAAAACAATACAACGACTTAATCATTCGGTGGTAAAGCGTAGAGCAACGGGGTAAAGAGAGAGATGGAGAGACGGCGGAAGGGAAACTTTTAGTCCGCATGGAATCCCCCATTTTTGTTCCGCCCGCGACCTGTGGCTGGTGAGTCCGCCCGGCCTGTGGCGCACCACCTTTTCCTCCCGCCGTCGAGATAAATTAATTATCACCTTCAGATTCCGAGCTCGGCCTTGTCGCAATCTCTCCAACTCCGGTGCGTCGAATTTTTAGCCTCGTCTCCCACAATTTCCCTACCTTCTCTGACGCCTTCCTACATCAGTCCTGCCCCGCAAATATGGCGTCCAACCATGCCTCTCTTGATGCGGCGGCGACAGAGCGCAAAGCTCGTCTTGCGAAGCTGGCGTCGCTCAAACGAAAACAACCCGAACCAGAGGCTCCGGCAGAAGAAGATAGCCACACCCAGGATGATGCCATGGATGATTCTGAGCACGACGTTTCGACGAAGTATCTCTCGGGGCGGAACTACGATGCGGAAACCCGTGGCCCAAAGCTGGGATTCGACCAGAATCCATTAGACGGCCAGACTACCCTAGAAGCACAAGCCGCTGAGATCGCGAAGGCCACGGCTGAGCAGGCAAATAACGATGCGGAGGCAGACCAGCCCATTGATCTATTCAAGTTGCAGCCTAAAAAACCCAACTGGGACCTGAAACGGGATCTGGACGAAAAGATGAAGATCCTTGACGTGAGGACGCAAAATGCAATCGCAAAGCTTGTTCGTCAACGGATAGAGAATGCGCAGCGTGCGGCTAAGGCCAAGAGCAAGGACATCAACAGCGATAAGCAGGGCGAGGAGGTAGGCATCGAAGGAGAGGTGCTGGTAGAGGGGATCCACATGCGTGAAAGGGAGGAAGAAGATGAGAGGGACAGTAATGAAGACTAAGTGGCATGGATTTGATACCCGAGGGAAGGTGTATGAGAAATGTTGTTATAAAGTCTCATTCTTTGCTGGCTTGTTTTGAGGCGCTCACAGTTGTAATTTAGGACGTACATCCAAAAGGCGTTGAGGGAGTTTCGCGTGCTGGTATACTTCATAGGTCTCAATATCAATACATTTTCCTTTCAACTAGTATAATACAGGGTGTGTCATGTCTATAGTTCTACTCCAGCTTGCTTCTTGAATTCCGCAAGCAAATGCCCAGAAAAATCTCATTTGTTCTCTCCGCCGTATTTCATTTCATTCTTTTTTTTTTTTTTTTTTTTTCTCGCTCTTTCTTTTTTGCCCTTCCTTTCCATACTCCCAAAAGGGGGGGGGGGGGGGCACCTCCTATCATGGTATGTTCATAGCCTGGGTTAAAGCCAGACGTTTGCTGTAAGGACTGAGGCTCCGTTCTCTTGGAGGAGCTTGGGACGAGACGTGACCTTGATCGCGCCCACCTCGTTTGCCATGCGCCTCGCTGAAACGACCCCGGCTGCTATCATGTCGATCCAGATGATCTCTTGGATGTCCTTTAGAGTTCCGGTGGTCGTCATCTAGATCTGCTGGGGTGATGGAATGTCGGCCTCGTGCAATCCGACTTAGGTCCACACTCCGACTGCGACTTCTTTCTCTGCGATCGTGCGAGACATTTACTGCTCGACCACGGTGGGCAGGGCTGGACTCTCGATGTCTCCGCCTGGTGTTTCTATCATCAGGCCAGTCGCGTGACCGAGAGCGTGCCCCTTCCCGTGAGGGAGAAGAGCCTGTATATCCGGATGAATCACTGTATCTCCTCTTCCTTGGTCTAGACGGATGTGAGGACACCGATCTTGGCCGGTCACGGCCACTTCGTGCAGTGTAGCCGGAGCGACGAGGGGGAGACTCCGAGCGCGAGCGACTCGTAGATATCGTGGACACGGAATTTGTAGAATGCGACGATACCGATCGAGCTCTTTTTGAACTTTGTTCCTGGGCATCCCGGGGGCCAAATTCATCCAAGCCTCTCTTTCGGCCACGGTCTTCTTCGCGTTTGGCCAAGATATCATCGGCGACGCCTTTGCTGTAGATCTGTCAGGTATTTTGGTACAAGGCTGCAGCGATTAGATGCCACGACTTACGTGCGCAAAAGATCATTGGGTACTTCGGTGGACAGCTGCGGCCTGAGTTTGGGATTCAACAGTTGCTGTGTACGCGACGGACGCGAGGTATATGGTCGATCCTGGGCTGTCACCGTGCATTCATAGCTATAGTGCCGTGCTATGGAGGTCAGCTTAAGGGCCTAGGGGCGATCAGAGTGCAAAGAACATATCTCGTTTTAAGCATTTTTGACACAGGGTGTTGGGAGCTGCCTTAGACGGGCCTCGAGCCCCCGGGGCGTTGCGATAACGATTCATGTGCAGCAGATACAAACGATAAGTATATGCAGACGTTTGCAGATTTTGTTCTCCTTCTCGTACTCCGTACTTGTCGCAATTATCTCAGATCAAACCGAGTCCCCGCGGCTGTTCAGGCAGACGAGTGGGTCGGGCCGACTGGCTTAAGCGCGCGGCTCACCGCCCACGACCCTATCTTCTTTCCTTCCTTCTCTCAGCCCAAACACCTACCCCCCCCCCCAAAAAAAATAGCCACCACCCATCGATCTTCGCGACCGCCAACCACATCGCTGCTTTCTCCCCGAAGCAGAGCTGTCTGGTCCCTTTGATTGTTTCCAGTTCGGCGGGGACGCTCTCCCTTTGTTTTGCGAGTAGGAGGGGATTCCCGATCTTCCTTCCCGTGAGAAATCCACACCAACTCCAAAGCAGAAAAACCACCCCCCCCGGTGAACCCGACGTTTCTGACTATCGTGTTAGACCAGCCACTCCACTTGGAAACCTGCCTAGTGTCCACCGGTCTTTTGGAAACTCGATCCGCTATCTACTAGACTTTCTTCCTCTTCGACCTGCCTACAGCGCACGGCTCATCGTGTCCCCACTGGTCCTGACTCCGAGCGACTTTCCCTATGGCGAATTACGTTTTTCAAAGATATGTCGTCTTTCTTTTTGGGCTTGTGTGAAGTGGGATTATTGAGTGGCAATTTATCGCTTCGAATCTCGGTTTTTTCCTTGTGAAAACTCGCACTCTGTCAATCCTGACCGTGCACTATCTCTTGTCGGGTTTCCTCCCATTATTGAGATCCATCATTACATCCAGTCCTCACATCAACAAAAGAAGAGCCAATAGGTGCATCTTGATCATTCGCGAAGGGGGAAGAAAGTTTCGATCCAACATGACATCGCAAGGATCTACAACCGGCGACAACCGCCTCTCTTTTGCAAAGGTATGTTTTGCTTGCACGAATCGCCTATCGCAACGTAGATGATGGTTCCAACCTTCTGACTTGCGCATAAGATCGCTGCAATGCTCCCGTCACCACATTCGGAAGATTCCGTCGCATCTGATGAAAAGAATGGTCTACAGTCAGCCGAGGAACCGGCATGTTCCGAATCACAGGGCCCGAAAGATGCCCTTCCGAGCCAGGAGAGCTCGAACCAAGTCCCGTGTGAGACCAACCCTGTCGATCGAAACGTCGACAGTCTATCACGGGCAATGCACGACGTGCATATTATGGGGAAAAAAGGTCAAGAGAGCCCCGGCTTTTCTGAAGGTCGAGACGCTGGGACTCTGAAACGGGAAGCGTCTTTCGAAGACGATCGTACACATCTATCGAATTCTTCGACCAAGCCGACCAGTTTCGATTCCAAGAGCATGGCATCGGTCACCACTTTCGCAATGGATGAGAAAGACTCCTTGCGCCCTGACGATAGCGCCAGCGTTCAGGCTGTCGACGAGGAGGAGAGTCTCTCGGGAATGGCCTCGGGTGCACCCAATTCGCTGACCGGGTCTGAGGCCGGCGCTCGGGGATTCAGAGACTTGCAGAGAGCTCGAGCAACGTTGCAAAACATGGGCCCTATCTACGATGGTGGTCAGAGAACCAACGGTGTTGTCATGCCCGATTCGGTATCTAACAATTATGTCGTGTCAAACCCCGATGCCTTTTCCGGAGGCCAGCTCATACCCATGCACCCATTCCCTCTAGATCCGGACGAGAAGCTTCTGGAGGCGATGAAGTCCCCGAAGGATCGCCTGTTGATCTTGCAATTGGAAGACAAAGTGCGAAATTTCATCGAGAAGTCCACGTGAGTCCATCCATACTGGGAAATACACCTATTCCACAGGCCCATCTAACAATATGTCTGAAGGGACCAATCCTTGGAGTTGCCACCATCTAATGCCTTTGGGCGGCTCCTCGCACATAAACTGGGTGATTACTACCACCTGACTCACTTTGTGGATAACAATGTGACATCCGTCCGGCTACATCGAACACCTTTCTGTCGACTGTAAGTGCTTCTGCTCTCTCTATACATATCTACCTTTCTCCCGGTTCCATGAGGCCATGGCCTAGCAATTGGTTTTTTTTACCCAGGGGCTAACTCTCTGTAGACCAACTCCCCTCTCTACCTTGCACGCTGCTACGAACAATACACCACCCCCGGCCATGCCTGCTATGAAAATCATGCGCCGCACAGATAGTGAACGGCCTTCTGCAGAAGGGAGTACGGCGGCAAGCTCGGGATTTCTTTCCAAAAATGGGTCAGAGGCTGGTGACAGTGGAAATGATGGAGAGCGTGGGAGCTCTTCGGCTGGAGCAACGCCGGCCAAAGATCGCATGATCTTGACTCGGGAGGAGCGGGAGGCTAAATATCATGAAGTCAGGGAGAGAATTTTCCGCGACTTCCCGGATTCAAAGTCTTCTGACAACACGGGTGGTGGTGACCAAGGCGCCAATATGTCGCGATCGAGTTCAACCAGTGGGCGCAAGAAGACACAGAGACAGAAGACTCCTCACGATGACAGCTTTGAAGTGCGTTCTCAGTTTAACGCCTACTACCCCGGCATGCCTTATGGTCAAGGGGCGCTCCCATACAACGTGACTATGAATGACCCGTCGTTCCCCAACCAACCCTGCATGGTAGGCCCCGGAGTGTCCCCGCCGGGAATGGGATACGTGCACAGTGGTCAGACCGGCGGCATGTTTTCTGCTCCAATGAATTCCATGCCGCAATACCCCATGCCCACGTCCCCGCAAATGACCGCCAGTGGTCCCTGGCAAAACGGAGCTATGACCCAGCAATCTCCCTACTCTGGGTATGCCACCATCAACCAGTCACCTGCGATGGGGGCGGCCAAGCCGTCTCCGACCATGAACAACTACCCCATGTCAGGTGCCGCGCAGTTCCAACAGGCGCCATCGGCCTGGACTCCTTCTCCTTACCACGGAGGATATCAACAAACAACGCATCGGAATCATCCGCCAGTTCCCTGGCAAAACTACTCGTCGCAACCTCTCAACCCGACCTCGTACCCCTACACTCAATACACCGGCCAGCCGATGAACCCAGGAGTACAGAACCCTTCGGGTGCGCATCCCTTGCCTGGCAGTTTCACACGTCCATCTTTCAATCCCCAGACGCGCTCGTTTGTCCCGGGCGGCGTCCCTTTGGCTCGGCATCCGAGCAAAGGCAATCAGAATGGCATCAACCCGTATGCGGCCATGCAGACTGGTATCCCACCTCAAGGAACTATCTTAGGAGGGCGAGATTCGATTGCAAAATGGGGAACGCCGTCTCATCTCCCCCCTAAACCGCCACCATCTGAAGTTCCGTCTGACTTTGACCTAAAGCACCGAGCTGCTGGTGGCACCACTCACACGTACTCCAACAATAACAACAACACACCAAATTCGAATAAGGGCCCGCTTGTTGTTTCCGGAGGCACGTCTCTCCCGCGGGCTAACTAGAGTCGCGCTGTTTTATATCTTCCAAGGTGGGGTTGTTAAAATTCTTGATCATCTGCCGAAAGAGAAAAAAAGATAAAAGAAAAGGTCAACCCACGTTACATGTTTCGTCACTACCACACTTCCTATTCAAACCAGCTTTTCTCTTTGCGATCGGTAAAATTGCAAATGGCGAAAATACCTATCTTGGTCTACTCCCAATTGAAGCAATGCACAAGACGATCAGCGGATTGCAAGTTTCTTCCGGCTTGTCTGCGACGTTATCTGTCATAAGCGGTTGAATTGGCTGTTTCATCTGGTAGTATCATGTACGTTTAGATTTTGCCGGACGTTAAGGTTGAAGATACTGGTTGCAAAGATAAACATGGCTTAAGAACTCCAAATGAAGAGATTTTTTTTAATTGCTTCGAATTATAATCCCTAAGTAGTGACGGTAGAAAGCATTAAAGAACCTCAGCCCCAATTTGGAGGGGAAACAGACTGGCAATCTGCATACCAAGACAGCTAGAATTACACGGGTCATGACGGTCAAACAGGTACTAAACTAGACACAGAGAACCGAACAGAAAGGAAAATATAAATAGTTAGATACAAGGACATTCAGCAAGAGAGGCACTAGACTTAAAGACCCGGACTGGCCATAACGACTCCCTCCCTCGCTTTCTCACTCTTTCCGCCCTCCGCCGCACCCATTCCGCAAGCAAGCAAGCTTGAGCCGGATATGCAGCATGCCCCTTTAGATCAACACACTCACACGCACGCATCATGGCTTATTTATTGCTTCTCACTCCCCCCCTTGGAAGACTTGTCCCCCTTCTTCTCATCGAGCCCTAACCGACCAATTGCCCTCTCCAGGTCCTCGACGCCGTCCTTTCGGAACTGCGTCACCTTGCGCACGTTCATGGTGGTCAACTCGTTGAGGGTTTCGAGACCTTGCGACCGTTGTCGGGCGATGGTGCGGGCTGTCAGAGCGAAGCGCATGTCCTTGGGACCGTCGACCAGTTCCAGGATGGCGCTGGGCGCCTGGTCGTCTTTCTTGGGTTCAACGCGCAATACCCGGGTGTAGCCGCCGGGGCGATCGGCGTAGCGTTCGCGCAGCGAGCCGAAGAGTTTGGGGAGCATTTCATGAGGGTTCTAATGGTGTGGGCGAGAGTTAGTTTGTATTGTTTCTTTCCTTTTTCTTCCTTCTTGGTATGGGACGAGGTAGTAGTAGTAGGACACTGTGTATTTTGATGAAGGTAGTATTTCCCCGGGGGAAAAAGAGCGAGAGAAAACTCCCAACGATTCAACACCACCACTGAGGGATCATATGGTTCACACATACGTAGAAAATCGACAGGGCGCGTCTCCGGCTGGACTCGGTGTTCTTCTTGCCTAGGGTAATCAGTTTCTCGGCCAGTCGCTGGGCCTCTTTGGCCTTGGGCCATGTCGTTGTGATGGACTCATGTTGGATCAGGGAGGTGACCAGGTTGCGGAGCAGGGCCTGTCGATGCGACGACTTGCGGCCAAGATGACGAAAATTGCCTCCACCTCCAGCCATGGTGAGAGTGGTTTGACGGTGATTCTTTTAATTCGGTGATCGAAGGTGGTTTTTTTTTAGGCCAAGTCCGGGGACAGGCAGGGTTGAGGATGCAGCCAATTAACGAAGCCGAACGAGTCCAGTGGTGCCGCAGACGAATGTAATTCGAGCGAGGAGAGGACCGAGAGCGACGGTGATGGAGTGAGTGTCGAGATGCAGAGGATGAAGAGGAGTTGATGCCTGGCAGATCAGGAAAGATTCGACGTTCCCGCCGCAGCCAATCGGAGTGCTGGAAGCGGCCAGTCCCGATCAGCCCAGACTTCGTCGCTTTTTCCGCCTTCATGATCAGTTTGAATTGTCCTGGCTCGTCTGTTCGAGATCTCGCCATCTTTCTCAATCTCCGTCTCCCTCAGTCCTCGCTCTGCTTCTCGTCCCCCGTTGAAATCCTCCCCATCGGCGGAAGGGCAACATCTTTCCCCCTCTCCCCACCTCCAACCGTACCTGTCTGGCTACAGGCGCAAAGCACTCCATACCAGTCCCCTCTTCTTGTTGCCTCCCCTTTATCTTGTCCAGAATGGGGTTCTTCGCCGGATTCGTAAGTCTCTAGAGCGTCCTGTCATGTTATACATACATCTTGTTCGATGCAGCTCCTAACGCGGAAAATAGTTCAGCGGCTTCGCGTTGACCACCACCGCTCTATACCTCTCCATCCAAGTCCATCGGTCAAATCGGCTGGATCAGAGCGAAGTAATCCGCGAGCAGACCCAAATCTTGAACCAGCTGGCCTCACCCATAGGCGCATATGACCGGCGTCTGGCCCCGACGACTCTTCCCAAGCCCGACAAAGAGACAAGTCCGGAGTCGGCGCGACCGGAACTGAAAGATCTCCTGAAGCATCGGTGGAACAAGGAGGTCGAGACGTTGGCCCGGAAGGCGTACGAAAGCCGGTGGGAGGATGCGCGGGCAACCGCTGCGGAAGGCTGGAAAAGCGTGGTGCGATTGGTGAAAAGAGAATGAGATTGGGGATGCTCTACTTTGTTTGATTTGATGTTGGTTACGTATATACTCATGTGGTGTTGTGTGGTTATGGCGCACAGCTGAAATTTTGATACCCTTGCATTGCATTCACATATCTGATGTTGGATGCTCCTACTACATGTTGTTCTTCGATATGCTAATGTTCTCTCCGTCTGTTTATTACGTATAGCCGGTTCGTTAGGCTGGTGGTTTAATATGTGGTGTCCTCGTGCGGTGTAGTAATAACTATGCTCGAGCGCTAGAAAAACTGCGTCGCTTCGAATACGGACTCCGTGTTCTGTGCCAAGAGTCCGTACTAGAGAAACCGCGGTGTGGACAATCCGGCGCTGCGCGTCAAGGGCGTGAGCGACATGATATTGTTCCCTGCTTATGTCGGACTTCAGTAGTTTCACGGGCCAGTTGCTAGCTGGTATTGCACGCTTGGGACCCGAAGACGATTTCGATCAGGTCTGAGTATCTTGGATGTCCCGCCATGAACATAGATTAAGCACCTCAGCCAGAATGAGACGATCGCGTCGTTGTCGTTACGCTGTCCGTTTCGCTGTCACTCCAGATATCTCTGCTTTCTCTCTCCACCGCACGCATGGCCTGAGCAACTTCCTCAAGCTTGGCCACCACATCCAACACGCCGCTATTCACCCGGTCAAAATACCGATCATTCGCCTCTCGTCGCTCGCGCGCAAGAATCAGGTCCTTCTCGGTCTCGTCGTCCAAGTTTCGATGGGACGCATCATCCGTCGCGACCGGTTCACCCGTCGTAGCAGTATTGCGCGAGCCTTTCCGCACCGACGGGGGGTTCCCCTTATTCTCGGCCCCTTCTTCGTCTGCCTCGCTGCGAGCCCAAGCCTGCGCCAGCTTCAGCTGCTTGCTCCGAAGATCTTCCAAAGCTTCGGAGTGCTTCTCCCCGAAGACGTATTCACTGGTCACGGCACTCAGCTCGACCTCCGACAGGGCATTCTGCATCTCCTGCCAGATGGCATCGGAGCGATCAGCCTCGCCGTTGGACGGTCTACGTGACACGAGCGGGGACAGCGAACCGGGCGGTTCGAGTGCCCCGGGCTGTCGAGACGAGCGACCACGCTGAAGAGCCGGCGGCTGACTAGTTCCGGGAGAAGACACCGCCGGCACCGGGGGCGCGAGAGAAAGATTCGAAGCATTGTGAGAGGGTGGGCCTTGGAAGAGAGCCGGAGGGGGGAGGCGCTGGGTGCTGACCCTCCGGATGTGCTCCATGCGTGGGGCGGCGTCCATAATGGGGGGTGGGTGAGGGAGTTGGAGAAAGCTGGACGAGAGAATGTGCAGGGGAAGGAATGACATACGGACTCCGGAGTAACTACAATACGGATGCCTCGTTTATCAGGCAGACTTCCAGCGATAACGCTTATCTTATCGGGAGGCGGGCCGACATTCGTCCGACGCTCGCTTAGGGGCACGGGGCGCACAGCTGAGCATTTTCGCCCCGACTTTAGCGAGACCGCCGGCCGTGAAGGAACCTTTCGACCTTCGACTTTCGACAACCATCCCCATCAGGCCTTTTGGCGAAACTATATCAGTCGGTACGTACAGCCCCCTGGCGTTGTTGAAAGGAGCCCCCCCCGTCGAATCTAGGATCGTTTTCGTCCATATCCGAAATTGTGCATCGTCGACTTTTCCCCCCTCTCCGCGGTCCCCTCCTAGTTCGTCGGATCAATACAGGACAAAACCAAGGGCAACAAGGCAGCAGGAAGATCTAACGCGCTCTCTTTTGGAATTCTACAGTTGAACCGTCTCCGAACATAATTCGCCAAGATGGGTAAGGGACAACCCCGTGGTCTCAACGCCGCGCGCAAGCTCGCGACTACTCGTCGTGACAACCGCTGGGCCGATCTTCACTACAAGAAGCGCCTTCTCGGTACCGCCTACAAGTCCTCTCCCTTCGGTGGTGCTTCCCACGCCAAGGGTATCGTCCTCGAGAAGGTCGGTGTTGAGGCCAAGCAGCCCAACTCTGCCATCCGAAAGTGTGTCAAGGTTCAGTTGATCAAGAACGGCAAGAAGGTCGCCGCTTTCGGTGGGTAACCCGGTTTTCCCCTTTTACTGTATCCGATGGCCAATATATTCGATCGGATTCTCGGATGGAACATGATGCGGAGTGAAGTTTTATGTGATACGGATGGGATGATTGTGTGGTGGTTCTCGGGAGAATTTTGAACGGGTGGCGGAAAGGAGTGGATCCGATCGGATGGCCTGATTCTTGTGTTCTGTGCAACAAACCCATGCTGACCGGTTAATTCTCTCTACAGTCCCCAACGACGGTTGCCTGAACTACATCGACGAGAACGACGAGGTCCTCCTCGCTGGTTTCGGTCGTAAGGGTAAGGCCAAGGGTGATATTCCCGGTGTCCGTTTCAAGGTCGTCAAGGTCTCGGGTGTCGGTCTCGCTGCCCTGTGGAAGGAGAAGAAGGAGAAGCCCCGCTCTTAGAGAAAGTGCACGAACGAGATGCAACGGAAATGATAGCGGAGAAATGGGGCCCATTCCATGGAAGATTGGGAAGATACCAACGGGATCTGTCTTCGGTCTATGGTCTGGAAATTATGGTTCAGGACGGATGACCCTGCAAATAAAACCAATTGCAGCTACTACGATTGATATACTCATAAAAAAGATGGCGCCATGATTGATTTCTTTGGGACGGGCCCTAAAATATCAAATCTTCAAAAAAACCATAACCGCATTCCCATGGGATTGTAGACTTGTGGCAAGCATGTAGAGTTGGACTGGCTTGCATCGTACTGGTATCACGATCCTATTTCCTATGGACTTGTCTCAGATGGACTGATTAGATCACTAATTAACATGTCCGTCAAGCACTCCATACGTCACAGCATCCATGGATATTCATTGCCTCATGTTTTGTCTATTACCATCCTTATCCTTACGCCTTTTTTGAATTCGTGCTTCGTCCGCGCAGAATAAAATAGCCATATTGATTCCTTCTTTTTCTTTATTTCTTTTTTCGTCCTTCATTATTCTTTTCTTTTCCATCATAATATCAATTAGAAGTTGATATCTTCCTTGCGGTAGTGGTCCGACACAATGCGGTACAAATACGATGGTGCATGACCGCCCCTGTGATTCAATGTTAGCAACTTGATCAAAGAAAACAAAGACATAATTGGTAAGCCAGGGCAAACCCACAAGTTAGTGATGTAAAGGTCAACCAACTCCGCTGGAACATAGTCATACAACGGGTTTTGTACGTCAATTTGGTCCACGAGATCACCATCTTCGTAGCCGATAACCTTGCTGGAGTCGCCAAACTCAATCAACGAGTCAAAGTCGAACGGATACACCGGACTGAGCTTGTATACACCGCTGACCACCACGACGGGAGTCTGGTGCACCTTGGCGGCGCGAGCAATGACCCGAGTGCCCGCCGCAGCGATCAGGCCGCCGTTAGCGAGAACCGAGTGTGTACCCAGAATCACCTTGTTCACTCGCGACATCAGTGCAAAGACGGCGGAGTCGGGAATCAAGATGACCGTGATCCCCAAAGCGATCAACGGTTTTTGGAACGATTCGGTGCTCAGAATCTCGTCGTCGTTAGGGTTGGCACCACTGACGGTGGCGTGCGTCGCCTCGTGGTTGTTGGGGAAGGATTCGGCATGGATGACTGTGAACTTGCGCTTGGCGGCAGCTTTCAGCAGGAACCTCTGCACGGTGGTGGACGAGGTGTGCGTGAGGATAATCTCGTTGGAGTGAATGTGGTCGAGGGCATAGGCGGCGATCTGGTCGTCGACCTGGCCCAGCTCGTCGATGATTTCATTGATACCCTCGAGAACCTCCGCACGAACGTCCTTGTTGGGCGTGTGACCCAAGAATCGGCCAGAGGGCGAGGCCGACACCGGCGTACCTGGCAGCGATGGGTCGGGTTCTGGGTGTGAGAGAAGACTGAACATGGAAATCGGCGCAGACAAGGCCGCCGTGGGTCGGGAAGCCGATCGATCGGAGCCCTCGAAGCGGCCAGACATGGATTCCGAGGGATCTAAAGACAATGCCACCGATTAATCGTCTGGGACAAACAAATCAGGGCCGTGAGATGGGCGACACTCACCATCCATAGCACGCGGGGTCTGCGGCTGGCTTTCAGAGCCGGTCTCGCTCAGCGTGAAGTCGGCTTCTCTATCGTCCTCGGCCTCGTCACGGATCAGACCGAGCACACGTCTGACCACGTTCCCAACGACCATCTCTCTCGGTTGAGCGGCCACCAGCCGTCTTCCCACACTCTGGACCCGTTCGATCAGTTTCGCTGCGTCCGACGTTCTGCAGGCCGAGATGACGCGGAGGAGAAGGTAAGCGGTCGCCGTGGCGCATGATCGAGAGTGACGAATTTGCCTTCGCTTCAGTAGCCTGGATTGCGCATTAGCCCGGTATGGGACGGGGTGACTATGCGGGCAACACACGAGATCAGATTGTCGATGGATGTGTCGATCGGGTTGGTCTTCAGCGACTTGAGGAAGGACGCCAATCCGGGCGTCAACGCCGCAGACGTGGCCGGCATGGTTGCGATTCTATTTTAGTTCGAGTCGTTCTTTTGTAAGAGTAGAAGTTCAGATTTCAATCATTGGCGACTCGTCGACAGCTCTCTAGGGCCAGCAGTTAGCAGGATTGAGTCATGCCCGCACACGGATAAGAACTTTGCACGGCGTACCGGAACGCCGGCCAATTTGCGGGTTGTCGGGGAGAAATATTACCGGGGACTTCGAACCAAATCCAGGAGATTGTCGAAAACGACAGGAAAACGTGCAGAAGAGTGGGGAGCAGCGAGGAGGACAAAGGGAGGGGAGGAGGTGGGATGTGCCGGCGAGGGAGAAAATGGCGCAGAAATGCTCGGCCCAACGCGAGACTAAAAAGTAGAGCAGCAAACCATCTCCGGACAATCCATCCGTTCCTCTCCCCACACCTCGCCGTCATCCTCGACCCCAACGCCTTTTGCCTTTTCTCTCTCTCTCTCTCTATCTTCCTCCCTCGCCCTGGTCCTCGCCCTCCGACTCCTTTCTGCCTTCTCTCTTTCCTCCTCTCCGCTTCTTCCTTCTACCCGGTCATCCATCTCGTTTGACCTCTCATCTCATCTCATCCTTCTCGACCGCCCCATTCAACAAGACTGGAGTTCGGTCGCTTCCGAAACACGGGCGGTCGACTGGCGCATTGAGGTAAGTTTTAGTCAAGATTTATGCTTGTCGTTTGCCTCGAACTATTTTTCTTTTTACTTCTGGCTCGATCTCGATCGTCTGTGGCCAATCTGATGATCTGTTGTGGTACGATGGCTGACTCGCGCTCTTTCGCTTGCTGTAGATACCTGCGCCAGCCCGGACACCCGTGGGCCGCGTGGGAAGATGAACTCGCTGAATATTCTGTCGTCCCGAGTCATTGGCCAATCGTCAAATTCCAACCGTAGCCGTCAGCGATCTCGTTCGCAAGGAGACCTTCCTCCCCCGAGCTCGCCGGGCGATCTCGCAAAACTCCGGTCGTACAGTAGCATCGACTTCCATTCGCTAGATGTCACCGAGAAACTCGATGACAATGCGACCGGGACGACGGAATTTGGGGGTCCATTCGAGCACGTCCTAGATGAGAAGACGTCGCTAATCCGCGGAATCCATAAGGATGGCTCGCTTGTGACCAAAAGTTCCCTGGGCCTGGTTGCTCAGCGCTTTTTTGATGCGATCACCGAAACAATCAAGTTTCTCCTATCCACTTTGGCAGCTCCGGGGATATACGCAGCCCAGTGTTTCCGGGATGACAACGGCCAATATTCTCCTATGGCGCCGGTCCGGAAGCTGCACCAGGCGGTCTTTGGATCCAAGGCAACAGGCAGCAAAGGCAGCTCACCCAAACGGACCAGTAACAATCGGCGAGGCAGCTCTGCCCGAAAGTTCAAGGGCCACGCATCCCGGGAATCAATCGCATCCAGCACCTCCGAGTCCGATAATGATCGTCGGGCAGTGAAGGGTCTCACAAGTGGTAATCATCGGACCTTGAAGGCGAAATCTACAGGCTTGGAGCCGGTGTCCGATGAGAGGGCTCCTCGTCGTTCAATCCGAATCAAACTGCACAACGAAGAGGCCCTGCAACGTCAACGACACCGTCGAGCGCAGAGCGCCGATCTGGGGTCATCGTCGGCTTCGCATAATGGAACGCAAGGGGCACTCAACATCGATAATCTGAAGTCTCCGACATCTCCATCGGTGCATCGAGTGGACAGATACCCCCATTCTCCGGTGCCTCCGCGGCCGCTGATCCCGCCACGTATCCCGTCATACACTGCTACTTCTCGCGGATCCCGGGTCCCTCAAAAGACCTTGGTTCTTGACTTGGACGAAACTCTTATCCATTCTCTGGCCAAGGGGGGTCGTATGTCTAGCGGCCATATGGTTGAGGTCAAGCTGGCCACGCCGATGACTACTGCTCTGACTCCGGGTGCTCCGCCCACGACTCTGGGACCGCAACACCCCATCCTCTACTACGTCCACAAGCGGCCACACTGCGATGACTTCCTCCGCAAGATCTGCAAATGGTACAAGCTGGTCATCTTTACCGCCAGCGTGCAAGAATACGCCGATCCCGTCATCGACTGGCTGGAACAAGAGCGGAAATTTTTCCACGCCCGGTATTACCGCCAGCACTGCACCTTCCGCAACGGCGCGTATATCAAAGACCTCAGCTCGGTGGAACCTGACCTGAGTAAAGTAATGATCTTGGATAACAGTCCCATGAGCTACATATTTCACGAAGGTACGGTTTTCCCTTCTTTTCAGGTTTTGTTCTTGTCATACACAAATCACTAACACTATACCCGCTTGTTTAGATAACGCCATTCCCATCGAAGGCTGGATCAATGACCCTACTGACAACGGACTCCTCCATCTGATCCCTATGCTGGAAGCTTTGCAGTATGTGACCGATGTGCGGGCACCCCTGGCATTACGTAGGGGAGAGACAGAAGCATAGCCTAGAGACAGGGTATATCATGATGATGAGAGGGTAACCGCCAAAGCAAGCTTTTTTTTTAAAAAAAAAGAGAGAGAGACGCACAAAGACCCAAAACCCCCCCCGGGAAAAAAAGTATACAGGCTTGTTTGATATTGACGAAAGTCTTATTGCATCATCCATAGTTGTGCTTCTTATTCACGTCATTGTAAAGAAAGCTGATTGAAAGCATGAGAAGTGTTAAGCATCACTCTTCATACCCCCGTTTCATTTTGATGTCTTACTTCTTGGATGCTCGGTGTTTGTTCTTTTCTTTCTTTTCTTTTTCTCTTCTCTTTTTTTTTCTTTCTCAAAGACTCAACTTACTTCTCCTTGTAATTTTTACCTTTTATTTCTGAGATCTCCTGTCCTCTTCTGTGGTTAGGTTTTATTTCCGTGTCGTTCTTACCGGTGGAAGTGATTGGATGAGGCTGCAATGGCCGTTACGAGTCAGGATTTGTTATTAATTGTATTTTTCTTCTTCTTTTCTTTCCGCATTTGCAAGGATCCTTCTACATGTATTTGATAATTTTGGTATTTTTTATGGTTCATGTACGAATATTATCACCTCTTCAACCACGCTACATGTCACATGTTCCTACCTAACCTGACCTGACCTTATTTACCGAGGTAAGGTACTTCTCCACCTACCTAACGACCTTCCATTTTACTGATACTTTGGTACCGGTTTTTTGAAAAATGAGGCATGGACCCATGGCTTCACGTGTCTGCCTTATGCAGTCGATCGGTCGGCTCTGGCGGTCTGCGTTGGTGTTCTAAAAAAAGCGACCGTATGAGGGTTGCAGATGAGGGATCGTAGAGATGCGAGATGGGGGCTAATTAGGTAGTTGACGCCAGGAAATAATTACTAGATCCGGTTAATATTTTCACTGGGGTAGATATCGTATGAATTGGACTTTAAGATATAATAGGTATTTGATGTCTATGTATTCGTAGTGGAAAACCTCATTCGTACATTCATCATTTTATAATTGACTATTTACGTGAGAATAGAAAATTGATCATAAACAGAAAAAGACTCGAAATCTAGAGCCCCTTGACCTGCTTGGCCTCCGTGAGAGCCTCCTTCAGAGCCGCAATGGCATTGTCAATATCTTGGCGTCCCGAGGTGACGCTGACGCCCATGTGACCGAATCGGATGTACTTGGTGGCCACCTCCTTGTGCAGACCGGCTGCGAAGATGACGCCGCGCTTCAGCAGACCGGGGAGCACGTCGGGCGGGGCCAGACCCTCCGGCAGCCAGATGGCCGTCATGGCGTGGGCCTGGTTCTCGGGTTTCGCGGCCAGCTGCGTCAGGCCGAGCTCGGCGACGGCGGCCTTGACGCGGTCGGAGGCCTGGGCGTGCACGGCGAACCGGTCCGCCATGGGGCGGGCGGTGATCTGGGACAGGGTGGTGTGCAGGGCATGGACAAGCTGGGTGGGCGGGGTGGCGAAGTAGGAGGGCTTGAGGTTCTCGTAGTTCTGCATGATGGGCAGCCAGTTGCCCAGCGAGGCGTAGTAGGAGGAGGGCGGGGTCTGGCGGGTCTTGAAGCGGTCCAGGGCGCGGCCGGACAGCATCAGGATGCTGAGGCCGGGCGGGCAACCGATGGCCTTCTGACTGGCCGTCAGCACGACGTCAATATCCCAGGCGTCGAATGCGATCTCCTCGCAGCCGACACTGCAGACACCGTCGACGACCACCAGGGTCTCGGGGCTGACGCGGCGCACGATCTCGGCCACGCGCTTGATGTCGCTCAGCACGCCGGTGGAGGTGTCGACGTGCGTGATGGTAATGACCTTGTAGGGCTTCTCCTTCAGGGCTTGCTCGATCTGCTCGAAGGACGGGCGGTCTCCGACGGGGGCCTTGATCTGGGTGGCATTGGCGCCGTAGGTTTCCAGGCACGAGGCGAAGGAGTCGGCGAAGTAGCCGGTGTGCAGGACGAGGGCGTTCTCGCCCTTCTCGATCAAGCTGGAGGCGACGATATCCCAGCCAAGGGTACCGCTACCCGAGATGACGAAGGGCTGCGCCGCCGGGCTGGTGGACTGGAAGAGCTTCCGAACCAAGCTCAACGTTTCGCCGAAGGTCTTGACGAAGCCGGGGCCGACGTGACTCTCACTATTGTACACCGTTAGTTTTGATTTTATTTTTGGTTATTTGTTTGGTTTTTTGAGTCATCCCCGGAGTTGAATAATGACGATGATGTATGTGAGGGGCATAGCGGGGAAGGGTGGGGGGAATGTAATTAAGAGACGGGAGGGAGGGAAAGGACTCACGCATAGTGGGACATAGATTGGAGGACGGCATCGTCGAATTCGATGGGACCGGGGATCAAGAGAGTAGGATGAGGAGCTTGGGACGACATGGTGGCGGGGGGGGACGGAGGAGGGTTGGATGAAGAGGGAGAAGGAGAAGGGGAGGGCGGAGATGAGCGATCGAGGGGCTTATATTCGATATCGTCGGGAGCGAGCGAGTTCCTCTCGGTCGAGAAGGGGGTGTTCAGCTCCGGCAGCGGCAGGCGTTGATCCAGGTGTCTGGAGATCAAACTCAAGCGCTGCGACGTCTGTTTGGTGGCCACCGTTCCGAGATGCTCGGCTCTTGACCCGAGAGCCCGCGGGGATAAGGAAGAGACGAGAAAGAATGGACAAGCTTGCCCTTTGAGTTTCCCGCCAGACGTGGAAAAGTCGGGTCGGGGATCGCCGGGTGCGTTGATTATTGGTGGATGAGAGTGAAGCTATACAATCTGAACGGGACTGGACAACCTGAGATAACTGAGGATGCAATTGCAGTGATTGTGGTTGTGGACACTCTCTGCTCAGGATAAAAAGGGGTGATGGTTGATATTTGTCGTTCTGATGGATTTTTCCCCCGGATTATTAAGTCACTATTCGCCCGCGTCTATCGGCCGGAAGAGAGCCACTAGGTACAGTATATCAGAGTAGTCGCTATTCAAGAACGGGCGGCGCCTTCCGTACTACGACCACCGCCGTCATCCGTCTACCGACTGCAATTGACTCATGACCTGTAGTAACTATGAGTCTTTGAGTCACTCAGCCCAACAGTCCTGAATACTACTACTGTAAGGAATAGATCGGCTTAATCCGTGGCGGCATCGGGAGTCTTCCCGAAGTATATATCGCCAGTGACATACCCTGATGTGTCATGGCCACGATAGGTATCAGCAAAGGTAATAGTACACCATTAAGAGTCCAGCAATCCAAACCCGAGAGTCGACAGTCATCTCAATCAATGACATGCCTTCATAGCAGCCATGAAGTCCAAGTCCAACTACGTATAGACTGAAGTAATAGCACCGATCCAAATAGGGCTTAGGGCTGGGCGGGCGGTGAGGCCTCCCCGCGACGACACCTGAGGAAGTAGGCATCCATTTAGTGTACCTTAGTAACGGAGAACGGAGTAGCCTTACGTCGTAAGCCGACCTGCTGTTGCTGTTGCTATTGCTGATAGCTCCCCTCCCTCTGGATCGGCTACTTTCCGTCTCTCCATGCGCCCTTGAATTTCCCCCTCCTTTCCGCCAATCGTTCTTTCTTTTTCAAAATGACCTCGCGCTTAGTCCTGGTCATTGGTGACCTGTTCATCCCTGACCGCGCTCCTGTAAGTGGCCGCCGACTTGCTCTCCGCCGCCCCTGCAGATATTATCTCCGCTTCCTGACTGACTGACTGACTTGCCATCACTAGGATCTTCCGGCCAAGGTACGCACTGTTCTGCTTCCTCTGGCTCATCGGACCCCACTCGTCCCTGACCGTTTGCATACGGCCGCTCTCAATTGACCACAATCTCTAGTTCCGCAAGCTCCTGACGCCGGGCAAGATTGGCCAGATCTTGTGCCTGGGCAACCTGACCGATCGCCATACCTTCGAATTTCTCCGCCAGGTCGCCCCCGACCTGCAATTGGTGAAGGGCGATTTCGACGTCGATTCCCCCAACCTTCCGCTCTCCAAAGTTGTGACCCACGGCAGCCTCCGCATCGGCTTCACCCATGGCCACACCATCATCCCGCCGGGCGACGCCGACGCCCTGCTGATTGCGGCGCGCCAAATGGATGTCGACATCTTGCTCTGGGGTGGTACCCATCGATTCGAGGCCTTCGAGATGGAGGGCAGATTCTTTGTGAACCCCGGAAGTGCCACGGGTGCCCTGAGTACGGGCTACTGGGCTGACGGAGAGGACCCAACGCCCAGTTTCTGCTTGATGGACGTAAGTGCGCCCCGTGAGACTCGTTGCAACGACCTTGCTTCGATACTAACGCGCCCGTCTAGATCCAAGGGGACGTGCTGGTGCTGTATGTTTATCAGCTCAAGACAGACGCCAACGGAGTCGAAACGGTCGCCGTCGAGAAGGTCTCGTACCGCAAGAACAACGTCCCGTCCTCATGAGTTGACTTTCTTACGTTCCTCTACCCACCCCCTTTCTTTGCTTGTATATACGCCATAGAAACAGACACGATTACGACACTCTAATTCAACTTGACGTTCTATCTGCCACCTGATTGAAGCTAGGGGTTTGTAAGATACGCGGGACCTCTCAAAAATCGGGCGCATTCCGTGCTGCTACGAGCGCAGAGTATCGTCTCAAAGTTGCTCCAGAAGGTATTCCGACTATCATTGCTACCAGAAGCATGTCCGATGTAAAGAGCTGGAAGCACCTGGGTTTAGCGTCTCTACGTGGCAGTCGAGAGGTATTCTGGCGAGGATTTGGTGTAATAGAAAAAAAGAAACGAAAATAAAAGAACAGAAGAAGAGAGAACAAAAGAGAGAAGAAAACCAAAGAAGAGAAACAATCAAGGTCATGATTAAATCGGAATGTATCGACAGCAGGAGGTGGTTCTGTTCTGCCCGGATGACAAAAGTCGCTAAGCCGAAAAGAGCAGCAGTGACTTCGGCGTCGATCCAAACGCGGGTGTCAAGTTCATTGACCTGCGGCCTCTCTTTTCACTTCATTCCCTTGTCGCATTTCTTCTCCTTTCTCTCCCTTCAACCCACAGAGTCTGCATCTGCATTGGCTTTGGGTTGTTCTTTGTCTCGCTTCTCCTTAAGAAAAAAACCCCTTCCCCGCCTACTCCATCCGGTGGATCAACTTCCCTTCGAGTTTTTCCCCCTCCGTGCGAACTTGCGGGTTGAATTAGACAGAGGGAAACACTGCTTCCCTATCACACAAGCACAATGAATACGGAAGAGCACGAGATCAAGGATGAGCGCCTCGAGACCCACGAGGAGGGTGGTGACGACGAGGTAAGTTTTTCTATTCCATGCTGGGGCCATGATTCCAGCATCCCGAGCCTACACCGCAAGCAGTATCACGATGCTTTCGCTATGTGTCTTCTGAAAACCTACCGTTCCAACCATGCCTTCTTTTACTAATGTACCCCGTTTGATGTCTAGGAGGAGATTGAGGCGATGAAGAAGCGGGTAGCCGAGATGGAATCCGAAGCTGCGAAGCTGCGCGAAATGCAGGCCACCCTTGACCAGCAATCCGAGAACCTACGAGAGGACAAAGAGGAGATCGATGCCCGGAGTATCTTCGTCGGCAACGTCGACTACGGAGCTTCGCCCGAGGAAATCCAAGCACACTTCCAGAGCTGCGGTTCGATAAACCGCGTCACCATTCTGTTGGATAAATTCACGGGTCAACCCAAGGGGTGGGTACCGCCGTCTCCGTGTCTAGCTGGATACTGGATGGTGAGATCGGAGGCTGATTGTCTGCTTTTAGGTACGCCTATGTAGAGTTCGCCGAGCCCAGCCTGGTGGCTCAGGCACTTGTTCTGAACGAGAGTGTGTTCCGCGGCCGGAATCTCAAGGTGAGTGTCGTCCTGCCAATCCTCCGCCCAGATGGTCAAGTCCAACCCACTAACTTAATCCCGGTTCAGGTCGTCCCCAAACGAACCAATGTTCCTGGAATGGCTCGAGGCCGCGGACGAGGTGGCTTCCGGGGTGGACGTGGCTTCCACCGAGGCGGCGGAGGCTTCCCCCCTCGCGGAGGCTATCGCGGCGGCTACCGCGGCCGGGGTCGGGGCTACGCGCCCTATTAAGGAGGGCAAAGCCATGCGAGCAGCCTTAGAACAAGCCGACAGCACTCCGACGGACGAATCTCCGACGTACGGCAGGAGGCGAGAGGACCGAGGGAGCGAAAGCGGGCCGCGACGAACGAACAGGCTCGAAGAAGACGAGGCAATCTCTCCGATCTCATGAAACAGATCTTTGGAGTTGGGGGACTAGGGTGTACTACTTGTATGATAACCATCTGGCAAGCTTCGGACTGGGCAAGATGGGCGGACCACCGCAATTGCTGATTTTCTGTGATATCATCGTCTTTTCCTACGTTTTTTTTCTTCTTTTTTTCTTCTTTTTTTCTTCTTTTTCTTTCTTTTTTCTATTTTTCTATTCTTTTTTCTTCTTCCTTAAAAACCCAAATCGATCTCGGTCATAGTAGTTTGAGCCACCGGTCAGGCGTTCATCCTCCGGGGCCATTGAATTGGCTGGTAAAATCCTTCGACTTGGACAAGAACGGAGCGGGTCAGGTGAGATGACGTATTGGATTTCCCGCCCTCACCGTTCGGACGTTGTAGTTACGGAGTAGTTAGTAGTGTGTATTAGCAGTGTGTACACAGTAGAGAACTAGAGATCCCAGGAGCCGGACCGACTGGGTTGCTATTTTCATTCGGAGGTTGTAGGGGACCCACGGTAGCGCCAAAGAAACGAAGCTACTCTCAACTCCAGAAACAAGCAGGACTTGCAGGGTACGTGGGAGGTACACGGAGGGGGAGGGTAAGGGATGGCTCTGGTACGTAATTGGACGTACGCAACCATTCCGTCACGAAATCCTAGCATTTCCCGTGTAGCTTACTCTCTCTTACTGAACAGTAGTTACCGTACTAGGGAGCAAAGATATTTTAGGATCCTGTAGGTCCTCTGTAGGATCGCGTTGAGGTCCTCAGGCCGGTTGAATTCTGCTGCCTTGTCCGGACCTCCCCAGGAAACTAGACCTTTCTGGGCTGACCACCACGCGGGGTTTTTTCTGGTTGTCTGTAGCCGCCCACGCGAGGCACGCCGGGCATGGCAGAATTCAATTCACCAGAATGAATTGGAAATTGGAAATTGGAAAGGGATCTAATTCATCCCTGGCGGGGTTCCTCAGGTGCTAACGAGTGGACTCTTTAGGAGGTACCGACGAGGTACTTCGTCGGTACTTCGGGACCGTTAACGGTCAATACGAGGGAACCTTGACTTGACGGGATCTTCCATTGAGGACAACAACAAGAGTAGATAGAGTAGGAAGAGTATTATAGAATAGAAGGAGTAGAATTGTAAATAATTCCTCTCCCCCTCCCTTCGCCACTACACCGAATACTCCGGTGATTGGCTAAAGGCGGAGGCAACGTCAAGACTGGGTGCTCAGCCCCGGTAGTCCTAGTCCTAGTAGTGGCAGTACTCACTCACTCCGTCAAGTGTTCAGCCTTAGTCAACCTCAACTCCCCCGTTAGTTATCGCCAAACCTCATCGCTGCTTTTCCCTCTCTCGTCCATCCCGTCGCTTCCATCTATCTCGCTCGCTCCCCTTTCTACCATCTTTCCTTCCCCCCTCTCCTCCCTCGTTTCTTCCCTTTCGCTCTCCTTCTCCCTCTCCGTCTCCCGCGCCCGTTCGTTCGCCGCCACGCAGCCCCCATTTTGTTCCCTCCATCCTGTCCTGTCCGGGAGACCTGGACTGTTCTCGGTGTCCCGTGTCTGTGGACGGCGGTGGATGCGCACGCCGCAATTTACCTCCCAGGCTCGTCCTTGTTCGGCCGTTGACTTCCGGAGCCTTTGTCCCGCCAACATCATCTCCTCTTTCCCTTGAGCATGGGTTCCAATCTACCTGCGTGAGTCTTTTCGTCCCCGCTTTCCCGTCGGTTCTCCGAATCGATCGCTCCCGATTTGCCAGAAATTGCCGTGCTTTTGATGGTCAATGTGCTGACGGGTTCATCATTGGAATTGCAGCCAGCCGAACCTCAGGGTCACCAGTGAGATCCCCCCTCCCCCACCACCATTTTCTTGCTCGAAGAAAATCATGAACGCCACAAATAAAATGACTTCGGATACCGACCGGAATTCAAAACTGACCATTTCTCCTTTGCCTTTCTACAGTTATCGCGGCAGATGGGCTATACAAGCGCGATGTCTTCCGTATGTTCTGCATCGATGCTTCCCCTCCTCGTATCGTTCGGGGTTTTCTCTCGAAAGACGCGGTGACTAACTAACCTTTCCTTCGCTCTTTTGACAGGATTTCCCGATCCGTTCGCAGTGGCCACCGTCGGTGGTGAGCAGACTCACACCACCTCGGTCATCAAAAAGACATTGAATCCGTATTGGAATGAGATGTTCGACCTGTAAGCACCTCTTGAGAAACCCGTCGTGGAGGCATCTTCCCCGGCTGATCCCGTTCTTTGCGACCCATAGGCGAGTCAACGAAGACAGCATCCTCGCGATTCAGATTTTCGATCAGAAAAAGTTCAAGAAGAAGGATCAGGGATTCCTTGGCGTCATCAACGTCCGCATCGGCGATGTAATCGATTTACAAATGGGTGGTGATGGTGAGTTCTCACTGAAGCTGGCCATTCGAACCTTCCATGATGAAAGCGTGGCTGGTATAGATGAAACAAAACAGAACTGGCACTGACCTTGCCATTCTCTTGCGCCTAGAAATGCTCACCAGGGACTTGAAGAAGTCCAATGACAACCTTGTTGTGCACGGGAAACTGATCATCAATCTGTCTACTAATCTCAGTACCCCGAACACCAACCAAGCCAACGGAAGTATGAACCGGTCACATCTCCAGTCCTCGACATCTAGCGGCCTCGTGCCCCAGGCCCCGGCATCGACTTCGCATCCTCCCCCGCCACCTGTCGATTCCCCCGCTGCTGCGTCGAACCCATCCCTCAACCCGCAGCGCGTGCCGTCGGGAACTCGACCTTCGAGTACGGTGATCCCCCCCAACGGAGGCCCCGCGCCCCCGAACGGCCAGCAAGGCTCTCGCACCAACCTTTCGTCCTTCGAAGACAGCCAAGGACGCCTGCCGGCTGGCTGGGAGCGCCGGGAAGACAACCTGGGGAGAACGTACTACGTTGATCATAACACGCGGACCACGACCTGGACCCGACCGTCGGCGAACTACAATGAGCAGACGCAACGCAATCAACGCGAAGCCAACATGCAACTGGAGCGACGAGCTCACCAGAGCCGTATGCTGCCGGAGGACCGAACGGGCGCCAGCTCGCCGAACTTGCAGGAGAATCAGCAACATTCGTCGCCGCAACAGCAGGCTGCCACCCCGCCGGCCGGTGGGAGTGCAAACGCGGTGTCCATGATGGCCACGGGAGCGACCACTGCAGGCACTGGTGAGCTTCCGCCCGGGTGGGAGCAACGGACGACGCCGGAGGGACGACCGTACTTCGTCGACCACAACACCCGGACCACGACCTGGGTGGACCCCCGCCGGCAGCAGTACATCCGCATGTACGGACAGAATGCCAACGGCAACAACACCACCATTCAGCAACAGCCCGTGTCCCAGCTGGGACCGCTTCCGAGTGGGTGGGAAATGCGTCTGACGAACACGGCCCGAGTCTACTTCGTCGACCACAACACCAAGACGACCACCTGGGATGACCCCCGCCTGCCGTCGTCGCTGGACCAAGGCGTTCCGCAGTACAAGCGTGACTTTAGACGCAAGTTGATCTACTTCCGGTCGCAGCCCGCCTTGCGAATCATGTCCGGACAATGCCATGTTAAGGTGCGCCGCAACAACATCTTCGAAGACTCGTACGCGGAGATCATGCGGCAGAGCGCTTCGGACTTGAAGAAGCGGTTGATGATCAAATTCGACGGCGAAGACGGTCTGGACTACGGCGGTCTTTCTCGGTAGGTTTTCCAAAAACCGATCTTGCAGGCGATTTCTTGCTAACCACCGCATAGTGAATTCTTCTTCCTCCTTTCGCACGAAATGTTTAACCCGTTCTATTGTCTTTTCGAGTACTCCGCACATGATAATTATACCCTGCAAATTAATCCCCATTCAGGTGTCAACCCGGAACATCTGAACTACTTCAAGTTCATCGGACGTGTGGTTGGATTAGCCATCTTCCACCGCCGCTTCCTCGACTCTTTCTTCATCGGAGCCTTCTACAAGATGATGCTCCGCAAGAAGGTCTCGTTGCAGGACATGGAGGGTGTCGACGAGGACTTGCACCGCAATTTGGCATGGACCATGTACGTGACTCCTGTCCCATTCGGAACGATGGCGGCTGAGCTAACTGAATGAATAGAGATAACGATATCGACGGGATTTTAGAGTTGACCTTCTCGGTGGACGACGAGAAGTTCGGCGAGCGTCGCACGATTGACTTGAAGCCGGGAGGTCGAGACATCCCCGTGACCAACGAAAACAAGCACGAATATGTTGAGTACGTATTCTTGAACTCTCTTTCTTCGGTTCTCATACTAATTTATGTAGGTTGGTGACGGAATGGAAGATCGTGAAGCGCGTTGAGGAGCAATTCAATGCCTTCATGTCCGGCTTCAACGAGCTGATCCCGGCGGATCTGGTGAACGTGTTCGACGAGCGCGAACTGGAGTTGCTGATCGGTGGTATTGCGGATATCGATGTTGACGACTGGAAGAAGCACACCGACTACCGTGGCTACCAGGAGCAGGACGAGGTGATCCAGAACTTCTGGAAGATTGTCCGCACGTGGGATGCAGAACAGAAGTCTCGACTGCTTCAGTTCACCACGGGTACTTCGCGTATTCCGGTCAACGGATTCAAGGATCTTCAAGGGTCGGACGGACCGCGACGATTCACGATTGAAAAATCGGGCGATCCGGCGGCGCTGCCCAAGTCCCACACATGGTATGTTTTTCTCCTGATGTTTTCTCAATAGTCACTAACCAGAAATAGTTTCAATCGGTTGGATCTTCCGCCGTACAAGACCCACGATGCCTTGGAGCACAAGATGTCCATTGCCGTGGAGGAAACGCTTGGATTCGGCCAGGAGTAGACGAAATGAAGATGTCTTGCATTACAAATACAGCCCCGGGCTTGCCTTTCTATAATAATCCCGACCGGCCGACGGAGACGGAAGCGTTGCAAGAAGTTTGAATTGGAGAGCGTATTGATTTGCGAGGTGTGAGGCAGCACCGTCGACTCTCGTTGATTTATTCCCCCCTTCGTTTGATTGTTGCATGTGGCGGTTCTTGGAGCAGATACATGTTATACGCGGGTCTTTTTCGATGGCTTTTTTTTTCTTCTCTTATTATCTATCCTCCTTTCTTTTCATGTCTTCCCTTTTTTTTATTTTTTTTTTTATTCGTGGTTGAACTTTGTATATACTGTGTATTATTGTCCGAGGGACCCTGACCATTTGACTTGAGTCCGAGAGCAAGAACCCTTTGACCGAGTAAAGACCCCGGGTTGCTTCTGATGTGTCTAATTATAGAGGTCCTACCTGCACGTCCGTTTCTGTAGGTTCAATAATGGGCAGTGGTGGCACTTCTGATGTCTCACCTGGGCTGCCAATAGTTTCCCAGCGACATGCATGCGCGAGTCAATATTGCACGGACTGATTCTCACCTGATTGAAGTGTAACTCTGCAGATGGTTGAGATAAAAAGCTGCCGTCCTCGTTCTTTCTGCTCTGTTTCTTTTCCTTTTTCTTTCTCAGGTGTTCTTCATTCTCGGGCATATCTATACACGTCTATACACTTCTTTCCTTCGCTCACCTCCACCCCGACAGACCAGACAACAACAGACAACAGACAACACAAGATGAAATCCACTCTCCTCACCGTCCTGGCATCCTCTGTCCTGGCCGTCTCTGCGTCCGAGACTTCTACTGGGGCCTCTGCAACCTCGACCTCGTCGTCGTCGTCGGACTCGACTTGTGCAAAGGAGTATGTTCATACCTCATACCCATGACTACATCACCTATCTCTATCCTACCCAGAGAAGATAAAACTAACTGAAAGGCACAGAATCGTACAAGCATGTCTCGAACGCATGGAGCCTCAACTGAAGAAATGCACCCCGAACCGATGGGACTGTCTCTGTGAACAGACGAATAATGTCTTGACGTATGTCTTCCTTTCCTTTCTTTTCCTATCCTCATCTAATCAGCTTAACGCTTTATATCCCTCTACCTCTACCTCTACTTCTACCCATAACAAACCCACAAACTAACGACCAAAAAATAGATGCTACAACAACTGCCCCAGCGATCCTGACCGCGGCACAACAGCCCAACAACTCGATTCATACTGCCGCGCCGCAAAAGCCGCCTCCATGACCGTGTCGACCTCAACATCCGCAAAGCCCACGAAGACGGAGGGGGCGTCTAAGACGAATGCGACGGCCAGCGCTGCCGACGCGTCCGCCACGAGTACGGGCGATAGTAAATCGGAGGGTGTCGCTGCCGCTGGGGTGGGACTTGGTGGTGGTGCAGTGTTGGCGGCGGTGGTGGGTGTTCTGGGAGTTTTTTAAAATTTTTTAAAGCCCTGTGGATGCTGGGGGTTGTTTATTGATTGATGTGCTTATGTACTTGTGTACTCACTCACTCGATGTTATATCTTAGGTTGTGGGGTGTGTTTAAGGAGGGGAGGGGGGTGAAGGAGGAAAGTTAGGGCTTCCGGGTGAGAATGTGTTTATGAGAAGGATGATTCGATATTTATTTAAATAAGTAGTATATATACGACATACTAGTTACTATGTCTCTCCCTATGTATGGATGGGCTATGATCAATGGATTATTTATGTTTCTCTTTGAATCAAGTATGTCGACCTGTAAATGCAGGAACTTCATCATCATCATCACCTAGCAAACACTATATCTCCCTCCCATACAGACAACCTCCAAACCACAACAGCACTCACGCCTCCCTCCCATTCTTCCCATCCCCTTCTCCACCAACAACAATAGTCTCCGCGTCCTCCTGACTCCCCTCACTCTCCGACAGAGCTGACTTTTTCGGTGATTCACTACACCCCCATCCCCATCATGCGTTAGTCAGACGTCAAGACAACAAGATATAAACCGCCAAGCAAAGTAATGAGGGCAAAAAAAAAAAAGATAAAATAAAATAAACTCACCGTCTGTGAATCACAATCGCAGCAATCAAACCCGCCCAGAGAAGAAAATAGAAAGCAAACGTGACGGGCCAGCCCTTGGGCCATCGCGGCGCTCCGTACGGTCCGGCAGTCGGGAACAGAAGAAGAGGAACCCAGATGTTGAACGAGTAGCCGAATGTCATCATAGCGCCCTGCATTAGTCAGCCTTGGTCAGGTCGGACGGTTAGTTAATTAGACTGGGACGGGGAATACTATACCAGGATCAGAGCTCGTTCTTCACTGTCATTGCTGACGATGGTGTTGACGGTCGAATATAAAATGGGACTTGCGCATCCGGCGATCCCGAAGAGATACCATGCGAAGAATCTAAGTGGGTCAGAATATGCTAATAACAGTGCGGGAGAGAGCAGAGATCTACTTACTTCAGTCCTGTAGGAATGTTCCAGATGATCATGCATAATGTCGAAAACAGCGAACACACCGTGATAATTGTATAGATGAGCCAGGTCGGGTAGATCGCGGCGAGGGTCGTCCCCAACCACGAGGCCATGATGTTGATGGCATAGACGACAGTGGGGAGTTCATTGATCTGGGACACTGAGTACCCTTCGGCCTTGAGCCAGAGGTTCATGTAGCTGCTGGGGTAGTAGGAGATGATCATGCATCTGAACAGGAAAGACAGCATCAGCTTTATTTCCTGTAACATGTACTAATCCAGGCAAGGAAGGCAAGGCAACTCACGCATAGCAGAACATAAATACCCAGATATGCCATCGGCTCAGCGTCCGCTTGAACACATCCAGCCCCAACCTGCCCGGCCGACGAATATTCGCCCTCCGGGCCCGCTCCTTGGCCAGGGCGATGTCGCTGTCCGTCAGATAGAACGGTTTTGGCGAGTCCGGGATTCCAGGGAAGATGAAGACGCCCAACAGGGCCACGGGGATGGTGAAGATGCCGTCGATGATGAACAGCCACCGCCACCCGGGCATGCCTGCCACCCCGGACAGGTTGGTATACGCTGCCGCCTGCAAGTACCCGCTGACCATGGTGCCGAGCGGATTGCACACGAACCATGTTCCGGCTCGTTTGAAGAGTTCGGGGCCAGAGTACCAGGATCCTGGATAGCCATCTTAGTTGTGACTCCTGAGATTGGATGCTGCGTGGGAACACCTACCCAGAATGAAATGGGTTCCTGCAAAGACCGGTGCCTCCAGCATGCCGACGAGGAACCGAAGGGCATATAGCTGACCGACATTGGTGACGCGGCTCTGGGCAAATGTACATATTCCCCAGAGGACCTCAAGTCCGGGAAGGAGCCAGCGAGCCCTATATTGTATCAGCTCAGTCCCAGATCATCATGGTGTGGCCACGAGACTAATCCTCAACTTACAGCGTTGGACGCGACATCAGAAGTAGACCCGGGACCTGGAATACCACGTATGCGGTGTAGTAGCAAACATTGAAGTAGTTGAGTTCGTTCCCGTTGAGATTGAAGTCCTCCTTAAGACCACTGACATAGGCATTGCTGATGTTCGTTTGATCTAATACCATATAAGTTCCTCATTCAGACTGGCTCTCAGTCACTCCGTACCTAAATACTTCACAAAGACTTTGGCCGTTAGCTAGGAATCCCAGAGGTGTCTGACGAGGAGCCTTACAGCAAAGACAAGCAAATACGAGAATCGATACATCGAGCTTGAAGAGCAATCTGCAGAGATTAGTTCAACCTGAAATAAAGCATCAACATACAACCAAGTATACTGACCTTCTCTCCTCCGAAGGATAAGCCGACGGATACCAATTGAAGACCTCCTTGAACAACCCTAAAAGGGAACCTCTTCCAGGCTTCGAGTCCGACGCCGGCATAACTGCTGCTCTATCGCCAGAGATATCATCTCAATCCAAATCTCCCGTGAATCCCGTCCATTATGTACGCATGGCTGGACCATTCCCGACTCATTCTACCATCTGCTCATTCTGCACGACTTCGCTGACAAGTGAGCAATCCCACCACATCCATTCGCCATTGCAGATCCCAAGACATGCCTAGCCGAAGAGATAAGCACTCTACGGCTCTATGCAAGTGCTCATTCGAAGACAGCGCCCGCCACGCTGACAGCGACATGGTGTCGGACGATGGCGTGCGCTGACATCTTGGTATCCGGTGTCGCACGGCGTATACCAACAACGACCTGACTCGAAGACATCCCACACTAGATGCGAAACGTCGCGGATGTAGACCGAGGACAACATGGGGTCGACATCGACAGAGACACTGGCTCTGATTAGTGCATGCACCTCCCGAAGACCTCATGGCTCGAAGGGATTGCGTGCTTTTGCTTGCTAATCGCAGCTCGTCCAAGTGAGGGGAATTGCGGGGAGTGTTGGATGTGATTGCATGGCTGGGTATACTTATAGTAGTCGGACTTGTCCATGGAGTGCTGGCTGTCTGTATGGTAGAGAAGGTACCTGGATTGCAAGAAACTGGCTAGCATCACGTCGTCACCATGCCGGGTAAATTAATCGATCGTTATGACCATGTCCCCGAGACCAAGGAAGACCGTGAGCCCTACCTTTCTTTCATGATTAACAACTCTTGCTAATGTAGCCAGTGGACTGGGCGGAGCTCATCACTCTGGACCTGAGTCAGTATGATCAGCCGGGTGGAAAGCAGGATCTTGTCAAGCAGCTGGAACACGCCGTGCGCTATGTGGGTAAGTTTCTGTTATCTTTCTGTCCATTTTCGATGTGCCCGTAGCTCTTATTAACAAGGCCGGTAGGATTCTTCTACGTGAAGAACTTCAACATCGGCCAGGATGAGATCGATCGTCAATTCGCCCTGGGCCGCGAGTTCTACGCACTGCCGCTTGAGGAGAAACTGCGTTTCCACAACCGAGAGGACCTCGACCGGGGAGAGTACAACGGCTACAGGCCCGCGGGGCACCGCAAGTAAGGCCAGCACTCAAGATGGATGTGTAGTGATTGAAGCTGATCTTGGCGGTTCTGACAGCCTAGGAAACGGCCTCAAAGACAACGCCCAGGTATACAACATCCCCAAATTCGACGGCCACCACCCACGACAGCATCCCCCGGTGCTCCGCGACAACCTGGCCGAGATCGAGACCTTCAGCCGAAGGTGTCACACGGAGGTGGTTGAGAAGCTGCTCCGTCTGTTCGCAATTCTCCTGGAACTGCCCGACGAGGACCAGCTGGTTCGCGACCACCAATACGACGTGAAGGGCGAGGATCATCTGCGCTACATGCATTATGAAGCTCGTAACTCCGAGGACAACAAGAAGGTCGGCGGTCTCTACATTCCCGGCCACACCGATCTGGGCACAGTGACCCTGCTGTTCCGACAGCCCGTTGCGGCGCTGCAGATCCTCAACTCGGAGGGCCAGTGGAAATGGGTGCGTCCGCAGAACGGCACCATCACGATCAACACTTGCGACGCCTTGACTGCTCTCACCGGCGGGCTGATCAAGTCGAGCATTCACCGGGTGCATGCTCCGCCACCCGACCAGGCCCATGTTGACCGGCTAGGCGTGCTTTATTTCGCTCGGTAAAGTTGCTTCCTATCAATGGGTTTTATACATGCTAATATCGAAGTAGACCCAATAACCATGTCGTTCTGGATCCGCTCACAGACAGCCCGCTGCTCCAGCGTCTCGGGCTGACGCAAAACGTCTTCACAGAGCTTGGCCAGCATCTGACGACCGAGCAATGGGTCCAGAAGCGACAGACGCAGCAACAGCGACGGAACACGGAGGTCAAAGTGACTGACGAGGGGAAGTTCAGCTATGGCAAGAAGGACCTCGAGATCATTCCTGGGTTGCATGCGAAGGTATACAACTAGACAGTGTCTGGGGTAGCCCGCAGTCATCCAAGGGTGTTACATGTCAAATGTCAAACGTATCTTTTCACCGGAAGTCCCGTATGCTTCCAAACAAGCCTAGTAGCCACTGATCAGCAAGACCTGTTCAGCAGTAGATATGACGAAATGAAACAAACCATCAACAGTGTACATTATACATCGTAAAAAGTCAACATCCCATCAGATCAACTCGTCTTTCCATTCCGCTTTCTTTTCCCACCCACGCTGCTGCCCTCCTCGGCCTCGGTCTCGAAGAACCCCGAGATGTCGATATGCCTCAACACCAGGGCCGCCTTCTCAACATCCAGACAGGAAACAGGTTCACTGGAGGACCCGAGTATGTTCAACCGTCTCGTCAACTTCCCCACAGCGTCCCACAACTGCCGATATTCCTGAACCGTATACTTGACATCAATCTCCCCATTCGGTTTGAAGACCCCAGCCCGTGGATTCTTCTTCGTCTTTCGTTTCTTCGACTCCTCACCCCCCTCCATTTCGTCACCACCCTGAACCCTATCTATCCCCGGCCCCTCCTTAAGGCAAAGCCACAGAAAAACATCATCACTGTAAAACGGAACCTCCTGCACAGCGTCCCTCTTCGCCGTAGCAACTGACAACAAAAGAGAAGCCGTCGCGGGCCCCACGCCCCTCAAAGGCCGCGACACCATCCCGAGGCAGAATTCAGGGAATTCACCCCCTTCTTCAATTTTAGTGCCATCGAATTCGTTGTACCGCGTTCGTCTACGCGCAGGAATCTTGGCGAATGCATTCGCTGTGGCTTTTTCAACCACGTCGTCCGTGTTTCCCTTGATCATGCCGAGGAGCATGGGGCGAGAGACGCCGTGTTTTCTAGATAGGGATGGTTGGTCTTTAAGGGAACGAACGGAAAGAGAGAGAGAGAGAGAAACGCACAACTTCCACTCCATAATCTCCACTAATTCCTCCTTCGTAAGAAACCCACCCTCACCCCCATCTGCACCTGCTCTGTCCCTCACAATCTCCGGAAGCCCACGATACCTCTTCTCATCCAACTCCAAGAACGCCTGCACGTCGCGGTCCACCCGCTCCTGTTCCGTCAGCGCCGCATCGCCGTCAGACGAAGACGAAGCGCCGGATTTTGACTTCCTGGCCTTCTTCGCTACGGCGGCTGAGGAACGGGTAGTGCGTCCTGTGGCCTTGCGACGCGCAATGGCTTCCACCGTTACGGGGTAGCAATTCAATAGACGATGGAAGGTGTCTGGGGTGATGTAACTGGGGTGGAAATTGGGGGCTTGCGCTTTGTATGATGAAGTGGATTCAGAAGAAGCCTTCTCGGGCTCATTTGGAGTGGGATCTTGGGCCATTGGGGTGTGTTGAGCTTTCTTTCTAGCTGTGGTTCGCAATATTGACGCTTCTTCACGGTGGATGTCGGAGGATGGAGATTCTCGTAACGTCAGTACCGGTGGGCATGTGATCGGGTAATTTTGATCGTCCCGAGAGATTCAATCTATGGTTTTTGATTTACTGAATCCTAACATCGTAAACATGATAGAAGCTTCGTTTAAGTTCAGATTATATTAAACTGTCAGGTACAGGAACAAAACATTTGGTTAAAACTTCTCGTCAGCGCTGAGCCCATAACATAACAAGAAAAACACGCCAGAAACGCTGAACAACATTCCTCATCACACAAGATCGATTTAAGCGATCCTTGTGCCCATACAATAGGGGCAAAGAAAGCAAAGAGTAAGGATAATAAATAGGTCCGAGAGACATGAATGTAGTAGGGCAACCCCCGGTAAACCGCAGCATCGCCCGAAGGAGAGAAATAGGTTGAAGTCTCATACACAGGAGAAGAGAGATGTCAATATTACAACAGGCAAGGGCCTCACTTGAAACCCTCGTATAAGAAATCGCCCGAAGAGATATAACAGATCTATCCTTTTTATGGTCCCCCGCTAGGCTTGTGCTTGGGGTCTTTTTGATCTTTTCCAGGACTCGTGGCGGGACTGACAAAGCTGACTCGCCTCTCATCCCTGGCCCGATTCAAAGGTACGACGGAAGAGGAGATCACCTGCTCTTTCTTCCTGGAGTTGCCTCGCCGAAGAGACTTCGACAGCGACGCGGGGGGATGGGCCGCCGCGCCGGCCATACTGGGAGCGGTTTTAGGCTCAGTGGCCGTGGAAGAAGCCGCGCCGTCTTCGTCACCCTCGACGTCGATGTGACTGAAATCCTCCTCGTGATCCCCGGCCTCGGACGAACTGGGACCCGGGCTCTCCGAATCGGACGCTTCTTCGTAGTCATCCTCATCGTCGCTGACGAGACTCGGAGCTTGATTAGACTCCATGGTGTTCGGGCTCAGATTCGAGGCGCGATCTATCCCGTCCACTTCGCGAAGATCGAGTAGCTGAGAGGGCCGAGAGGCGGTCGGGCCGTAGGGCGACTGATAGGGGGCGGGTCGCGTCGGCGTTAAGGTTTCAATGGGGAAAGGTCGGTGACTCGTCTTCTCGACTCCCTTGCGGCTGCCGGGCCGCCGCGATGTCCCCTGCGAGGCGGTCGTTCGCATGGGCTGCCGGCCCACGCGAGAGTTCTGCTGATCCGGGACTTCGCCGGCCGGCGGCTGTTCCGGTTCCGCTTCAGATTCGCCCTCGTCTGAAGAATAGGCGCCGAGATCGACCGTGGTCTTCGCTTCCCCAACCAACCGATCAAGGTCCAGACCAACCCCCCGCATCTGCATCAGAGACGAGAGATGGGGAGTGTCAGGGGAGGCCATGAAGGAGACGTTCGCCGTGGCAGGTGTGGTCTGCTTGCTGAGCAACGGGCGAGCCGATGCCCGGGGTGTTTTCACCGCAGACGATCCTTGCCGGCCGGAGACCGATGGCTTCCGGGGCGTCGCGGAGTCGCTACCGGGGGCCTCTGACCCGGACGAGGGCGTCTTGGAAGACGGCTCGATAACGTGGGCCGATCGTATCAACGGGTGCACGTACCCAGCCGTGGCGGTGCTGGGGGGTTCATTCTTGCCGCCCACGATCGCACCCGCTTCGTCGACTTCCACCGGTTCCCCGGACGCGACGGCAGCGGCATCGTGACTGGCAAAGTTCCGACTATGGGCGATGCGGCAGTGGTTGATGAAGCCTTGCGTGCTGGAGAAGTTGTCCCGCCGACAGTCCAGACAGATGAGCTTGACCATGACGCCATCCGACTTTCGCCGGATGATCATGGGGCCGGCTTTTTCTTTCGGGGCCGGGTAGCCGTTAGGTAGAGACTGCAGTCTGGTACTGCCCGCGGATGCCCGTTGAGAGCGAGATTTCCCAGCCAGGAAGCCGGCGTCACCCGCACTCCCACGCGTCGAGCGGCCTTCCGCCGTGGGAGTCCCAACGGCTCCGATTGCCGTAGGGGTCCCGGGCTCGATCTCGCCACCGTCGAAGCGAGGGTCAGGAAGCAACCATCGTGCGTAGTGTCGCGTGTAGGGACCGTCGGCGACCCCCCACGGAGCCGGAGAGAGCGGTGCAGGCCCATTTCCAGGAGCAAGCACCGCCATTCCCGTCCCGGCGCTGACGGAAGGCGAAAGACCGGCAGGATGGGAGGCTGGATAGGGGATCTCGGCGCATCGCCGCAACTGTTCCAACGCGACTTGACATTTAGCGATCTCCTGGTCGATCAGGCGCAGCTCGTTGTGCTTGAGCAAGACCTCCAGGCTTAGCTGCGCCTCGATCGTCTCGCGCAAGCGGTCGACGTCTACTTTACGCGAGGCGGCATCCTCGTCGGCGGGATTTGAACCATCGGAAGCTGGATTTGGTTGATGCGACGTGTCAGACGAAGTGAATGTCGGATTGGAGGCATTGTCGCCCATGGACTCCGGCTTCTGCGTCGCATCACAGAAGGTCGAGGAAAGATCCTGCGTCGAGGCGACGGGATGACCGGGCGCATCGTCAGCGCGCAACTTGGTCGCGACCGGAGCATCTTGACCGGGAGTCGAGTCGCTGGAATCCGAGCGTTTGCGCTTCAACTGGGGCAGGGATAAAGAGTTGACGCCTGGGGCGGCGCAGTGAGACGAGGCGGCGAGCATCTTGAGCTCCTCGGCCATCACCTTGTTTCCCCCGACTGCAGAGGACCAGGGAAGCAGTCGAAACATGCCATGCGAAAGACAGAAACAGCGGGATGGGAAATAGATCTCGGCCGGAAGGGAGGGAGGGGAAGCGCGCAGAAGTGATGCGACACGTCACAAAAAAAAAAGGAAAAGAAAAAAAGTCAAACGTCGAGCGACCAAATCATGCACCGGCGCATGCGAACGAGATCTAGATCCCGGGGGGAGGAGAAACAAAAAAGGAAGATGAAGGGTGGAGTGAGGCGTCGAAAGTCCGCAAAGGAGTGGGCGTCGCCGATCGGCGGAGGAAGACGGTTTGCGACCGGGAGGGAAGAAAAGGGCAAGTAAGGGGGGAAGAGGCGAAGGTGGGAGAGAAAGAGACACCGGGCGGGCGCGCAACCAGAATGCAACCAAGCGATTCAGACAGCAAGGTTCGGATCCGATTGGATGGGAGGAAGACGAGAGGGGGGGGAAGGGTCAAGAAAAAGTGAAACAAAAATAAATACAAATCAATCCAGTGAATCAGAAATGGAAGAAAGATGGAAATGTTGAGGAAGGACGACAACAAACAAGAAGCAGGAATGGGAATGGGATGAGGGAAGTATGGCGTATCGCCAGGAAAGCCGCTAATCAATCAATAGCAATAAGAACACGATCCACCGGCTCCAAGTGGGTGGTGTAATCTATTAATAAGAGTTTAAGAAGGTAATGGAGGTAGTTAACGGGTCCGCTCCCCGGGATTCTCTCAATCCACCGCCAGGAACAGGCAGCAGACAGGATGACGACGACCGAGAGTCAGAGAGAGCGAGAGGGAAATAAGAGGATTTCGGATGACCAGGAATTGACTTTCACTTCGAGCAGACTGAAAGGAAAAATCAAAAAAATCAGAACCAGCCGTCGAAGTGTTTGGGCAGCAGTAGAGAAGATGGATGGTTGCTAAAGTTTAACGATAACGACGATGATAATTATGGTACAGACAGTAGGTATGTAATAATCGCAATAATAGATAACGGTCACAAACCATCAAAATTTGGAACAGGAAAAAAAAAAAAAGGAAGGATGTGATTAGAAATCAGACTAGGGGATCACAGGTCAAACGGAGGACACGAAACTGATGTCCGACCAGGTTGGGACGAGGAAGAAGTTGACCGAAGAGGGAAGAATCCAGGGAAGGATGAAAAGGTGAAAGGTGAAGGAGTGAAGGAGGGGTGAGAGAGAGGGTCTTAGTCACTCCGCCCGCCGTTTTCCTGTTTTCCACGGACCCGGCCCAGACCCTTCTTGACGTGTCCCATTGCTGCTCGTCGATGGCCCCGGCTTCTTTGGCGTTTCAGATCTTCTCCCGTGTGTCGCAGTGTCGCAGTTTGTAGATAAGAGACCACGCCCTACTACGGAGTAAATACTGTCTACCTGGACACCGTAGAAGAAAGACTATGGCATCGCCCTTCCGATTGCAAACGGATCCCCCAAACACGGACTTCGGAGTCGTCATCTGGCTCCGACCCAGGCTGCCAGCTTCCTCCTAGCCCGCCCTTCTCCAGACCCGTGGTTGACTCCCCGCCGGACGAGTGGGCTGACATGGCCATTGTTATTTGTCGATTATTGTGCTCGATCAGTTCCCTTGGTTGACGTCATACATTCGGACCCTCAACCATCAATCCTCAATTGCACCCCCTGCTCTATCGCCTCCCGGAGATACGGGAGGCACCAGTCCTTATCCCCGATCCGTATAAGAGGGCTTGTATGCGCTAACTATAGGAGTGTTCAATCCGATCACTCCTATTTCTAGGGAATACCCTAAACTACGGTAAGTCATCTTCTATCCCCGGGTATACTACAGCTTCTAATCGTTTCCAGAAATAGACGAACTCGAATGAGTCTAGGTTTGAAGAAGGGAGAAACAAAAGAGAGAAAGAAAAAAAGAAGAATATAAGAAATTAAAAGATATGATAATTCAGTCATAAGCTCGTCAAAGAAACAGAAAAAGAGACAAAAAAGAATGAAGTGAGGAGATCGCAGTGCAGGATGAGCCTGAACGAAAGAGGAAAAATCCTCAACCACCAGCAACGACCTCCCCTTTATGTCAGGGCAGGACTGTGAAGTCTGAAGACTGAAGATCCTTCACAGGACTCGGAACTTCCGACAGACACAAACTTCAACCTCGGGGCCTGCTCTACCGAAGCCTGGGAATTCCGACACGAACTGAAAAACACCTCATTTCTGGTTCCGCCTGAAGCTGGGCACGGCCGGATCAACATGGCAAGCGTGAGGTTCTCCAGGAGACACTGGACGCTGATTGCACCGCCCGCGCGACCAGAGGGTCCTGCATTTGATGAGGAACGGCGCTTTTCCCCACACCCCGCAACCGCCATTTGATTTTGGCAGCAACCCCGGTCCTCGTGAATCCTCATGCACCCCGCTACATGGAACTTGTCCGCGCTCCAATGTATGCGGGATTTGCTCCCTCAGCTGAATGACTGCTGCCTATTGGATGCGAGGTTGGTTGACGAGCTGGGTGAACTTCGGTTGTCACTTGGGCGTCGGGCATCCTTAGCATATGGAGTCACGAACATTCTCTACCCCGTCCGATTCGGAAATTCCTTCTTGGCTCAGAGTATGAGCTCATTGCTCTGACGGAAAGCTGGCATTGTCCGTGTGCCTATATGAGGTCGGATGGACTCATTGCCACGGACACGTTTTGTTGACGAACCTGTCAAAGAACTCGACCGGCCTTCCGTTTCACCTTTCCTTTCCTCTCCTTTCCTCTAGCAAAAATGCACCCCTCGCTGGCACTCCTGGGTGCCTTATCCTGCCTTCCTTCCTCGCTCGCACGTCCCCATCTCCAGGAACGGAATTCATCAGGATACATTGACTGGAGGAACTTCAAAGCCGATGGTGTCAATCTAGGGGGATGGCTCGTGCAAGAGTCCACGATTGACACTCCGTGGTGGGGCAAATATTCCCTCGGTGAAGACGATGAATGGGGGATATGCAGCCGTCTTGGACCGCAGTGCAGTCCTCTTCTAGAGCATCGATACGCGACCTTTATCACCGAAGCGGACATCGACAAGCTGGCCAGCGTTGGCGTGGAGCTCATCCGCATCCCCACCACCTACGCCGCCTGGATCAAGCTTCCCGGCTCCCAACTGTACTCTGGAAACCAACTCGCCTACGTCAAGAAGATCTCGGACTATGCCATCCAGACCTACGGTATGCACGTGGTCATTGACCTCCACTCGCTCCCAGGCGGCGTGAACGGCCTTGATATTGGCGAAGCCGTCGGCCACTGGGGATGGTTCCACAACGAGACCGCACTCGACTACTCCCTGCAGACCGTCGACGCCGTGCTCAACTTCATACAGAGCTCCTCTTCCCCCCAGTCTTACACCATTGCGCCGATCAACGAGCCGACCGACAACAACCAAGACATGTCGGTGTTCGGCACCCCCGCTGCCCTAACCGACCGCGGCGCCTCATGGGTACTGAAATACATCCAGGCGGTCGTCGAGCGCGTGGCCTCGGTCAACCCTCGCATCCCCATCATGTTCCAGGGCAGCTTCAAGCCCGTGCAATACTGGTCGAGCCATTTCCCCGCGGACACGAACATCATCTTCGACGTGCACAACTACTACTTTCAAAAGCCCAACGCCACCTCCGCAAACCTCCCCACCTTCCTGGAATCCGACGCGCAGACCAAAGCGGGCGACGGCAAATTCCCCGTCTTCGTGGGCGAGTGGTCCATCGAAACCCGTAAGAACAACAGCTTTGCCCTCCGGGAGCGGAACTTCAACGCCGGCGTGGCTGCTTTCCGCACACACATGCAGGGAAGCACTTACTGGACCGCGAAGTTTTCCAGCAATGCCACGGTGGACGGGCAGGGTACGAAAGGGGATTACTGGAACTTCGAGGGGTTCATTGACCGGGGCTATGTTAAGCAATTTGGGAGCAAATGAGGGAATTGAGTCGTGGAAATAGAGCAGGGTAGTTTGATTTCACTTTGAAAGAATCACTATTAGAAACAATATACCCTTTGAAACTTTTCGAATTCGTTGAACCATCGCCGCTCGATCTAATAGTAGCTAAACAAGCATGGCCTTAAATAAACAATGAAAGAAAAGAAATAGGTACGCCACAAACATGAATACACGAACAGAAGCCAGCCGTCATAGCATAGTAATAACAAGAGCTGTTAATCCAAATCAGCACATGCAGCCCAGTAGCGATGATAACGGGGGTAAAAAAAAGACACGGTCAATGGTGAAGACAGCATGAAGGCGTATACATATTGCAAAAAAGAATTGAGATCATCACGGAGCATGAATCAAACCAAGGACTCATCAATCAATCATCCATCCCCTCTCTTTTTCTCCTTCTCCTCTCTTCCCCAGAACCCGCCAACTTCTTCCAATTGAACGACAGCCCTTACTCCTTCATCCTCAACGCAAAGTTGACAATAACCGCCGCCAACAACGACAGCGCCAACACCGTGGGCCCGAAGCGATCGTCAATGCCCGTGGACCCTCGTTTCCGAATACTCTGAGCCCGCCAGTGGAAAGTGACCAGGGCGTAGATCATAGACGCCATGGCGATGACGGTGAACAGGCCAGCGGAGATGCGGCCGACGCGGTCACCGAAGTTTAGCAGACCAACGGCCAGACCGCCCAGGATGACGGTGAAGTTGAGCCAGGAGAGGAAGGTGCGCTCGTTGGCGAAGAAGACCTTGGGCTCGACGCGCGTGGGGAGCGCGATGCGTTTGCCTGTGTGTGATTCGCGATCGACGTTTAGGTGATTGATATTGAGTGCGGATATGAGGTTATGACGACATGGGATTGTGATGATGGGAGGGATGGAGGGAGATCGATGCGATAGCGCATCTTGAGGGAGATGGGTGACTAACCTGGAGCTGTTTGGAGGAGAGGTTGACTGGACATTGTGTGGTGTGTGGATGGTTTTTTCTCTCCGAGAGATAGTAAAGAAGGGAGAGAGAGATCGGCCAAGGGGCGGACGGCCGTTAATGATATCAGAACCGGATTTGGACGAGTGAAGTCACGTTTTCCGGAGAGAATGAATGAACTAGTAGACAATTGAGATACTGAATGCCCGATTGGAGAGACTGTCGTGCAATTCCTGTCGAGTCAACGATTATGAAAAAAAAAAAAAAATGAAATAAAATGCAGGCCCAGCAAGGACGGGGCGAGGCCGGGGGGGCACTTGGGAGAGTATTTAATGGGGACATTCTCCCTTCAGGCCCCGCCGTCGAAAGTTGACGGGGAGGTGCCTACCCTCCCAGGCCTAGTGTGTGGCGCTCCCCGGCCATTCTGCCGCTGCTCTCCGCTGCACAGGGCGCACGTGCTCAACTGATTTGCTGCCTGAGGTCGAACAAAAGTACTCATCTGTGGCGGTGCGCGGTCAAGCAACGCGCTAAGCCTGGCCGGGAAGGCAGCTACTAATCCAGTCCCGATCGGGACTAGCGGAAGTCGAGGTCAAACGGCTAACTATGCGCGGCTCAGCCACATCCATGAGTCTCCTAATCTGCTAAACATCCCAAACAACACGCCTTGCTCCGCATCGATTCCTGCTGCCACATTCGAGCCCGTTCTCTATCCCTGCATACTCTGTCCCTTGATTTAAGCAAGTACTCCGTACGCAATCCTTCCCCCGCAATTCCTCCCGTCCCCGCGACATTGGAGCTATCGCCTCCCCCCACTCACAATCGCATCTCCGCGTCGCGGGTCTGGTTCGGTCTTCCGCTATCATGGACTTCTATGACAGCGATGCACCCCACGCAAACGGTCTATGCTAACTGAGAGTCACGAAGTCTTCGATAATACACGTATATACCTTTCCTATCCTCGAATCGATCACCCACAATGGCTGTTGAGGCACCCACCACCGTGAGTAATCGAGACCTCCGGCCGAAGCAGCGCTCTCCGCACGACTTGTCCATAATTATATCCGAAGCCGTTCCTACAGTTCGCTGACCGGTCTTCCTTTCTGCTTCTACAGCCCGTTCCCGTTGCGGAGCTTACCAAGATCGCGACAGAGGTACGTCGAACTCTCTCAACCCTCCCCCGCCATCATCACACCATTTGGAACCCCGGAACCACCACCGTTCGCTTTTGCGCCCCAACCTAACAACCCCGAACCAGGCCTGCGACACCTCGCTGAAAGATGTGGAGGCATACGATCACGTGAAAGTCGGAGATTGGAACTCTGAGATCATCGTAAGAACAAACCTCCCCCTTTCCTTCTTCTCGGCACCTCACCGCAATCTTTCCGTCCATCGGTCATCGGCCAATCCAAACTCGCCTGACCTGTCTTTCTCAGAACTCTATCCTCAAAGCCCTCATCACCGCTACCACGCCATCCACGCCCTCGGCCGGCCCTCCCTACCGGTTCACCGTCAACAGCACCATCGTGCAACAAGGTCTGATCGAGAAGTCGGCCGCCGCGGACGGCGCCGCCACCAACGTCGGCAAGCGCGGCATGCACTCGGCCTCCGGTGCCTACTGGGACGTCAACCGCGACGGCATGTGGACGTTCAAGTACCCCGGAGCGGACGAGCGGGGTCTAGACGTGGTGGTCAGCGTGACGTGGTTTGCGGTGAACTAGGCGGAGCAAGGTCGTATAACCCAATTAAACAAGAAAAGGGAAAAAAAAAGTAGATATATTTTGATGTTAGCTTTAGCTGTTCTGGCTGCTTTTTATTTCTCCTATCTTTATTTCTCAGTATTTGATTGTAATTCTGTCTTCTGTATGTATGGATGTATACTGGGGACCCTAGTTACTGTACTCTTTCTAATATCGCTCCGGTGTTTCAAATATGATCTCGGTTTGTATCAGAGGAACGCTAACTCTTACTATTCTCACAGAATACAACTAAAAAGGATAATCAAGAGACAATAGCTTCTAGGACGTCATGCATATGCTCATTGGCATTAGACAGACGGCGGCGTTCCTCGGACAAACAAGTCTCCTACGTAACAGGGCTCGTATATTATCCAGAAACCCAAACAGAAATAGTAAGAAAATAGGAGAAACAACAGCAACCCGAAACGCCAATTAAGAAAAGACAAGAGAAAGAAAAAAGAGTAACCCCTTTCTTTCATTGTCCCCAGATCCCTGGCGCCATGCTTACTCGTATTAAAGACTTAATCGTGCCAATCCAAATCATGGGTATACCGCTTCACACCCCACACTTACAACTAAGTAGTAGTACCTGGTCTCGTCCTACGTAATATCCATGCTGACCATCTCAGCGAGGCTCAGAGTAATCGTTGAGAGCGACACAGACCGCCCCGCGGTGATGTCCGCTATACTGACGAATGACTTGGCCGGACGCCAGCTCCCATAGACGGGCATAGTGGTCGCTGGAGACGGTGACGAGATAAGCCGAGTCGGCGGAGAACGCGCAGTCCCAGACCCAGCGCTGATGGTTGGCTAGCGTCGTCTCCAGGAAGAGGGTTGCGGTGTTGGGATCGATCGGCGGCCCGTCAGGCTGGACGGGGAAGGTCTGTTGGGGCTCGGTGGTGGGCGGCGGCGTGATTCCGTCGATGAGGCTGAAGGGATTGAAGTCGGCGGCGGTCTTGGCTTTTTCGCTGCCCGGCGTGCCGTTCTGACTGTCTGGCGTGGGTTGCGGGGATGCGATGTCCTGAGAGCCTGGGCTGAGAGCTTTCACTTTGGCTTTGGCCGCGGCCATCTTCGCGGGAGGGTAGTCGAGGTCGAGGTTCCAGACTTTGGCCGTGTGATCGGCAGAGCAGGTTGCGAGGTGCTTGACGTCTGGGGAGAGAAGAATTCGCGTGAGGTAATCTTTGTGGGCCTGGAAGGTGCAGATAGGGACGATGCGAGTGATTTCAGCATCTTGAAGCATGCGCCAGATGTAAACATTGCCCTGTGACGGTATTAGTATGGGGCTTGAGAAATGAGATAGATAGGGAGCAGTCATGTGAAGAGCCTGGATTGTATTCTTACCTTCTTGTTTCCGGCACAGAGCAAAGACCCGTCACTTGCGATGCTGACACTTTGAACGGCAACGTCATCTTCAGGAATCAACTGGTGGGTGCAAACACTCTCTCCCAAATCCCAGACTCGCACAATGCCAGCGCGATCACCACTAATCAGCTCACCCTGGTTGGGATGAATGACAACGTCATTCACCGGAGCCTTGTGGGCGTAATTGCGCTGCAGACTGCCGGTGCGGGTGTCCCAGACTTTCACCGTGCCGTCTTCCGAGCTAGTGACCATCCACTTGCCTTCGCAGTGGAATGCGACACCAGTGATATTATTTGTATGACCGTCAAAACTCATAATCGGGTTGGGGTTGGTGGACTTGATATCATATAGCTTGACATTGTTGTGGCCTGCCGCTGCTAGGTAGCGTTTGTCGGGGGTAATGCATAGTCGATTGACCTGCGAATCCGGGTGCTGGATGGTCCGTGAACAGATGCCAGACAGCGCTTCCCAGAAACTATTGAAAGAAATCAGTCTTACTGGTCAATGCCGCATGGGGATCCGATCGGGACTCACCGAATGGTATGGTCGTAGCCCGCTGTGGGCGATATTCCCATCTCAGCTAATGTCATATACAATACCTCGCTACAGAACGAGGACTACCATATTTCTCAGACTCACCTGTGCAGAGAATAACGCTCATTTTGAATGCGCAGGCCACTCAAGGCGGCCGAAGATAGCGAAGGAGGAGGATGCGATGACTTTGCGAAGTGTTTCGCCGGTTGAAACCAGTAATTACCAGGAGCGATCAGAAATGCCGGTCTTTTGGGCCCCGGCCATTCTACAGCCGCACCCCGCACGTGAGCGGTCATTAAGGCGGTGCCAAAGGCGGAGTCATCGCACAGGTGATCAAACGGTTGTTTTTTTTTTCTGCATTCCGGCATCATCCTCCTCTGACTTCTCCCTCACTCCTGCATCCATAGGTGACTCCGGCGATCGGTAGCCGGTTGTCTCCTGAAAGGATCTGTCAATATTTTCGTGTCCTTCCTGAATATTCCTTGAATTTGGTTCATCCAAACTTTTGAGAACTTCGTTATCTTGAAGGTACTACTGGCTTTTAGAGGTACGGCTGCGCTGTGGCAAGGAAGCACTTTTTGGCCTGTTTCTCATTTGCTTTTCTCTCTCTAGCCTATCAACACACCATATGGCCTGCTCGGTCGCTCTGCTACGTTGACTTTGTTGACGTTCTCCGTTGTTCTACCAACACTGCGGGCGATCCTTTTCCTTGGAATCAAGTGCGCTGAACAGTTTGAATCGCGATGGACGGAAGTGTGGTTGAAGGTATTTCTACCTCTCTCCAGACCTGCCCTCCTGATCCCCAGGCTTTCATGCCCTTGGGAGATCTCCCGAATTCTCCATCTTTTTCGCATCTGCATGTAAATGATCTGGGGCTTACACCTCCCCCTGGGTCCCCACTGCAGCAACCTACAGACGTTCTTCAGAAGTTTCCCCAGGGTGAGAATCATGGATCGTCTGACGGAAATCCGATGAGGTCAAAAGATGGCCTTGTCATTCAAGATGGTCTAGACCAGTCGAAAGGTATTGTTCACGATGGACTTGGTCAGAAGCAAGGGCATTCGTTCGCAACCGGGGACACTGATGGTTCCGGCCACGTCAACGAGAAATCATCGACCGCCAGTGACATACCGTTCTCTATAGCCGAGGCGAGCGCGATCGCTACGCAAGACATTTCTTCTGAGGCCGACCACAACGCGATCGATGTCAACACAGAATTCTACGACAATCTGTTTGATTCCGATTCTGTTCTCCGGGAACTGGACGCGGTCTTTGCGTCTCGGAAACGGTCTGGTGAGGACGCGTTTCCAGGGGAATTCGATTTTTGGGCCCAGCCGGTGAAGAAGCAATCCGTTAGTCCGACCACGAATGAACAATGCACCACTCCCGATGAAACCCCATCCCTGTCGTCGACAGACTCAATCGCTCGGCTTGAACAAGGAGATAGTTACCCTCATACTCCCGCCGGCACAGAAACAGCAAAATCACCTGGCCCGTTTTTCGAATCGCTGGATACACTTTTCGAGGATCCCAATTTCGATATTCCGCTTGAGAACCCCGACAACTTCCCGTTTAACTTGGAATCCCCTTCGTTTTTCGATCAACCGGCCGAAGAGGTGCAACCGGCTACCCAGTCGACCAGTCACCCCAATACCGACGACAACATCCCAAAGCCTGCGGAGAATGTGGACGTCGAACCCGGACCCGCTCAAGCGTGCCTCAGCGATATTACGAAAGAGCGGTTCTCGCTGGACCCTCAGGACATCATTGCCAATACCAGCCGAGAGGTTCTACAACGGGTTTACAAGGAGCCGGAGTACTCGTCTCCCTATCCGGCGTATGGAGGTCCGCTAGGGTATTTTCCGTCAGCGCCAAATGCACACGTTCGCTGCATCGAGGTTGCGGATGACCGGGCCAATTATCGGCTCTCTAGCCTAAAGGACAAAGTCCAACACCTCACCTGGGAGCGTAACAAGTACCGGAACGCATGGTATGAATGGACGACGCTCGACCAAAAGACGGGCAAAACGAAGGAGCAACTGCTCCGCGAGGAAAATGCGACCCTCAAGCGCGTCTCCTCGCAACACCAGAACCGCGCCGAGCAGTACAAGAAGGAAATCGTGGAGTGGAAGAACAAAATGCGCGAACTCGGGATCACGCACAACAATCTCCTGTACGAGATCAACGTCCGGCGCCAGATGCCTGCGGTCACGCCGATTCCCGCCGGATACAAGCCTCCGACAACTCGGGGGCCACCGCCCGTTACACCGTCGGCATCTGGACTCCTAAGCCTCGTGCCACATGCCGCATCGACACCTGACGCCTCCGCTGCCCGAGGACACCACCAACAAGCGCAGCCGTCTTGTGCCACGACCACCTTGGCCTCGCGCCCAGCACCTCGCGAGTCCAGACCGCCGCCGGTCACCATTGATCTCACGGAGGACACGACTGAGCAGTCACCCGCTCCACCGCCGGAACTCTCGCCGGAACAGCAGCGACGGCGCATCGAGATGCTCCAATCCATGCGCAACAAGAAATATGGCTGGCTCAACGAGACCGATCCAGCTGGACACTCAGGCCTACAACGTCTCAACGGAGGGACACCACCTGCCTCGATCACTCATCGCGACCACCCGCCTCATGCCGAGCCCGCAGGACCTGGAAACGGCGGTGACACCACAGATGACGAGTTGGCGCGTGCAATGGAGGAGGAATTGGCACAAGCCTAAAAGAAAAAGACAGATGATACCCCATACATACCATACACATACCCTCTTGCATGGAAGATTGACATAATTTTCGGGCGTTTTTTTCTTTATTTCTCTGTTCATGTATTTTTAGATATGATAGCATAGCGATCTGGGATTCTGGGATTGGCCGTGTAACTCGAAGGACAGAACGAGTTACCACACTTGATGAACATCAACAACAACAATAAACACAAATCAGATAAAATACACATTTCCAAACAACTACTGGAGAAAAATGAAATGAGATGATCCATCGTAATCAGAGTTTAGTCGTAACGATCGTAAGGTGAGATATCAAGTACATCCTTCTTTTCTTTTATACCATCCATCTAAGTCCAATCCATGCCAGAACCAGTGCTAGCAACATGTATATACGAGACCCAGCCCGGTATAGTAAAATGTAAGCCTGCTATATAAATCACAAAGAGATAGATAGATAACCAAAGAAAGCAAGGCAATCCCCAAAAGCCAAAAACACATGTATATAGCAAAAAGGAAGAATCTAAGCAAAATCCCGCGCCAGATGATTTAAGAGAGAGAGAGAGAGAGAGAGAGAGAGAGAGAGAGAGAGAGAGAGAGAGAGAGAGAGAGAGAGAGAGAGAGAGAGAAGACGGAAGGCAGATGGAGGTAGAGGAAGACAGAGGGCACTCAACTCAACCTCTCATCTCCTTACAACCCTCCAATCCGCAATGAGAAACAATATACAAAGTCAGGCTTACCGGCGAACACTCCACTTTTTCAATCCAGCGGACTCCTCACCTTCTCGCGATCCAAGGACCCCGAACCATTCGAGTCGGTATTCGTACCCGCCCCCGGACTCCCCGCGCGCTTCAGCTCCTTCCTGGCCTTCCGGCCACCGCAGCAGGCCGCACAACACGACCCCAGCTGCCACAGGAAAGGCAACAGATTAAAGGCAGACGCCACCCACATGAAAGCCATCATCTGCGAGCCGACCTCGGCGTTGATGTTCAAGTCCTGGGCGGAGTTGGTGAACACGTTTTTGAAGATGATGAACATGACGGTAGCGACGACGGAGGGAACAATAGTGAAGAGGGCGGTCAGGAATGTGAGGAGCAGGAAGGGCAGAGAGCGGAAGAACACAAAGGTGCGACGGCGATGGGTCGGGGAGGCGGCATTGACGGAAGCGTCGGAGGAGAGCGATTGCGGGGGTCGCGAGGAGGTGGCGAGCGGAGAGAGGAAGATCATCACAAAGGTGAGCACCGTCGCGGTGAGGAAGAGCCCGAACATCCAGTACGAGGCCTTGCGGGCGATTTGAAGCGCCGAGGTGATATCTCCGGGGAGGGCGACTGGTTGTTAAGGAGAGGATTGGTTAGCTCTTTTTTTTTGTATATCGAGTCGATTGAGCTGCAGGAATGGAAGGGGAATGCAATGCAGGAATGTATGCTAGGCTAGGCTAGGCTATGTGATCTATTCTAGGTCGACCGGTGGAGAAGGGAAAGGGGAGAAAAGGAAAAAAAAAAACGTACTCGTAGCGCCCGAGAGCAATTCACTCAACAGGATCGTTACCGGATCGAACCAGTACAGGGTCTCAGGCTTCGAGCAATGCGTGATGCCACTGTCATTGTAGCCCTCGCAGAAGTTCCACAAACCGACCTGGTAAAAATCGTGCAAGCCGATAGACCGGGCGATACTGTTGATCAGGACGGCATTGGGGATGGAGAGCGGGACGATGTTGGAGAGATCGATCTTAAGGAAATAAGTGTTGCGCAGGACCGGCTTGTTGGAGAGATTGCCGATGACCACCAGGATGAGGAAGATCCAGGCAATCAGGTAGAAAAAGGAGCGGAGGATGCGATGCCAGAGAACGGTGGAGCGGGACCGTCCGGCGGTGGGAGGCCGCGGAGGAGCTTTGTTGAAGAAGGGCAATTTGGCCATTGACTTTTTTTTTTTTGATATCCTCTCTAACGGTCGATTGCTCGATTGACAATCAACACGTGGGGAGGGGAGGGGCCTGGCTGGACTGGAATGTGGGAAGAGAAAAGAGTAAAGGGAGGGAGGAAAGGAAAGAAGGGACAGGAAGGTAACGGAGGTACGGAGTTGAGTGATGAGATATGATATGATATGATATAAGATGGACTGGGATAAATCTAGGTGGAGGTTGGCCAGATGACGTGGTTCGGCTGCTCCATCGACGACCAAACACGAGCCAGAATTAAGATGAGAAAGATTAAAAAAAACCCGACAGAAAGACGGACAGGGTCGATGACTATCGACAACGAATGAGGTGGAAAAATGAGTTCAGAAGCCGAGACCGAAACCAGGGAAATAAAAATTGAGTGCAGGGGAAGGGGAAAGGAGCAGAAAAAGGAAGACCAAACGACCGAGAAAAAAAATGCCACCGGCGCAGCTAAGAGGCAACTAGTCTGGAATTATCTGTTTCTATTTGATCCCTAATTAATTCGAGGGTCTGGTCGATCGGCGGCTAGACTGTTTAACCTTTTTAAAGTAGGGCTGGCTGGACGAGGGGGGGCATGTTGGGCGTCGTCTCAAGTGCAAAGTACGGAGTAAAGCAGCCAAACCGCCCAAAAACGATCTCCGAAACCGGTAGAAAGTGGCAAAGATCACCGCACATCGTTCGTGTTGTCAGGACTATCTATTCCTGGCCGAGCAAAGCCCTGGGCCCGATTGACAGATCGGAGGAAAACGATTGACTGAATGTCTCAAAGGAAGGGGCTGTTGGACTCAGTTGGAGGGGGCCTGCGGACCCGGTCTGGCCGGGTGGGCCCCTGCCGTTATTGGCTCCGACTCACCGGACCCAACGTCATGCCGGCATCAAGTGGGTCTCTGCTTTGCCGGCTGCCTGGCCTGCTCCGTCCGGTGATTGGCCGACGGGGAGCCGGGGTGCGCCACCACAGACGCAGTTCCCATGCGGGCTGCCGATCGGGTGGGACAGGGATCCGAGATGACTCAGCACTCAGCATGGCCGTACGGTGTAATCATAATACACTCACCCAAAAATACGACATTCCATTTAAGGCATTTGTGGCGGCCTGTCTTTTCTCTCTTTCCCTCCTTCTGTCTCTCTTTTGCTCCCTTGTTGGGATCTCCATATTATCTATCGTATCTACTTTATCATCTATATAGAGATCTCCCATCCCTACCGACTGATCTCCCCATTCTGCCCGTGACTTGGTTTCCTCCCTCCCCACCATGCGGTTAGTTTCCCTACTACCGCTGCTGGCCGTCGTGCTGGCTGCCACAGAGAGCGAGACCTCGTCCGACACCAAAACCACTCTCACCAACACCAAGAACATCCTCACTCTGGACGGTACCATCACGGCTCCCATCAGCGATGCTGGCACGCGCACCGGTCACTACATCTCCTACTCCACCACCAAGACCCTGGCCACCGACCATGGCGGCATGGTGGGCTCGACGGCCCTCAGCGGTTCCGAGTCGGCCGTGACGACCGCCTCGCACACCGGCAATGCCACTCACACGACGCCCTACGAGACCATGACCCGGCTCGTGGGCAACAACACCTCCAATGCGACGACCACCGGTCCCACCTCGTCCTCGTCCCCCGTCGTCAACACCCAGCCCTGCAATGGCTACGCCGAGCTCTGCGCGCGCAACTACTCCAACATCACCATGGTGGCAGCCCATAACAGTCCGTTCGTCAAACTGGGGAACGTCGCGGCGAATCAGGCCTTGGATGTCGAGGCTCAACTGAACGATGGAATCCGCATGCGTATGCTTCTGCCCTCTTCCCTCACTTATGCTCTCAACCCGACGGAACTAACGCCTTCCCATTGAACAGTGCAATTCCAAACCCACATCGTCAACAACACCGTGAAACTCTGCCACACCAGCTGCGACCTGCTGGACATGGGTCTGCTGGAAACCTACCTCAACACCGTCGCACGATGGATGAAGAGCCATCCGTATGACGTGGTCACGATCCTGATCGGGAACTACGACTACGCGCTACCCGGCAACTTCACCGAACCCATCCGCAAATCCGGCCTGCTGGACCTGGCCTACACCCCGCCCAAGATCCCTATGAGTCTGCACGACTGGCCCACGCTGTCCACCATGATCCTGTCGGGCAAACGCGCCGTCCTGTTCATGGACTACATGGCCAACCAGACTGCCTACCCATGGTTGATGGACGAGTTCACGCAGATGTGGGAGACGCCGTTCTCGCCGACGGATCGCAATTTCCCCTGCACGGTGCAGCGCCCGCCCGGTCTGCATCCGCCCGACATTCGCAATCGCATGTACCTGGCCAACCACAATCTCAACCTGGATCTGAACTTTGCCAATCTGAACCTGTTGATTCCCAACACGGCGCAGCTGAACCAGACGAACGCCGTGGACGGATTTGGCAGTCTAGGCTGGATGGCCAACAATTGTACCAGTATGTTAACCTTTCTCTTACCTTGAAGCAGATTACAGGAATGGACTACTCACTGATAAAAAAAACAGGGGACCACGGCCGACCTCCCAACTTCCTCCTTGTTGACTATTACAACTATGGCCAGGTGAACGGGTCCGTCTTCGAGGTCGCCGCCGACATGAACAACGTCACGTACAATGGCAAATGCTGCGGTACGACGTCGTCCGGGACGAGTTTCGCGCCGCACGGCATGGTGATGTCAGCGGTGCTGATTGCAGGCGTGCAGTATTTGATTTCGATATTCTAATAGCCTTACTTTTTGGATTTGCTTTTCCTTTTCTTTTATATATAGATATCTAGCCTTGTGGTTATGAGATACGACTGTGCGAATTTTATAATTCTGGTGTTGTAGATTATGATATCATCATACATTGCTTTTATTTTATTCTTTTTTCCAAATTTTGCATATCGTTTGCATATCGTGGTCTAGTTCAGAATACAACTTGTATTTCACTGTAGATCAATCGTGCGTGCAGCTCCAAATGATTCGATGTGCATGATATATCATATCAAACTACCTATTCCGGACTCAATCACAATAAATAGCTAACAATATCAATCAATATCAGATATTAACCCGACTCCCCCAAACAAAAGGGAACAGAACAAAACCCACCCCCCTCCCCCAAATAGAATAAACAACCTCCTTTTTTCCCTCCTAGAACCACCGATACATATTTCAAGTAAAACACCTCAACTCTCCCCGGCGCAAGAATCCCCATTCAGCGGCTGCTCGCACCCCGCGAAGCAAAACTCCCTCAGAGACACCACACCCTGGTCATCATCGCATCGAAACAGGGCGTCGGTTGGCCGTCCCAGCGCGGCGAACTTGTAAGCGGAATTTGGCGAGGCGAGGATCTTGGTTCGAAGGTCGTCGGGCGAGTAGTCTTTTTTTTTTCGGTATTATTTTATTGTTAGTTTAAGTATTTAGGACGTTCAAAATAGTTAGTCAGGGAGCTGGTTGAGTGGGTTGATCTTTTTTCGTCTTGTTTTTTTTTTTAGAAGAAAAAAAAAAAAAAAAAAAAAAAAAAATTTGGCAAGGTAGAAAGGTGCCGACTACCGACCCAAAAAGGGTGGGGGGGGGTTGGGAAGGGGGGTTTAAAAAGCTGGTAAACAAGTCTGGTGCC